CCCCCGGGGCCGCAGGGCCACGATTCCCCATGGCCACGGCGCTCCCACTCCTGAGCAGGTGGCTCCTGAGATGTGTCGGTGTTTCTCCCGCGCCGGCGGCGTTCTCAGCGGCTCCTGCCCACAAGCACAGACGCGCTCACTCTGCCTTTTCCCAGCGTCTTGCTTGAAAGCTTCAAACTTGTCGCCATGAGCGTAACAAACCTCATTTATTTTAAAGTCCACGTCCAGTAATAGGGGGTCCGAGCGGGGCCTCTCTGTCCTGGGGGCCGTCGTGCCGGCCACTCTCGCTGGCACGGCCTCGGATGCCTGCGCGGTGTCGGTTCTGGGCCAGCTGTGAGGGGTGAGGAAATGCTTTTGAGTAATATTTTGAAGGCTCCAATGACTTCATCTCCCTCCAGGGAGGATGTTAGTTCTTCTCCCGGAGGCCAGGGCCCACATAGGTGGGTGCGTGTGTATTTTGAGGACGCTGCCGTCATATTCAGTTAAAACCAAAATTTTCATTTCAAAGCTGACTTAGCTCTTCTTTGTAGGCTGTAATCAGCAATAAAATGTCATCAAACTCTTAATCATCTAAAGAATCCTCAAATTTAGAGAGACTTGGGATTGTTTGCTTTTGCGTTACTATAGCCAGAAATTTTAGACATATGTTTTCAAAGATCTAAATTTCGGTTCAGAATTTGATTAATGGAAAAGCCCTCAAAGACTTTCAGAAGTAATTGAATCCATTCATTTTGCGCTGGGCCGAAACCTCTCGACCTTTTGCAGACATCCCGAGGCAGCACCCTTCACCTCGGCAGACACTGCCATGCCTGCTGCTGCCAGGGAAGATCTGACCTGCTTCCACTTGAGCCCGGCTCCTTCTTTTGTCTCCTGATGTTTTTAAGAGTGGGACGTGCTGGAAGCAGTGCACGGTCGTCTACAGAAGTTTCTACTTCATTGTCTGACTTCTGAAAAATGCCAAGAGCTATTACTGTTCAGGAGAATAATAGCACAGGAAGATAATTACTTTGTTCCTTAGCTGTTCAGCATCATTTCCCTCCCCAAGGACACTGTCGCATGTAATATGTCATGTGCTGCTTGAGAGCGTGGTCAGGCTTGAGCTTCACCATGTACGAGTCACTTGTAACTTTTTCAAGTGTCCGTTTCCTCCCTGGTGACCTGAGGTAATGATACAGTTAGTTCTGGTTTTGCTTATTTCACAGAAGTCAGATGCCCCTGAGTCTTGCTGAATCTTATGGTAGAAGATCTTTAGACAACGATGCTTGGGTGGCAGCTCACTGCGACTGCCAAAGTGGCTATCAAGGTAACTGGAATAGTTCTAGATTTTTTTAATAATTACTTTTATTGCGGTTACACTGGCCCGCAGCCTGGGGTGTGGCTCAGAGGTGGAGATTCACGCTTCATCACGCCTGTGCGGCCTCCAACCCGCCAGGCTCACCGTCCCCCGGGGCCCCTTCACCTCCCAGCCCCGGTCGACAGTGGGCCCTCCCCGAGTCCATGCTTGGTTCTGTCTCACTTTGTTTTCTTTCTCTGTGTTCCACGTCAGAGTGACACCAGCGCAGTCACAGTCCTGTGGACTGCGTCGCTTAGCCTAATCCCCTCGGTCGTCCGCGTGGCTGCACGTGAGGGTTGTCTTTGTGATGGGGGGCAGTGTCCCTCATGTGCCTTCGCCACAGCTGCTTCGCTCACATACCTGTCACTGGCTGCTTCGGTTGCTTCCATGATCGGGCTGTGTGCGTCGCGCTGCAGGGAACGCCGGAGCACGTGCGCGTGGTGACGTTGTGTTCTTTAGACCTAGGCGTGGGATTGCTGGGTAATGTGGCACCATTTTGAGACTCCTCCAAGCTTTTCCCATGGGGCCTGGCCCCGTCGCCACCCCCACCAGTGTGTGAGGGCTTCTTTCTCTCACATCCTTGCACGCACCTGTTGTTTCTGGCCTTTTTGATGGGGGCCTTTCTCTTGGGTGTGAGACAGCAGCTCACTGTGTTTCTGATTTGCCGTCCCAGGGTGATACGTGATGGTAAGCACTTTTTCATGTGTCTGCTGTGGAATTATAATGTCTAGGGCTCACATAAGGCTCCCCGAAAGCATTGTTCCAGTTCTGTGAACGATACAATGCAAGCAGCTGTGTTCAGGGGTGACTGACGCAAACCCCCGGCGTGGGCGTGGGCAGGCTAGGTCTAGCTGAGTGTCTGCAGACCCCGGCACGGTTCTCTGTGTATTTTTTCATCTTAAATCAACTTGTGCCCTGAAATCTTAGAGGCACATCCTATCTCTGAGGTTAGAGATCACGTGACAAAGAATGAAGCCACCAAGGCTGGGTAAAGTGTCATTTCCTCTGAGAACACGCCAGTGCCGTTTCCAGCTTGTGACACGTCAATGTCATGAACTTTATAAAGGACAGATCCGTTCAGAAGGGCATTTGCGAGCCGAATAATTGATTTTATTGAAAATTTGGAAGTGTTCCAAATTTTATATTATAAAGAAAAAAATGAAAAGGAAAATAATCGACTTAGGTTCAATGATATCTAGTTTTCATTCAAACAAACAATATTTTTAAAAACATAAAAAACCCACAGCTTCACTTCAAGTATAAACAAGTATTTTCCTGTTTGCTCTCAAGAAAACTAATTAAACAATTTTAGGGTGATTTTTCAACACAACATCTTTCTGGACCCAATTAAAATGATAAATGTTAGTCTCTCACTCACATAAATTACCAGTATGAGTGTATAAAAATAGCTAATTTTAATAAGAAATTTTGAGAATAGCAGAGATGTGTCCTTTCGTTTATCACAGGACAACGAGTAGCATGTCTCGTCATCGCTTCGGCATGCTTATCCCCTACTCAAAACCAGCCGCTTTCAGGAAGGGGCTTGGCCGCGAGTGCTCAGTTCCTGGCGGTGCTTTGGCCGCGGCCTTCATGCCCTGGTCTGGCTTCTGGATCAGAGTTTCCCGCCGAGTGGAAGCTGGGGGGACCAAAAAGATCGAAATAGACTCATTTCTTAAAAATCTTACATTATCCGTGATCTTTGCCTCGTCTATCCCACAGCAGGAAATATTCACGCCCCGCGGCCTTCTCTTCGTCTTCGTGCTTCCCTCGGCTCCGTCCTGCACCTGCTCGCAGCGAGCACAGGTGACGGCACGGCGGTGAGAAGCCAGGGGCCTGCGGTGAGCCTGCGGGGCAGGACGTGGCACTAGGAGCGGTGCCTTCCGCCCCGCGCCCTGGCAGCCCCGCGTGACGCTGCGGGGGAGCGGGATGGAGCCAGGCCTGTGGGGACTGACCGCATGCTCAGTGCCCCAGGGTGCCAGGTGCCGGCCACGTGGGGCAGAAGCGGTTTGGATAGAGAATCCATGAGGAGAGAAGGGAAACATCACGTGGCGCTGCCGTCAGCACCTGTGTCACTTGGTAACACGGTACCTGGCTGGTCTCCAGGCAGGAGGAAAGCCCTTGTTCTTACTTCTCTGCTTGGGAGATCTGGCCGTGCGGGGAAAGAGGAACCTCTGATTCAAAAAGAAAAGCATGAGAAACCAGCAGTGTTTTGACATGTCAGTGCTGTAACCGGTGAAGCCCAGAAGCTGTGAGGGAAATTGGTCAGTAGAACAGGGTGTAGATACAGCCCCCCCCACCCGGGACTGGGAAGGGCCCTCAGACCCGGGGGAGGCTGATGTGATGCTAAGTCCTTCAGCCACGGGGCGATGGGCCCGCCGCGCAGAGGAGGAATCCGACAGGCGCAGCCGGTCTCGTTTCCCCAGCCCGGGACGGGAGCCAAAGCTGTGTCATCCGCCCCTTCCCCGGAAGGCTGAGGGATCGTCCCGGCTCGTCACAACCGGCTCTTCAGGGGAAAAGTATCTCTTACTGATTTGCTTGCAAATAGAATATATCATTGACGAGCCTTACCAGCAGTGCTGTAAGACATGCGCGCTGATCCTCGTTCTCAGGGGCCTCTGGTGGCGCGGGGCAGAGTCTCCGGCTGTCACTGCTGAGGCCTGAGCGCGACCCCCAGCAAGGGAGTGACCCGCAGAGCGCAGCAGAGACCCCGTAACCCCCACCCCACCCCCTCAGCAGTGGATTTCATGGACCCGCCTGTTCTGCTCCCCACTGTGTCTCTGGTGAATCCTCTCCCCCCGCCCCAGCATGAATAAAAATAACTCCTTTAAAAATAAAAAAAGCTACCCCCTCCCTCCTGGCCCCGCTTCCTTTCTGCATTTCAGCCTTTTCCTTCTTGCATTTATAAAAGACAGAATATGCCTGAGCCACCAGCGGCTACTCGGGGTGACTCCAGCCCCCAGGCAGCCTCCGCCTCCGCCCTGAGTCCCAGCGCCGGCCCAGCCGAGCCGACTCGTCTCCCCTGGGCGGCTGAGGACATGGTCCGGGCCAGTCGCTCCAGTGGTCAGCCACCGAGGCTGCTGCTGGGGGGTCTCTGTCGCCGCGACCTCCCTCGCGCCTGCTAAGCCGACTCGCCCGGACGCCCCAATGCCCCCACCAGACAGCCAGCGCCCCACGGCCACGCCCCTCCCGCCCGCAGGCCCGGGCGCCCGCGCACCTGGGGCCAAGCCAGACCCCAACAGTTGAGCCCCGTGCTCCCGCCCCCTCCCCCCACCCCCACCACCCCCGGGGCCATACCCCGGGCCCTCCCAGGGCGCCCGCAACCTGGCCGCGGTGGGGGCGCGACCCACGAGGTGGCCGGCTGCGTCCTGGAGGGTCACCTGCGCATCATCGCCTGTGGGGCCAGCCAGGGTGGCTGTGGGGACGCTGCTTCCGCGGTGCGGGCGGCTTCCTCACGTCTCAGGCGGCGGGCCAGTCCGGCTCCTGCCCTGGCGGGTGGCCCGTGCCCGGCGCCGCCCAGGCTGCCCAGCAGTGGACGCGGCTTCCTGGCCACGATGTGGGCGCGCGGTGTTTGCTGAGGCCGTGACAAAGTAAACCAGCCGGCCTGAAGTGTCACACGTAGGCTAGAAATGCAAAGACCAGACCCAGCGGCGCTTTCTCGTAAATGCATGGTTTTCAAGTCCTACTATACCAAGTAATCGTTTTTTTAAAACACCTAATTTATTTTTGGATTCAAGATTATATAAAATAAATTACAATGACAATTACTTCTCTTGCACCTTCCACATTCCGTAAGACCAACGGCTCCCAGCAAAGAAGTGTTCCAGGCGATTACTGGTGATACCAATGCAAGTGTTTAGACACAGTCTTGATTTTTATGAATTTGTACCAAAATAAAGCTTCTGATAGATCTTTAGGGTTGTACTCGTGACCCGTCCATGAGTAAGCAAAAAATACTTGCATGAAGTTAACATTTACATATAAAAATATAAGACATATACACCATCGTGACCTCGGTGTCTTCCAGTTCGACGGGCTAGTCCCGCAACCCGACGGAAAGCTCATGTGTTGGAGAGTAAGACTGTTGCGAAAACCGTCATGTTTTAAACTTAACAGTTTCATGTCCCATGTCAGCCACGTGGCCTGAAGAGTCTGGCGGACCCTAAGTGTCTGTTTCCCTGGGAGGGGCCTGGAGCCTCTCCGCGGCCAGCAGGCAGTTAATTAACGGTCCCAACTTTTCCTAGAAGGCCTCACTTTCTGGGTCTTTCACTCCATCCGTCCGTAAGAGACTGCAGCGTGCACGGCCCTGTGCCGTGCCAGGGGCCATTTTCTGAGCCCCCCAAGGAAGGGAAGCAGAGGTGGGGAGCTCAGCCGGGGTAGCGGGCCCTGCACCCCAGCCGCGGGGCCTTCCTGCTAGCCCGCGCCGCCTCTCTCCCGGCTTGGGTTTACAGCGCCGTCTCAGACTTTTAGGGTTCCCCTGACTCTCTGTCCGCATGCACGACTCAGAGATCACCCACCTTCAAAGTATTGAAATATAAACAGATGCAACACTAAAATTAAACTGAGCATGACTTTCTCTTTTTTCTTGGATGTAATGTGAAAATAAGAGCTCCTGGACCGGGATGCAGATAACCAGGTTCTGAGGCCCGCGTGGGCCTGGCCTAGTCACAGCCTCTCTGACACCAGCTTCCTCAGCTGGTCACCCAGAGGTCATGCCGGAAAGCCTTTCCAATCTGAGGGAAACAGTCAGAATCTTGCACAGCGCCTCATGATTTTCGTGGTGGAGGTCAGCTACCATTTTTATAAAACAGTGGAAAAGAATTCCAATTTAGCAATTTCCTGACATTACGGTGAACGGAAGGGTTCTGTACCTCCGGGGCTAATCAGGGGTATTTGTCTAATGAAAATATAATCAGGATATTTGCATCATATGCAAAGTATCCCTTGAGATGCACTGGCAGGCCTGAGAACTGTGTTATTACTCGGGGCCTCCTGCAATCCTCTTACCCCGAAACCCTGTTCTCACCGCAGCTGCGTGGCAGAGGAGCAGTGGGGGGTAAAAGGGATCTTGGTGAACGTATTTCTGCTTGAGATGAAGGACTTCAGAAGTCCTTTTACTCTTTAACTTTTTTACATTTTAATTTTCAAAACTAAATTTTAAAAGAATTACCGATTCTACGTAAAGCCCAGGGCCTGTCACAGTCTCCCCTGCTGGTGAGGAACCACAGTTTGCTGCCAACATGTCCCTGCGGCGCCGGGAGAGCGGCACGGCTCTCCTGGTAAGGGAGGGCGGCGCGACCACCAGGCTCAGTCCTTTCCAGAACAGGCGACGCCGACCGCCCGGGGCCGTCCCCACCGCCTCTAGCCGGGCGGGAGGCAAGCGGCTGTGGCGTTGGCCGGGGGGCCCTGCGCGGCGGCAGCAGCCCCGGGGGACGGGTAGAGGATCTCCTCGACGGTCACGTAGGTGCCGAGCAGGAAGCCGACCACGCCGGTGAAGGCGATGGAGATGTCCTTCAGGACCATCCACACGCTGTTGTGCTCCTTAGAAAACGTAAGGATTTCGACCAGCGGCGGCAGGATCAGGGCCAGGGTGCTGCTGCTCACAGCGCCCACGAAGGCGATGACCACGTCCAGGCGCGGGATCAGGACGGCGCCTGCACCTGCGGGGCGAGAGCACTGCTCACCTGCGAGGCCGGCGCTGGGTGCGGAACGCGGCGGCCCCAGCTATGGGCGGCCTGGCACGTCTGAGCCAAGATAAAGTATGAGACCAAAATACTGAGCAACCTTTGACTTGTCCGCTTACACACACACAACCTCTGCTGCGAAATGCTGGGGGGAAGTTTGCAGAGTTTATTTCCAAGGCGGTTCATCACCCGGCTCTACAGCCCACCCAGCTGTCAGCGCGTGGGCGGGCACACGCGCCTGTCCTACGCGCCCAGGGAGGAGGCCGCGGTCCCCCAGGCGGGATCCCAGTTACCCGGGACGGGAAGAGGAGCAAACGCAGTAAGAACCGTGACGGGAGCGCCTGGCAGGCCGCAAAGCTGGTGAGTGAAACTGGAGGGGAACAGGGCTTGGGTCGTCAAAGTGCTCCCTGCACAACAGTGCTCACGCCAAGGGCGAGGGCGGCCTGCACCACCTCGCCAGTGGGCAGCCCCACAGCCCGGCAGCAGCACGAAGCGCCAGGGCCGGATGGGGTGCCGGGGCCGCCAGAGCCCCCCTGAGTGTTAAACTCCACTCAGTCTGATCTCAAGGGAGCAGCAGACAAATCTAAACTGAAGAAGTTCTACAAAATGACCAGAACTTTCCATCTGGACAATCTTTCATTTTTCTTCACTAATATTTTCCAATAATCCAAGCTGTCGCCAGTAACTCAAAGCATCATTGGAAAATCGTGTGGAGAAACGCTTTAGGACTTTAGAATTTGTTCAGTCACACTGAATTTCCATTTATCAAGTACTTCTAAGTCATTAGATTTATCCATTAAAGATAGCTTTAAATGTTATATAACCGACAGGCATTTGCTAGAAAAAAGTGTCTTAAAATACGTTATTTGGTAATACTAGTAACAAAGGAAGAGGAGAAATATATACTTTAGGTAAATCAACATATAAAAATTCAGATCACAAGCCAGTAAGTCAGGGCAGTCGAGGATGAAGACAGCTCATCCGCCAGAACTCTCACCATGGGCTGCCGTGACCACCAGCTCCGGTGTGGTGGGCAGCTGTTACCAATAGGCCCCTTAAATCCTGTCTACTCAGCGCTGACTAAGCTCTGTAGTGTGTCACAGAGGAAACGAACATATCCTTAAAGCACAGTTTCCTCTAATATTAAAAAAACAAAAAAGCCTATATTTTAAGTCAAGTCCTTGCTTCTGAAGGGTGAAAGCAAAGGAAAAAACAAAACCCTTGACAGGAGTGTCAACCACAGCTCCGGGGAGCACCGCAGCGCAGAAGTCCTCATAACCGGAGCAGTGACCGGGCTCTGCAATGCCCCTGACCGGGAGGCGGAGCAAGAGGTCCCAGGGCCGCGCGCGCCGGCAGCGGCAGCGAAGGAGGCCTGCAGGGGCGCCGCCGGCCCAGCGTCCCCGGCTCCGTGCGGCGAACTTCAAAAGGTGATTTTAAAGGGAGATTTCGGGATAAACTCTCCTATGTATTGATTAAAGGACTTCTGCTGAAGCCATCCTTTTCATTTAGTCTGGCAGTCAAACGTCCGTCAAGGCCCCGTACAGGAAGCATCTGGAAACGCTATGACATGTGACATGGCTTTTCCCTCCCGGACGTCTCATTAGTCCTCAGAGGACGGATGGCCCACCTCACACCTCGCGAGGTCGCCCCCCGTTGTGGATCAGTTCCTGTAAGTGGTGGCTTTGAGGAATAAGTTTTATCTGCCTTGCCCAGTTATGCTTTTCTTCAAACAAAATGCAGTGAGCACAATTCTTTAAACAGAGGCGCAAGCATCACCACTAGCTGCCCGGTGCCGCTCACAGAGGCGCCCAGGATTTCCAGCACTACCTCTCAACCTGCATGGACAAGACGGCTGCGATCACAGCATCGTCCTCACTGCCTGCTCCCAGAACCCCTGTGATCCGGCTCTGGTGTCGTCTTCCACACAGAGCTGGCCGTGGTCCTGGTGGCGGAATGTCACCCTCCGCTGCCTGGTTGGGGTATTTCTCGACTCTGCAGAAACGCCACCAGGAAGTCTCTTCATTTCACAGCCGAGGCAAGAGGCTCACAGGTGGTCAGTAACTTGCCTGGAAACGGCAGCAAACGGGCAGGAGCCCGAGCCGGTTCCCTCCCTAGGGTGCCCGGCGCCGCTGCCGCCTCGTGGGGGCGACCTTGGCACGGAGCCCGGGGGAGAGGCTAAGCGGGAGCCTTCCCACAGACGGGGGAGCCACGGGCCGAAGACAAAACCCTGTCCCGCGGGCGTCTCGGGAGCTCGCGCTTAAATACGCAAAAGTTGCAGAAATAAACACCCGAAGGCAGGCCAGAGCCAAAGTAAAACGTGCATCGGCTACAGGCTCGGCCTGAAAGGTGTGTATTGCAATCACTGTCATTTTTCAAAATGATTTCATCCGTCCTTTCAAGGGCGGTGAGGACCTGGTTCGTGTTTTCTTATAGGGCAGGGGAGTAACCATTATACACGAAGCATTCCACCTTGGTGAGTAAAGCTGTTCAAAAATACGGAACGATCATGATAAGAAACTCAGTGAGAACTGTTACGAGGTAAACGTGAAGTGATACTTACAAGTAAGGCCGACCAAGAGGGACCTTATCACAAATTCACAGATTTGCTTCCACTTAGCGTGACACTTGGCTGTGATCACGGGAATAATAATCTCTGCTGGAACATAGAACTGAATTGAATATGTCACAAAAATGCCAAAGGAATATAGAATTTTCACGGATTGATATAACCTGTTAAAAAATTCAAAATTCTGATCAGTATTTTTTCAGCTTTCCTGACGTATAATTAACAAAATCGCAATACAGTTACAGGCGGACAGCCGTGCGCGCCGTGGGGCTTCCCCACAGCCACGGCTGCTCGCGCCTGGAGCTCGCTGCACACTGCGTGTCCCCGGCTGTGGCTGCCACGTCACACTGCGGCTCCTTAGACCTTCTTCACCTGACGAGTGAAAGCGTGCGCCCTTTCACCAGCTCTCCCCACGCCCCCACCTCCCAGCATGAGCCTGACTTAAAACTCCCCTCTCGGAGACCCCGCGTGGGGGGCGCAGGCAGCACCTGCCCCGGCCGATCTCGCTGCGCGGCGCCCTCCAGGGTCGCGCTCGTTGTCTCGACGTGACTGTGGCTTTCTTTTACTTCTAACGCTTACACAGGGATCCAGGACAAACTTGGGCAGAATCTTACTAAGGTAAATGCTTGTTTGCTGAAAGGGAAAAAAAGCCAACTGCTGTCGACCACGTTTCTAGATGATGGCTGGACAGTTCATCGGACCCGCCCAGAGAGCTTGGAAGGTTCGGGACCAGCTGGGGCAGATTCTGCCTCAGGCGGAGCCTGTGGCTGGAGGCGAGGCTGGGCGGTGCAGAGCGAGTGTCGCTGCTCCCAGGACTCGGGGCGTCCCCGTGACTGGTGTTGAGTGGTCAGTGGTCAGTGGCGCCTACCGGCCTCCGAGCTCCAGCCCCGCGGCCCTGGTTCTCGCTGGGAAGGGCACGGAGAGAGACGGCCTGCAGGCCCTGGCGTTTCGGACCCACTCCCCTGGCTGCGGGGTCACACATCCGGTTGAATGTTTTAAATGATCCAGAGAAAACCCCAGTCGTGCTTCTGTTTTCGTGGAGCAGAGAGGCCGGCCAGCCCGGGGCCCGGGGGGTGGTGGGTGGAGGCCAGCCCAGGCCCGCCCTGCGGCCCGCCGGAGGGCGCTTCTCAGCGCCACGCACGCAAAGGTGGGACATGTCCGCCTGCGGTAGAGGGGCCCCCGCAGTGGCCTGCGCGCTGGCTTCTGGTGTCTGGAGACTCGAGCGCACAGACCAGGGGCAGCGGCGCGTCTCCCGCAGGAGGGCGGGACACCACAGCGCTGGCCGCAGACGGTCCCGGGAACACTGCGGACAGCGGGACCTCGAAGGGCGGGGCCGCGGCGGTCAAAACCTTGATCCTAATCTGAGGAAATACTTCTCAGTTTGAAACTTGAAATGTAAACAAATTTTACTAAAAGCATGAAAAATGACTCCGGTATCTGCTTCACGCGCTCTGATACGCGCTGGTGGCGGCTTCAGTGAACGTCCGTATTGCTTTGGTACTACGGCCTTTTTTCCCTAAAAATCTTGTAACTTGCGTTTAAAAATATGGTTCACGTTGTTAAAAAACACATTATGCATAAAAATATAATTGTTCCTCTATTGAGAGAGAACTGAAGTCCCATCTCCTAAGAATCGGGGTGCTATGAATAGCGGCGGACGCGCCGCCTCAGGTACTGTCTGGCCGGCACAGCAAGGGAGGAGGTGGTCTGAGTGTGGGAGCGGGTCACTCGCGCAGCGTGATCAGAGACGGGCGACGGGAGCGGCAGGGTTGGGGCGGCACCGCCTTGTAAAATCACTCACTTTTATTTCCATGGTTTCAAGAACCCACATCTGTTTGAATCTCTGTTTCCTTTCTTTTTAAAATTTATTTTTGAGATTTATTTTTAGTTATGCTACAAGAGCTGGGGCGCAGGCCAGAGGTGTGGGGGGTGAGAGGACTCCCCAGAGACAGAGCGGGGAGCAGAACAGGCAGATCCACTGAAATCCACTGCTGAGGGAGCAGCGGGGAGACAGGAGGGTCTGCTGCGCCCTGTAGGTAGCTCCCTGGCCGGGGATGGCACTCAGGCTGCGGTGGCTGGGACAGCTCGACAGCACTGAGACTCAACCCCTCGCGCCACCAGGGAGGCCCCTGGATCTATTTTCAATGAGTGTAAGTTGAGTCAAACTTCTGTTTGACTTTGTGCACTGCCAACCTTTGTTCTCATTTAGGCTTTAAGCAAACGTCCTGCCAAGGGCCTTTATGCACTGCACTTTAGAATGAGGCGCTGGACGTGGCCTGTCCAGTGAATGATCGCCCCGAAGAGCAAAGGACGTTCATGAAGCCGAGGGGACTTGTCGTGAGGATATGTGAGGACATAAGACACTTTTTTTTTTAAAGGCTTTCCGCGCAACATACACTGTTTCTCTTTGCACGTCACGGTGCAGTGCAGCGGGGTGTGGCCCAGACCTTGACATCACTGCGTCTGTTCTATGGCTTGGTGGTTAGGGGGAGGAGGCCGGCCCAGCTGCAGAGACTGGGGGCAGAGTACTCTCCTAGCGCGCATGTGGACGAGGATGAGAATGGACTTGGCGTCCAGTGGAACACGACACAGCGGTGACAGCAGGAGGCTCTAGCTGCAGCCAGTCCTGGGGATCACCTCGCCCACATTGTTGCAAGGGTCTGTCCCCGTTGCCGGAGCGCGGCGCCGCCTGCGGGCACTTCCACAGGGACCTGGGGCCTATAAGACACCTTTAAATGACACAGTGTCTCCTGTGACTCCTCCCTGCCCGCGCCGGGAGCACTGTCTGTGGGACAGAGGTCGCCAGGAGGAGTCAGGATCCCCAGCCCGCAAGTGGGCGGCCAGGAATTCTTCGAAAGCCACATCCACCCAGCGTGGCCAGCAACACTGCTTGGAAGGACAGCGGGATCCTTACTGGAAAACTCTGCTTTACTGCCAGCAGAGAGATTCCCTTAGTAAAGAGCTGAAATGCGCTTTTTGAATTATTTTTGCGGTCAATATATGGAATCAGATTATGGGGATGGGCAGCTAACGGTGAGAACGTTACTTTCGAAAACACAGGATTCCAAAAAGAGCGGTGGCTGCGGTTTTCCTCACTGCGACTCACAAATCAGCGCTCAGCCCGCGTCTGCAGGCACGAGCATCCTCCACGCCCGCGAAGGCCGCTGTTCTCCCGAGGCTTCCCGGCAGCGCCCAGCTGCCCAGTCCCGCCCAGCCCCGAGCGCAGCCGCGCACCGTTAAGCGGACTCCCTGCCCCCACAGCTCACGTGACCCGGGCGCCGCTGCACCCGGTGTTCCAAGAGGACCCGGTGAGCTCGAGCAGGACCGGGGTGACCCGAGCCTCTAGTCCCTGCCTCACCCCAGGGCCACTTCCGAACCCCAGCTCCCCTTGCAGAGGCACCGCGGGAACTCTGAGCTCCGACCCCACCGCCAGAGCCCTCGCCGCCCTTGGCGGGAGGGGGAAGGTGCTGCTGGGGCCCAGAGCTCCGGCGCGTCAGCCCACACTCGGGCCCTCAGCCAGAAGTCCGCTGCGTAGCCTCTGGCCGCCTCAGGGGTCGGGCGGGGGTGACCCAGACCCGGCCCAGCCGTGGCCGTCCAGTCCAGACAGTCCTTTTCCCGGACGCTCAAGGGAAAGGGCAAGCGGCCGGTCGTGGGGCCGGGGCCGCGCGTGATTTTCACCGCCCCAGGCCGCAGGGGCCAGGCGGAAGCAGAGCAGGGCCGAGCCGGCAGGGGCTCTCCGAGGGACAGTGCGCGTCGTGGCTGGTTTTCCCCAGATTTGTGGCGTTTCCTGGAGTACTCGCTGGGACTGCGCTCCGCGGGCAGTGGCCGGCCAGGGGGCTCCCGTTCCACAAGACTCGCAAGTGGGCCCGGCAGCCGGACGGCCCAGCCCCAGGCCCAGGAGGGCGGTGCGGGGGGCGGCCCGCCTGGCGCCGCGGCAGAGCCAGCCGAGCACTGGGACGGGAGCCCGGGCGCAAGAGCCGCGCCCCAGCCCCTCCTCAGACGCTCCTGCCCACCCCGGAAGGAGGCAGGAAGAATCTGGCCGCGCCCGGAAAAGCAGAATTGTAGGCGTGGAAGCCACGCGCCTGGGCCCGCTCCCCTGGCGTCACCGCGCCCCGCCCCGCCCGCCGCCCGGCCGCGGCACCCACCAGGCGTCCTGCGGGAGGTTCAGCGTGATGCTGCCCCTGATGTCCTCGCGGAAGCACATGTAGCCCGCGGTGGCCAGGGTCACGTACAGCGCCGTCACCACCCCCATGCCGATGTTCAGGGCCTGCGGGAAGCGCCTGGACTCCGCCATCTGGTTCTCCAGGGGGAGCACCTGGAAGAGAGCGGGGTTCAGCGGGGCGCGGGGCCGCGGGGCTCGCCCTGCACAGTCTGCTGGCAAGTGTGTTTCCCTCTAGGACCCAGGCTGCGCTCAGCGCCTGCCTGTGCGGGGAGACACTGCTGCCGCCACAGCCCCGCGCATCCTTAGTGAGATGTGAGCTCGGCCCCCAGTGGACAAACCTGTCCGCGGGGCGTTCTTCTTTTCTAGTAACTGGAGCACGGAAGGGTTACGGAGCAGCTGCGGGGTACACAGAAACCCCCGCAGGCCCGCGCCAGTGTCCCCCGCCACTGGGTCACCGCAGGGAGCCGGCCCGGGGCTCACCCTGAGCTCCGCTTCGCGTGGCAGTGGCGTGGCCCCTCCCGTCCCCTGTGCTCCGGCCCCCCGCCCCCCCGCCCCCCTCTCTCCTGCCGCCTGGTCTCCTCTGGCCTGTCCCAGTTTCTCCATCTTTCCCCCGTCTTGACGGTCTGCCGACGCGGGGCAGGTCTCCGTGCGGTGTCCTGCTTGGGCCTGTCCACGCCGCCCTCGTGCCTGCACGGGGCTGGAGGCTCCGGTGGGGCCCTGCTCCCGTGCGTTCCGCCACGGAGGCCTCTCCCACCCAGCCGTCTCCCGCTACTGGAGAGTGGGTGCTGGCTGCACTTACTGCCACTGGGGCGCCGCTGCTGCGGGCCTCACACACACACAGCTGCCCACACGAGGTGCTGGTGCCGGGGACGCCACGGCGCAGGCTACTGCGTCTGCCCCTGTGCAGACAGTCACCGTTGGCAGGAGGGAGGACACAGACCCCCTGGTGCGCTGGACGTGCCCGACCTGGGCCAGGGATGGTGCCCGCGGGCAGAGAGGGCCAGGGAGGGCCTGTGCTGAGGCCCCCTCGGTGCCGGGCAGCGCTCAGCTGACGGCGAGGGAGAGCAGGACGGGGGGAGGGAGCAGGCCACTCTCTTAAGCGCGACCGACTGAAGTAAAACAGAGAAAAAGAGCCAGGGGAGAGCGAGGCAGGTTCTGGATACGGACGTTTGTGCCCAGACTCGAGCTGCTGACTCTGATGCCAGAAGAACAACCTAAGAGGAAATGCCCAGCGGTTGCCAGAACTCACTGTTAAAGGCAGAAATGAAATCAGCAGTTACGCCGGGCACAGTGACCAGTGGAGCTGCAAGAACGTGGGAGGACGGACTGAAGGCGGCCTCAGGGCCACAGTCCCCAAGTGAAACAAATGGTGGGAGAGTCTTTGAGACCCGTGTTGTCTGGGGTTCGGGTGCAAGTTGCTCTGGCGGGCAGCACCGGGCGAACCCTGCGGCTACATGTTACTTTCCCCAGATCTACACACTCCGGGCTTTCCCGGAAAGGAGGTGTCTGGGGTTGAAACACGTAAGACCCAAGAATCCTCGGGACACTGTCTCTGGGCGCTGGACTCAGCAACATGACTTCTCAAAGCAAACCCGGGCACAGATCTAAAGGGGGCGCCACCGGAACGCTCCCCTTGCGGCATCGAGCTTGCAACAACTTCAGCCCTGCCAGCCGTCTAGCCTGCAAGGCAGGATGCTGGGCTTTGCCGCCGGCTGGCCAGCTCCGGTCTCTGCAGCTGGTGGCGCCTACATCACGCTCGTCGCCAAGTTTTATAGAGACCGAAATTCGAAATTTTCAGGAAAAAATGTTAGAAATCACCCAGTCCAACGGCCTCCCTGTACCGATGAGGAAAAGGCGCGTGAGCGCCGGGCCTAGCGTCCGCCCCTGCTGGCGGGAGAGCCCGGGCACAGCTCGAGGGTCTCCTGCCGGGCTGCAGAACCTGCTCCGTGAATGAGGGAAATAGACACAAAAAGGAAAACGCGCGTTTTCAGCGTAGCTCGGCGCCGCAGACTCTGCACCGACTGAGTATCTCAAGACCTGCCGGAGACCCGGTCTTACCACTCCGATGCCTTCGAAGGCGAACACAGCGGTTCCGAAGAACAGCGGGTACTTCCTCCACCCGGCCACGACGGGCAGGTTGTGAGGGTCCGGCATGTTCTGCAGAAGGGGTGAGAACACCAGACGTCACGGCCACGTAAGGAATGCAGGGTGAGAGCAAGCGCGCGGCTCCGCGGGGCAGCGAGCCAACACGGACTCCCGGGACTCCCGGGACGGCGCGGGGACGGGAACAAGTCGCTCAGCGGACGCTCGCCGTCCTCGGCCGGACGGGCCGCTGTGCCGGGAGCGCTCGGTCCCTGAGCGGCTGCTCGGGTCCCTCCTGCGGCCCCAGGGAGCAGAGCCGCGCCAGCCCCCGTGAGGTTCACGCTCCACAGATGCCGGCTCCCCCACACCCCAGCCGCGCAGCACCCCGCGTTTGAGCGCGTTACTCACGTCCGCCGCTGCCGTCGCCCGGCCCTGCTCACGCCCTGGCCCTGCCCGTCCGCTGCCCACCCGCTCCAGCCCGCGCACCGGCCACGGCCTCCGGCCCCCACGCCCGTCCCTGCGCTCCTGCGGCCCTCGCCCTGCCTGCCGGGCGGGAGTGAGCGCCGGCCGAGGAGGAGGGTGGCTGGAGCGAGGCGCGGAGGCCCACAGGCGACTCGGGACTCCGAGGTCAGAGCGGGCAGACGTGCCGTGGTGGGCAGTCGGCACACGAGGCAGCGGCTGACAGAGGCCCTGGTGTGCGGGTCAGCGATGGTGCCCAGCTGTTGTCCAGGCCCGTCCTCTCCCGAGGGGCCTCCCCATGCTCCGCTGATGCCCCCGCGCTGCTCGCCAGCGCCAAGGAGGACCTCCGCTCAGCCCACGCGCTCCCGTGCCGCAGCGGGCCGCGCACGGGGCTAGGGAGGGGCACGGCGCTCTGTCCTGAGACCTCAGAGCCCCCGCATGGGCAGCGTGAGACGGTCGCCCGGAAAGAGCAGCGCGGGGCTCGTGGCCACTTAGGCCGCTGGTCCCTGGAAGGGGACGCCCCGCGGCTGCCCCGAGTCGCACACACCACAGAGGGGCACCACGCGCCCACCTGTCCCGATGGGCTCCAGCCCCAAAGCAGCAGGCGTGGCGTGGCCCTGCCCTGGCGTGACCCCCCGCTGGGTGCTGCTGTCTGGCAAGCAGGGTCCACGCCCAGAGGCGCATCTGCCAGGGGTCAGAGCCAGGCCTGCCTACGGGGCCTCTGTCCACGACGCCCCGTCCTCGGCTCCTCCCACTAAGCGGAGCCCCGGGGGAGACACCGATTCTCCTCCCGGCCCCCGCGCCACATCGTAGCTTTGGCCCCCAGGTGGACAAAGCACCGCCAGACACGCGCCCAGCGGGGCCTGCCGCACTCACCCGAAGGACGTACTGATAGATGATCACGAGGCTGACGGCCATGGAGATGTTGGCGAGGGAGGAGAGCAGGAAGAGGTTCTTCAGCTCGCGGATGAACACCAGGAGGGTCAGGAGCGGCAGGAAGCAGAGCATGTAGAGCCTCAGGTCGGCGCCGCTTCTCCCGCACGGCGCTGGCGACGCGGTCACATTCGGAGCCAGCACCTCGCTCTGCAGGAAGCCCTCGTGGACCTGCTCGGGTGGCCGGGGGTGGGGGGGGGAGTCCCATCAGCAGGGCCGCGAGGGGGGACAGGGGCCGGTCTGTTCTCACCGCTGGAGTCCCTTCCGGTAAACAGTTGCGTCTTTCAGAGACTTCACCCGCCCAGCTAAGGAGTCAGGGATAAATGAAGCCGGGTCACCTTCTTTGCAAGACATTTACTGTTTCATGCCGGGAAAAGGAGGTTCACCAGCCCGTTGTGGGGCGGGTTCCTCATTTACTTTGACTCTCACGATCTCATGCCCCTTCGGCGCCGGGGTGCGCTGAGGGGACCAGGCGGGAGCAGACCTGCCTGGCGACCCGGGCGCTTCCTCAGCCTGTTTTCTTCAGGGCAGGGAACAAGCTCTAAACGCCTCTCCGAAGTGCACGCTAGTAAAGGAACGACTGTAAAGTCACAGCCCGAGACTCAACTCCCGGGCTCCGAGAGCTGCGCGTCACCTTGACACGCTGCAGCCCGACGGGCTCCGGCCCCCCCCCCCCACACCCGACGCCGCTCGGTGAGGACAGACACCGGCCAGAACCGCACGTCGAGAAGGAAATGCTGATGCGGGTCAGAATCCAAGGGCGCCTCCCACTTTGCGTCTACACTGGCAGCCCAGTGAGCACTGTCCACACCGCAGGGGCAGGCTGCTGGCCTTAGGGCCCAAGGACGACCTCGGCGGCTGCTGGATGCTCAGCTCTCCTGCGCCGCCCGAGGAGCGCGTCCTCCACGCGCTGGTAACTGGCCAGGAAAACTCTATTTTACTTCTACACTTTAATATCCTAAAATAATACTTCAATTTCTGCATTTTGAAATATAAGCAAAATCAGTAATTCTATTCTTTGACCTTTAACATAATTTTGTCGACTCAGTATTCCCAGTAACAAAATCAGTTTCTTCAGCATCAAAGCCGCTCCAGCGATTAGACTGAATGATGGTCGTAGAGAAGCTGGTCTGGGGGCATCACCCGCACCGCTCAAAATTCCACAGGCGGAAAAGAGGCGATTCGGTGGTGCCCGCTGACCATTCTGGAAAGATGTCATTTCCACAGTATTCCAGGAGATGAGTCATTTCTGACCCCCGAGTTAGTCCCAGGCGTGAAGCACCCCGAGGCAGAGCCCACGGAGCAGGCGCGGATGTCGTCCGCGTGTCGCCCTCCCGCCTTCTCCTGCTCGCGCAGGCGCGGCCTGCACTGGAGTCCAGTGCAGAGGGAGGGACAGGACCATTTAGATCGGACTTTCCTTCTAGAAAGGCTGAGTAAGAACCTAATTGTTTGCACAGATCTAGGAGAGGGGAGAAAATAAATTTCAGTGGCCTCTGGGAAGAGTAAAGGCCGCCGGAAGGGAGGCGACTCGGTTCCTCGAGCACTGGGCTCTGGGCAGGCTGGAGAGACAGTGACCCCCACCCCGGGAGACCTGCCTGGGCTCGCAGGCGCTGAAGGAGCCTTTCGGCAAGGACGGTCTGCAAGGAACTGGCGGGAGATGCTCCAGGGGACTCAGAGGCGCCAAACCCAGCCAGGCCAATTCTACTGACCACCTGCTCAGCCCAGAGGGAACGCAGGACAGGAGCCGCCCTCCTCGTCCAGTCAGACCACGCCGAGTGCCTGGCGGGCCAGACGCAGCGCTGCACGCGCGGAGAAGAGCAGGGACGCGTGTCCACACCCAGAGCCCGTCGCCGCCGAGGCTGCAGACGGCGCCAGCGAGCCTCCGCGGTGGGCAGAGTCACAGGCACCCGCCCATTTCAGGACACGGCGGCCCCACGGGGAGGAGAGGGCCCCACCGCGCAGCCGACGTGCACCCCCCACCGCCCCGGCCGCTAGCCCGGCCGCGGGTGTTTCCTCACGGAACATGGACATCGAGGACATACTCCAAAGCACCCGTGAGTCCCTTTGAGCGCCAACTCCAAGTCGCCCAGAGCCCAGGGGCGATGTCCCGTGGGGTCTAAAGAACAAGCATTCTTGATACAACGGCGAGACCCGGGAAAGCGGCCAGAGCGGAAATGCAGCCAGAAGAGAGACGAAGGAAGAACCTGCGCAGGCGCGTCCCCGCGGAGGGCACACGCACCGGTGGGGTCGCCCGCGGCGCACACGGGGGCCCGAGGGGGGAACCGGCCTCACTCACCTGCTTCACGTTCTCAGCCAAGAAGACAATGTACACACTGCAGAAGCCCAGCTGCGTCACCACCAGGAAGAAGTCAACCACAGTCCTGCCAAGAGGCACCCAGATGAGCACCCGAGGGAGCTTCCGCAATGCCAGTACTTTAATTATTTTCAAACATTTTATCGTGGATACATCCTTTTTACTTCCTTAAAATAAGAAAGGCTTAAAATGGTTATTTTCCACAGCCATCTACAGTCAGGACATCACTCAAATTATTTCTGAGCAAAGGCGTGTTCCTTAAGTGAAAAGACCGATGGATTTTCCCACCATTTCTGAACGTGCTTATCACTTAAAGGCGTGTCTACAAAATGACTTCATGAAAATGTTCATCTCTTAGATTAAGCCCCTTCCCTCCTGCTCCTCAAGACGGTTCCCAGATCAACCCAGTGTGCTCCCTGGGGCCCTGCGCCATGTCATCTGCAAATCTGAGCGTGCTGTTGCTGTGGGAGGGGAGAGGACGGAGGGCGTGGCCCTGAACCACACCGCCAGCAACCGCTCCGGCAGCTCCTCTCTGTTCTAATGTCCTCGTGAGAAATTCCAGAAAGTTCCAGCTACGTGAGCTGGCGCACAGGAGCTGGGGAGGGGCGTCCCGAGACTGTCGGTGGAGTCAGCATTACTTGAGTGTAGCCATCGGTTCTCAGAACGTGCCCCGTCCTTCCTATTCCAGACACACTGAGTGAGCACAGCCACCGGCTCTCACCTGACCACCCGTGCCCGGCTTCAAGCTGTCGCAATCAGGAGGCCCAGCCTGTCTTCACTTTTTTTTAAGATTTATTTATTTTTAAAGATTTATTTATTTTTATTTGGGCCTCCCTGGTGGTGCAAGGGGTTAAGACACAACCTATGAGGCTGTCCACAGTCCCTGCAGCATGAGTTCGACCCCCAGCCAGCCAGGGAGCTACCCACATGGCACAGTAGACCTCTCCTGTCTCGCCCGCTGCTCCCCTCAGCAGTGGATTTCTGTCGTCTGCCTGTTCTGCTCCCCGCTCTGTCTCTGGTGAATCCTCTCACCCTGCATGCCTCTGGCCTATACCCCGGCTCTTGTATGCATAAATAAATAAATCTTTTTTTAAAAAGAACCAGGGTACAGGCCAGATGCGCAGGAGGGTGAGAGGATTCACTGGAGACAGTGGGGAGCAGAACAGGCAGATCTACTGAAACACACTGCTGAGGGGAGCAGCGGGGAGACAGGAGAGGTCTGCTGTGCCATGTGGGCAGCTCCCTGGCCGGCCGGGAATCAAACCAGTGCTGCAGAGGCTGTGGACAGCTTCACAGAGCGGCGCTCAACCCGTGCGCCACCAGGGAGGCCCTCTTCACTACTTTTTTTTTTAAGATTTATTTTATTTATTTATGCACACAAGAGCTGGGGCACAGGCCAGAGGTGTGGGGGTGAGAGGACTCCCCAGAGACAGAGTGGGGAGCAGAACAGGCAGATTGACGAAATCCACTGCTGAGGGGAGCAGCGGGGAGACAGGAGAGGTCTGTGCGCCCTGTGGGTAGCTCCCTGGCCGGGATCAAACTCAGGTGGCAGTGGCTGCTGAGACTTAACCCCTGCGCCCCCAGGAAGGCAGGCCCTGTCTTCACTCTTGCCCTGACTCTGCTGATCTCCTAGGTCTTCAGGGGTCTCATCTGTGAGTAATCTCCTACTGGGGAGGGAGTCAAACGTCTTCTCTCTGAAAGCTGCTCCTCTAGACAGGAACGCTAGACAAGCTGCCTCCAGGGGGCGGCAGGAGGAGAGGCGGAGAGGCGGGCTCTGCAGCAGCACCCCAGGCCACCTTCCGCCCGGCCCCCACCCCGCCCCGCCCCGCCCTGCCAGCTCAGCCCTGAGCAACTCACAAAGTCGCTGGCTTCCAGGAAGTGCTGGGAAGGCCGCACTTCCCCACAAACTGCCCAGTGCCCGCTGCACCTGCCCCTTGTGCCACCAGCGATGATTTGGTGGCCGCCTCTGCTTGTGTTTTCAGTCCCATGTTCATGTGACGGGGACCAGCCAGACCACATTCAAACGAGAGACAAGTAGGTGATGCTGAAATCCGCCCTCCAGAGGTCTGTGCGCATCTAGCTAATTATGAAAAATAATTTCACCAGTTCATAACATTGAAAAACAGAAATAAGATTTGAATCAGCTCTACCTCCAAGGAATATTTATGCTTATTCCACCAAAACCTATCATACTTCTATTTATATATTTCGTTAGATTAAAATACTGAGAAGGGCCTCCCCGGTGGTGCAGCGGATTGAGCGCGGCGCTGTGAGCTGCCCGCAGCCTCTGCAGCACGGGTTCAATCCCCTGCGGCCAGGGAGACACCCACATGGCGCGCAGACCTCGCCTGCCTCGCCCGCTGCCCCCCTCAGCAGTGTCTTTGGTCTGTCTGCCTGTTCTGCTCCCCGCTCTGGCTCTGGGGAGTCCCCTTTCCATCCCGTGCCTCTGACCTGTACCCCAGCTCTTGTATAAGTAAAAATAAATCTTTAAATAAAAAAATAAAATACTGAGAAGCTGGTGTACTTGTCGCAATTAGACAGAAGAGCAGAGCAGGCACTCACCGCCCCCACGCCGCTGGCTTCTGGAGACAGCTCCACGGACTGGCTTCCATGGCGAAACTCACAGTGTCGCTGTAACCTAGCGTGGACTTTTTAAACCTGTCGTCAATGGCACATGCGCAGAGAAAAACAACATTTTTATGTGGGTCCATAAATTCATCCCTTTGAAAGGACAGACAGCAAATAAATGGAGTTAATGAAGGCAGGGAGCATTCACTGACAGAGGGATTTTCCAAATTTCAAGAGCAACCTCGTCCCAAAACTCATCTCAGGAAATTTAAATTTTTTGTATCTGTCCTTTTTACCAAAATATATTCATTTTCATCTACTATTAAAGGATGTATTTGTAGAAGTCATACAATGTGATGTCTGTGCTTCCCCGGTTTAAATACCACAATGACTTAAAAGCATGAACCAACTGCTCGTGTCTGAGCTGTTCCACCCGGGAGCAGCGTCCCCGAGCACAGCCGCGCGGGCTCCGCGCACCCGTGTAGGCAGCCCGGAGACAGGCGCCGCTTTCTCATGTTCCAGCCCCCAGTTTTTATTTCAAGGATACTCTGTTCCTGGAAGATGGCAAGTGGCGGACCCTGAGTTTGAAGACCATTGGATAGCAACGTTTAATCAGCTAAGATTAGGAAATTAGGTTGGACGCTATAGAATAGACCCTGTCTTTTTAAAAACGGGTCCATTCTTCAACAAGAAAACAGAACGTTGTTTGACTCCCACATCTACCAGCCCACGTGTCGCCCGCCGGGCTGTATTTTAAAAGAACCACGTGCGTCCTGACCAGATCTCCGTCTCATGGAAGTCGACCTTTTTCCATATTCGTGATCTCATAGACTTGCCTCAGTAACAGATAAAAGGAAACACAGGCTCTGACTGGAGTGCGGCAGAACTACGTCTGTCTAATGTCTTAAACCACGACTTTAAAGTAAGTTAAATAGACTTAACAAATCCACATTTACCTCTGACATAGAAAGTGACTGCAACGTACCAAAATGTGCATACAGTGGACAGAAATAATTCCTATAAACACAAGGCTGATGGGTCCAAGCTGTGGGGGAAATTTATAAAGTTAAACATTTAGCAAAGACTGAGTAGCCTCATAAGCAGTGGGACAATAAGCTACTCATTTGCAGCGAATAAATATTTGTTGGACAAAACGATCGCTCATTTGCATGAGATGCAGAAAGAACTTCAGTGATACTTGAGGCGGTCTCAAGACTCCACCTTCTCAGCCCGTCCTGAGCGCGGAGCACAGGGGCAACACGGGGCAGAGCCCAGCAGTGCCCCCTCCATGCCCACTGCCCCTCGCCTCCCCCCCTCCACCGTGCCACCAGGGCAACCACGTCCCTGCAGGCACACATCTGGGCGGCAGGAGAGCCCTGAGGAGCTGGGCTTGTGGGCAGGGGGCCGCTGCGGACCATGGGGAGAGCACTTCCCCCACACGAGGAGCTAGAAAACAACTATTTGGAAAAGTGACATAAACATTTCAAGCTTAGGGCCTCCCCGGTGGCGCAGCGGTTGAGCGCTGGGCTGCGAAGCTGCCCGCAGCCTCGGCAGCGCCGGTTCGATCCCCGGCTGCTCCCCGGCCACCGGAGGAGGATCCCACATGGTGCGCAGACCTCTCCTGCCGCCCGCTGCTCCCCTCAGCAGTGTCCTTCGGTCCTTCTGCCTGCTCTGCTCCCCGCTCTGGCTCTGGTGAATTCTCTCACCCTCCCGCGCTTCTGACTGTACCCAGTGCTTGTATAAATAAATGAATAAATAAATCTTTAAAAAAAAAATTTCAAGCTTAATATAATTAAATTACAATAGTGAGACAGGTAAATATTGCCAAAGGTTATTTGATACATTATCATGAATTTAAAAATATTTCTAAATTAGATTATATGCAGCAAAGATGTCATTTAAAACTGGTTTTTAGAAAACTGGACTATTAAAAAAAATAAATATACTTTTATTATGTCACAAGTGAATCCTCCATCAAGATTCTCTGTAATTAAAATAATTACTCTGATCATCCCTTGAACATTTGTTTCTAAAAGATACTGTTAGTCCTTTCCCTGACTGCGCCTTAAATCTCAAAACTACACATTTTGTTCTGAAACTACCAAAGGTCGCAACACAAACATCTGCTCTACGCGAATGTGTCGCCTGAGGACGCTGCTCAGCCCCGGGCATTCGGGAGGCAGCAGGCCCGGAGGAGCACCGTTCCAGGCCCTTTTTGTCAAACATTGTAAGTAAATAGAAAAGTAAATTCTTATTCTTTGTTAGACACTGTCCCGCGCGAGGGGTTGTATCAGCACCACTGCTCGCTGGCTAGCGGGCCGGGCCGGGCCGGGCCGGGGCAGCTCGCGGCGGGACTTGGGCACATCCCGGCTCCGCGGCCGCGCAGCAGAGGTTTCCAGGGCGGGTCTTACCACGACGCCTGCGTTTTTTATGGCCAGTGGAAGTCCCAGGAGGCCGGTTCCGATGTTTCCTTTAAGAAGGTGCATAAGAGTCTGCACAAATCTGAAAGGTAAAAGTTGTAGAAAGTGAAAAGATGAAACATTTTAGGGCAGAAGCGGACGTGCCCCGGGTCAGGAGGACAGTGGAGACGCATCTAGACGCGCGGAACGAAGGAGCTTTTCCCTCCACCCGGGAGGTCTGGGGCGCCGCCCGAGGAGGGGACTGGAGACGTCCAGGTTAACACGCTCAGGCCAGACCAAAACCAGGTGAACTTCAGACACGGTGAGCTGGCCGGGGCCTCCCCTAGAGGAGCCGCCAGGGGCATCTAAAGGGGCCTCGTCACCAAAAGAAATGAACTAAGGTGGGAACGTCCGCGACCTTCCAGCCCCCGGCCCGGCCCCCGGCCCGGAGCGGGGGGCGCCTGGCTCCTGTCTGCGTCCTTGGCCGTGCTAGCGAAGTGACCTGCTAGTGAAGTTGTTACAGGGGCGCAGGACATCCTTTCCCCCTGACAAAGTGACCTGCTGGCAGGCGAGGCACAGACTGGACACCGCGGAGGGCACAGAGAGCAAGGGGGGGGCAGAGGGCGCGGAGAGGGCGCACTCACGAAATGCCCGCCTGGCCGTGCAGCTGGCGGTGCTTCTGCACCGGGGGCCGCTCCTGCCCCGGCTCCTCGTCTGACATCTCGTCAAAATGCTGCTCGTCCATCAAGGGCACCATCACGTCCATGTCTGCAGAGGAGGGAAGCGGGCGCCTCGCTGTGGCTTCCAAGGTGGCGCCGGCCCAGTGCGAGCGGCTACAGGGGCAGGGGCTCGGCGTCCTCACCGTGGCCACCGCGGGTGCCCGGCCGCTGCGGGGCTGGCAACGCCTGCAAGAGCAGCAGCTGCGCCGACCCACGCCCGCTGGCGGCTCTCGCCGGGCACAGGCCGGAGCGCGCTCTGCCGTGGCTGCTCCAGGCTTGCGGGCCACGGTCGCGGCTTTCCGGGGTGACAGGGTGAACGACCCCGTATTTTCACCCCCCATATGCAGCGAGGCGTGCTGTTTATCAACAGCGGCCATGTACTTAAATACTTTAAGAAAATTATAAAGGCATTCCAATCCTTGGGATTTCGGCCTCCAATCCGCTGTTCTTTCTGACAACTTTCAGTGGTTTTGCTCCATTCAAGGAAGAGGGCAGCCCCTCACTAAGTCACCTTGCCGGCGCCTGACGCGCTCTCCCGAGTCCGAGCCCGTGATGGTTTAAAGAAATGAAAGTGTGAGGGCCTCCCGGGTGGCGAGTGGTTGAGCGCTGGGTGCGAAGCTGCCCGCAGCCTCTGCAGCGCCGGTTCGATCCCCGGCTGCTCCCCGGCCACCGGAGGAGGGTCCCCCATGGCACGCAGACCTCTCCTGCCGCCCGCGGCTCCCCTCAGCAGTGTCCTTCGGTCCTTCTGCCTGCTCTGCCCCCGCTCTGGCTCTGGTGAATTCTCTCGCCCTCCCGCGCTTCTCACTGTACCCAGTGCTTGTATAAATAAATAAATCTTTAAAAAAACAAAACACTCTTTTTTAAAAAAAAAAAGAAATGAAAGTTTTTCGCTCACATACACGAGAGGGGACAGAAATGCTCTAACTGGCCTGGCCGGGCGCGGCTGGTGGCTGGCTTTCTAGAACACGCCGTCTGGGAATAGTTTCAGGCTTGCACCGCGCTGGCATGAACGGTGCCAGCCGCCCCGGACCCTCACCCACTCCGACTGCGGCATGTCGCTGCCTCACCCCAGTGCCCTGGCTGTGCGGCCTGTTCTCCAGGGGCGGGGGCACGCGCTGAGACACCCCATGACGCCGGGGGCCGCGAGCGCCCCTCCGAGTCGTCGAGCACCACCTCGATAAAAACGGACAGTCGCCCAAGAAGAGGCCCCTGCGCGCCCGCCTCCCGGCCACAGCTCAGGCGGCGCGGGGGCTGCCGGGCGGCCGGCCCGGGTCCATCGGTCGCCTCCCTGACGCCGGCGACGTCCCTCCGTGGGGGCCACCGAGGGCTCCGCGCTGGGCTCTGGTGGCTCCTTTCACCGTTTTACCTTTTGTGGCCCCTTCCTACTCCTTTTCTCATTTCCTCTTTCCCTCTCTTCCCCGCCAGCCGTCAACCGCGGCCCGAGGCCCGCCTCTGGTAAGTGAATGGTCTTGTTCCGTCTTGGTCTTCCTCTGCCCTGCGCGCCCGGCCCCGGCGCCTTGTCCCTTGGCACCGTCCACGGGCCTTGCTCTGCCCGCCCCGCCGGGCCCCGCCGGGCCGAGAGCACACCCCGGGCCAGCGGGCCTGGAGCACCCGCGCCTCTGCCGGTCCTCCAGACGTGCGGGTGAGCGGGGCGCCTGCCCTGAGCCCTGGCCGCTGCCCCGCCTGGCGGGAAGCACCGACGGCGGATTCCACCCAACACGCCCGTCCTCCAGCGACCCGTGCGGAGTCTGCATTTCGTCTGTTCTGCACCGGACTCGGCGGGGCTGCTGCCTCTCGCGCCAGCCGGAGAAGCCGGGGTCCGCCGGGACCCCGCCGGGCGCACCGCCCGCAGGCCCCGGCTGTGGCGGCCTCTGGCCCCGCCGGGCTCTCTGGCCGCGCCGCCCCACAGACCCCACCCGGCGCCCCCTCCTCTGCGGTCACCCCCGCCCGCCGGAGGCTCCTTGCACAAGGCCGGGCGTGTTGTCAGACGCTTCCCGCCGCGGCCCCGCCCGCCCCCTTCCCCTTCCCACAGCCTCCACCGCGGGAGCACCTGCCTGGCCGCCCCTCCTGCCGCTGCCCCTCCTGCCGGACCGGCCCGAGAGCAGGTCTCCGGGGGCTCCTGCCGCCCCCGCGCCCGCGGGCCGGGCCTGGGAGCCGGTGAGCCGCGCGGCGGCGACGCGAGAGTCGCGGCCTGTCCCCGCCGCCACGCCCGTGCCGCCCGGCCCTGCGCTGCCCACCCTGCCCCGCTGGCCGCGGCCGCCCGGCCCTGCGCTGCCCACCCTGCCCCGCTGGCCTCGGCCGCCCGCCGGCCTGCGCTGCCCACCCTGCCCCGCTGGCCTCGGCCGCCTGGCCCTGCGCTGCCCACCCTGCCCCGCTGGCCACGGCCGCCCGCCGGCCTGCGCTGCCCACCCTGCCCCGCTGGCCTCGGCCGCCCGGCCCTGCGCTGCCCACCCTGCCCCGCTGGCCTCGGCCGCCGGGTCCTGCGCTGCCCACCCTGCCCCGCTGGCCGCGGCCGCCGGGTCCTGCGCTGCCCACCCTGCCCCGCTGGCCTCGGCCGCCTGCCGGCCTGCGCGCGAGGGCATCAGCCACCTCGGGGCGGCTCCCGGGCATCGCGGAGCAGCAGCCCTGGCGGGCGAGGGTCGCGCCTCCGCCAGGACGCTCGGCCCCTGCCCTGGGGGCCTCGCGCGGGCACCGGCCACGGCCCCCCCGCCCCCCCCCGCCCCAGCCCGGAGCCGGCGGAGCCGCTGCCCAGCGCGCCCGGAAGGGCCGCCCGCGGGTGGGGCCGCAGACCCCGGGCCTCTGTCCACGCGGCGCCCGCGGCCGCCCCTGCGGGGTCCCCGCGGGTGCCCCGCGCCCCTGCCCGGCAGCGCCGCGCCCGCGCCCCCCCGCCCCCCCCCCGCGCCCCCGGGAAGACGGTCCTGGCGGCGGCCTGGCCGGGCGCCCCGAACCCCGCTCCGGCCGCGCGCGCTTCCTCTGGGCCGGCCCGGGGGCCCCAGCAGGACAGACGCGGGGGGCGGGGTGCAGCGGCCGCGGGAGCCTCAGCCCGGCAGCCCCGCCAGGCCCCCCCCCGCCCCGCGCGCCCCCCCCCCCGCCCCGCGCCCCGCGCCCCCCGCCCGCCGGCGCCGGCAGCAGGCCCCCCTCCCCCCCCCCCGCGCCCCGACCGCCCCCCGCGGCCGCACCCACCGAGCTCCTCGCGCCCCGGGGGGCCGAGGCCGGGGCCGCCGCTTCCATCGCTCCGGGGCGTCCAGCGCCAGCCGGGCCGGACTCGGGGCGCGGCCGCCGTCAGGAGCATGCGCCGTGCGCGGGGGGGGGGGGGGGGGGGGGCGGTGCCGTCCGGGGTTCGCGGCAGCCGGTCGGGGCGGGGAGGCCCGCGCTCTGCGGGTGGGGGGGGGCCTGACTGGGGTGGGATGGGGGGCCCTGGCGGGGGAATTGGGGGGGCCGGGGGCCCTGGCGGGGGCGACTGGGGGGACGGGGGGGGGCCCTGGCGGGGGGACTGGGGGGACGGGGGGCCCTGGCGGGGGCGACTGGGGGGACGGGGGGGCCCTGGCGGGGGTGACTGGGGGGACGGGGGGGGGCCCTGGCGGGGGCGACTGGAGAGACGGTGGGGGGGCCCTGGCGGGGGTGACTGGGGGGACGGGGGGAGGGGGCCCTGGCGGGGGTGACTGGAGGGACGGGGGGAGGGGGCCCTGGCGGGGGTGACTGGGGGGACGGGGGGGGGGCCCTGGCGGGGAGGGGGTGTTGCCGGGCCCTGCAGCCGACCCCACTTCTGGCCGCGCCCCCGGAGGAGACGCCCGGAGCCGGCACCGCCCGCCCAGCCCCCCTGCGGGCCGCGGGGCTCGTCGGGGCTCCGTGTCCAGCCCGGAGCGGGCGCCTCGGTGCCCAAGCTGGGGTCAGGCTGCCCCCTCGGAGCTCGGGGTGTCGGCCCGAGGCTTCCCCTCGGATCCCGGGATCCCCGACGCGCACCCCCAGGGAAGGGCTTTGTCCGAGCGGCTCCCACAGGGGCCCCCCCAGAGCCGGGCCTGCCCTGGGGCTCGGGCCAGCGCGGTGGGGCGGGGTGGGGGGCCCCGCGGCTCACACTCGCGGCGGCCTGTCCCCCGCGCCCGGGGCCAGCCTGACCTTCAGCTCCGCGGGGAGGCCGGCGTGAGGCTCCCGGTGATGTGGGGGGCCGAGGCGGTGCCCTGCCCTCAGGGGCCTCTCTGCCCGCGGGGACACGGACCCCGGCCGCGCCAGCCTGTGCCTCTGGGGGACGCATTTCAGGGCCTCGCCTGCTTTCATTTTTTTTTAAGGTTTATTTATTTATGCTACAAGAGCCGGGGTGCAGGCCTGAGGTGTGGGGGTGAGAGGACTCCCCAGAGACAGAGCGGGGAGCAGAACAGGCGGATCCTCTGAAACCCACCTTGGAGGGAGCCGGGGGAGCCGGGAGGGTCTGCTGCGCCCGGGGCCGCTCCCTGGCATTGCTCTGCAGTGCGGTGCCCACCCCCTTGCTCCCCCGGGGAGGCCCCTCTCCTGCTTTGAGACGGGGTTTTGCTGCCGCTGCTGTCGGGGTGCCAGTGAGGTGCCTGGTCCTCGTGAGGGACGCAGCTCACGGCACCGGCTGGGCTCCCCGCGCCCAGGCCGCCTTCGCGCCGCTGCTGGTTCCTTGGGCTCCGGCTCCTTTGTGCTTTGATGTCGCCCCTTGCTGGTTGTCGCTTTTGTCCCGCGGCTTTTGGACACAGACCCGGGAAAGCTCCGCGGCCCGTGGCGAGGAGCTCGGCCCCTGCTGTCCTCTCGGCTCTGCGGCTTCGGGCCACGCCGGGCCCCTGGCCGTCCTCAGCCATTTCTGCCAGGCCGGGCTGCTCCCGCCCGAGCACCCGCCCGCCCCGCCGCCGCTCTGGGCTCCTGGAATCCAGCCGGGGGTGTTCACGTCAGTCGCCTCGGAGCGCAAAGGCAGCCGCTGCGGGATCTAAACGCTCACCGGCCAGGAACGCCGTGTCCCAGGGACTCTGCAAACCGCTGAGCGTTTCCAGCCGCGCGGGAAGGGTCTTTGGCCCCAGGGGCAGGTGGCGGCCCCGGCTGCGCCCGGCGAGGCTAGGACGGTGCCGGCCGCACACGTGCCAGCGCGACTCGGTTCTGGACGTTTGGCTGACGGGCCCCGGGAGTCCCCTGCAGGAGCCCCCCAGGGAAGGGGCGTCCTGACTCAGGCAGACCCCCTCGCCGGGGCGGGGCCGGTGCCGCCGAGCACGGGAGACGGTCTGGGCCCCCGACGGCAGCAGCCCGGTCGCGGTTCTGAAACGTTCAGGACGTTTGCAGCCTAAAGCGCGACCGTGTCTGGAAAGCTCTTGAGGTGTTTGTCATCCATCCCCAGGCATTCTGATGGAACTAGCATTTGACACCGAATCTTCTTCCTTGTTGCGGCAAGAAGAGCCTCCCGCCAGCCAGGCCAGCGGCTCACAACCTCCCCGCGGCCCGCCTGCCCCCCACTCCCCCCGCGGCCGCTCGCACTCAGCCTCCGGCAGGCGGTGGGTGACAGGAGCAGGCGGGCGGTGAGCCGGGCGGGAACCGTCCTCTGGGCCCCCTGCGCAGGCTGCGTAGCTCCTGTCAACACCCCGCCCGCGGCCAGGCCTGCAGACCCGCTGTGCACTGGCCGCCTGGACGCGGCCTGCGAGTCCTGTCACCCTGGAAAACTTGCCGCTGGCTCCATCCCTCTGTTCCTGGACATGGGCAGGGCTGGGGGCTGAAGACGGGTGAGATCACAGGTGAGGTCGGTCTCGTCCAGCGAGTCAGCCGCCCCCCCCCCCGCCTTCTGTCGGCCATAGCTAACGGTAGGGAGACCGAGGCCCGTCCCGTGGCCTGGCCCACCCCGCCAGACTCTAGAGAGCGCTCCGGGCCCGGCAGGGGCTGTGGGCGCCTGTCCACTCGGCTCACCACCGACGGCTCGTGAGCCAGTCACGAGGGGCTGGCATGTCCGTCTGTCTGGCATCATGGCCCCCAGAGGGGTCCTGGCCCCCAGAGGGTCAGAGAGGCCGTGGCACCCTGAGGCAGGGGCCTCCCCGCCTTGTGTCCTCCCTTGCCCCGGAGCACGGCGCCCCGAGTTCCTGCTGAAGCTCTTGCCTGACCGGGGCCCAGCTGGGCCCCAGCGCCAAGAGGAAGCTGTTCCTGGCGCCTCCTGCCGGGGCCTGCAGGTGGTTAAACATTAGCCCGCGGCCACGGAGGCCTGTGCTGCCTCGCAGGAGACGCCGCGGCGTGAGACTCCACGGGCAGATCCTGCCGCGTGCGCTCCCTCCTCCTCACCAGACCGCGCAGGGCGCATCTCCACCCGGGCTTGGGGCCGTGGGGGTCCTGGCCGCTGCTCAGTGGGTCCCCGCGGCAGGTGTGACGGGAGAGAGCGGGCCCCGCCCATGGCACCCAGGTGCTGGCCCGCCGGCTGCAGCCACACCGGGAGGGCGGGACCAAGCCCCTGGGGCAGCCCGGGACACGGCCTGCGGGCAGTGACATGGGCTGGGGACGTGTGCCGACGTGACGGCGGGGCTAGCGGCTGTCGGGGTGCGAGGTGCTCAGAAAAAGGTGCTGTTTTAAAAAGAAAACGTCATGAGCCGCGTCCTCTCAGGCCCGGCTGGCAGCAGCCTCGTGGCGCCCGTCCACGGCTCGTGCTGTCCAGTCATGCGCACGCGCAGCGTCTGGGTCTGCGCTTCCCTCAGGAAAGCAGCCTCGCGCCGGGCACGGATGCCCCACCAGGCTCGTGCGTCTTGCTGTCTGCTCCGGTCGGCGTGCTGACCCCAAGGAGGCCGCACAGGCTTTGAGTCGGAGCCGTGAAAACCGACAAGCAGCAGTTTGCTTGCTCGAAGTGGCACCTCCTGTCCCCGGCCCCCAGCTGTGTCACGAGCCCTTCCCCACCCGCTGTGGCCCTGACCCCACCGCCACCGCCCAAGCGGGGCTCTCCAAGGAAAGAAAAATGCTTACATGATGACGTTTATGTTTGTTTTTTAAGATATATTTATGTATGCACACAAGAGCTGGGGCACAGGCCAGAGGTGGGGGGGGGGTGAGCGGATTCCCCAGAGACAGAGTGGGGAGCACAACAGGCGGACGGACTGAAATCCACTGCTGAGGGGGGCAGCGGGGAGACAGGAGGGGTCTGCTGCGCCCTGTGGGCAGCTCCCTGGCCGGGGATCAAACCAGCGCTGCAGAGGCTGTGGACGGCTTCGTAGGTTGTGTCTTACTCCCTTGCGCCACCAGGGAGGCCCGACGTTTAGGTTGTTTAAAGAAAGCTCCGACTTGTACCTGATTTCATTTGAGACCCAGGGCAAGCGAGGAATTAGGCAGTTTTAGGGACACTGCAGGAGGGGACCTCGGGGAACTGAGGGAGGCTTCAGAGAGAAGGGCAGCAAGAGGCGTGTCACCCATTCCACCTGGAACAACAAGCCTCCCAGGGCCAAGGACAACATTGGTGACGCTGGTCCTGGTTTCCTTCGGGTGGGAAAGGGAGGCGGAGATCGGGGACATGGAGCGTGGTTTCATTCACGGGCCTCTCAGAGGGCGGCTGTTGAACTTCAAGGCCGGGAGGCCCACGCGAGGACTGGGCCATAAGACAGAGACGCAACACATGGGGAAAGAGAAAGCCGCTAGAGAAGGAGTGTGAAGACCCCCGCTCAGGAGCAGACGAAGTGAGACAGCCGAGAGCTGACCCACCACAGGAGGCGGGGGCTGTAGAGTGATGAGGGAAGAAGGTCTATGTTCCCTGGGACACGACGCCACTTGGGCTTCCTCACCGCCCCCCCCCCCCCCCCCGGCCTGGCTCCCTGGCCCGGGAGTCCCGCTTTGTTTCTGCTCTTTTTCTCCTCAATAAACTTCTTCTTTCTCTAAACAAACTGCCTCTTCTCGCTTGCTGGCCTGAGCGTCTGCGAAGTTCCTGCTGCGGCTTCTGAGACACCCGCCCGTGGGGGTCTCGTGGCCGGGGCTCCGCGCTGCCCTGCGGCCTGGGGTCCGTTCCTGGCTGGGAGCCTAGGCCTGACAATTCCGGCATCACTCTCAACGACCGCACCCCCGTTCTGAAGGAGAGAGGACCGCGGTGACATCTGCTGGCCTCCTCCTGCAGCCACTGCGCATTCTGGCGGGAGCTGCCCCTCAGCAGGCCTCCACCTCGAGTGCCGGAGAAGCGGGTGTCCCTGCGGCCCCCAGCGCTGCCTGGCGGGGAAGGCGGCTCCCGCTGGCTCCGCCCCACGGGCGATCTGTGCTCTCCCTGCCAGGCCTCGGGGCTGGGCGGCCCCCACTCTGCAGTTTCCAGAGGCCCCTTCCTGAGGGCCCAGGTGGCCTCCGCCCCTCATCCCAGCACCAGAGCCGCAGGGGCCTCCGCGACCTCTCCCTCCGCAGCCTCTGCAGCGAGCAGCTCCGGGCTGACACCAGCGCTGGGTGTTTGACTTGGAGCAGGACGCGCCCTGCTGGCCCGGGGGCGGGGCCTGTCCCGAGTCCCGGAGGAGCCTGTGCTCCCCAGGGCGCCCAGGAGAGGCCCAGGGGCCGAGCACACGTCAAGCGTCAATGTCCCGTTAGCAAGCGGCAGGCACGGCTGTCCAGGGCAGGCTGGGGTCTCTGAGGCCCCCCCCCACCGCCGTGCACCCCTCGCCTGCAGCTCTCCTGCTCACTGCTCTTGCGGGCGCAGCGGGAGTCAAGATGTCAGAAGTGGTGCGGGGAGGGGGAGCGGCCAGGACTCTGCCGTCAGGGAGAGAGCGGAGCACGTTCCAGAGCCCCCCGGCGCTGCTTGTCCACCCTGCTCCGTCAGGACCCCAAGGCCGCCAGCCTCTCCCTCCTCGCTGGGGGTCAGGGCTTCGCCCCACGCCACGGGTCAGCCTCCCAGGAGAGCCCCAGCCAGGGGTGCGGTGAGCCTGCGGCGCCGGGGAAGCCAGCCGGACCCGGGGAACCGGACCTGCCGCGGGCACCGATGTCCCAGCAGCCGGGCGGAGGGCAGTGTGGGCCTGTGGCGGCTGCGCGGCGGCTCGCGGGGCAGGGCGCCCCAGGGGCGGCGCTGGGAGTCCGTCAGCCGCTCTCTCGCCTGAGACCCGGAGGCTGGGCCTCCGCACAGCCGGCAGCAGCTCCCTCTCCGGAGGGGCAGCCGCTGCCCACCGGATGGGCAGACGGAGCCAGAAAATGACGTGAGCACAGACGCCCCCAGCAGCCGGCACGCGCGCCCCAGCGTCCCACGCGTCCCCAGTCACGGGAACTGAGTCTCAGGAAACCTGCTGCGTTTTGCTGTTTTAAAGATGAGGCATGGGGGGGGGCGGGGGGAGTCGGGCGGAGCCCTCCAGCCGCCTCCCACCCCAACCTGGCCACCCGCGCCCTGCGGCTCCGCCCGAGGCGGGGAGGAGAGGCTGCGGGAGGGGCCGGCCTCCCCAGGGGCTGCCGCACCCACCCCCTGCTCGGGCCTGGCGCACCCTCGCTCGCCCTGGCGCGGCTCCTCCTCTCGGCAGCAAGGCCCGTCCAGCTTCAAAAGCCGAAAGCAGAGCCGGCTTCGCCCAGGTGGCCATAGGTCCCTCCTGCTCTGCGCAACGGGCTTGCGGAGGAGGCAGCGAGTCTCCCGGCGACGCCCGTAACCGCGAGGAACAGGGAGGGACCCGCAGGCCCGGCAGACCCCGCCTGTCTCCCCGCTGCCCCCTCAGCAGGTGTCTCAGTGGATCCGCCTGTCCTGCTCCCCGCGCTGTCTCCGGGGAGGCTCCCGCCCCACGCCTCCGGCCTGCGCCCAGCTCTGGGGCTGGAATAAATCAACCTTGAAAGGAAAGGGACAGTTCAGGGACAGAGCCGCCTGCTTTGAAACGACGAAGGTTGACGTGGCGCCTCCCCTGGCGGGCGTGGCCTCCTGCCGCGGGGTCCTCTTTCCCTCGAGGGGGCCTGGCCCTTCTCCTCCTTCATGAACTTGACTCGCCTCAGTGGTAGGTGATGTCCGAGCAGGCGAGGCGGGGAATGCGCCAGAAGCCCTGGCCTGTACGAGCCGAGAGGACGGGCCGCGTCCTCCCAGGGGCCCCTGGGACTTGCGCTGGGGGGACGCCCCGCCTGCCCGGACCCGGGGTGCGGCCAAGTTCCCACCGCCCGGCCCTGGGCCGTGGCCACAGCGGTTCACAGACGGTCAGCGACAGTTTGGGTTTCTGGATCCCGCCACCGCGGACTGAGGCGCGCCCTCTGCCCCGACCTGGACTCAGGCCCGCGCCCCGCAGCAGGGCCACCCCCCCCCCCCACAGGCGGTTTTCAGAAGCTTGTCCGGGAAAACAAAGGAGGAAAATGTTTTGGCTTATTTTTGCCCCAGTGAAGGCGGCAAGTGTTCGCTCGGGGGTGACCTCTGACGCCCCAAGAGCAAGCCCTCCCGGGGCCCCGGCTCACGCCGCCACTGGCCGCGGGCCGGTGGGCCTGGCGTGGTGGGCCTGGGAGATGGGCCTGGGCCGGTGGGCCTGGAACGGTGGGCCTGGGCTGGTGGTGGTCCTGGGGGGGCCTGGGGGGGCCTGGGACCGTGGGCTGCCCACGCGAGCGAGACCGCCTGGGAGCCACTGCCCCAGCTGTGTCCCGTGTGCCGTGTCCCGTGTGCCGTGTGCCGTGGCGGGAGCGCCTTGCAGTCCTGAGCTTCGGAACTCAGGTGGAGCCGGTGGCGAGGGGCAGCCCCAGACCAGAGTGGCAGACAGTGGGGGCACCCAGAGGGGGGTGGGGAGCGGTAGGGTGGGGAGGGGGGGGGGAGCCAGGGGGAGTGGGGAGCCAGGGGCGTGTGGGGAGCCGTGGGGCGTGGGGAGGGGGCTCCTCCCTCACACTTGGGAAGCGAGTATTTTCCAAACAGAAAATCCGGAGACTTAGAAACCTCGGGAGCTGGGAGCAGAGGCCTGTGCTGCGGCCGGCCATGTCCACGCGTGCCGTGTGCGTGTGTGCGTGCGAGTGTGCGTGTGTGCATGCGTGCGTGTGCGAGTGTGCGTGTGTGCATGCGTGCGTGTGCGAGTGTGCGTGTGTGCATGCGTGCGTGTGCGTGTGTGTGTGCATGCGTGCGTGTGCGTGCATGTGGCTGTGTGTGCGTGTCCCGCGTGTGCGTGTCCCGCGAGCGCGCGGCCGTCTCCGCCCTGGAACCCGCGGGTGGACGAGGCGCGTCACCCATTATCGTGGAACCCCGCGGCGGGCGGGCAGAACGCGGGGCCGGCCCGGTTCGGCCCACTTCGCTGCCCCCGCCGCGGGTCTCGGGTCCCGGTAGGCGCGGGCGGCGCAGGGGTGGGGGTGACCCGGCGTGGGGTTCCCCGGCCCCCAGGGCGGCGCTGGAGACCCGGCCCGGTGGGGGCCCCACCCCCGTTTCTGCGCCGGCGGCGGGGGGTCCGGGCGGCGGGGCGCGGGGGTCCGGGCGGGGCGCGGGGGGCGTGGGGGGCGGGCGGGGCGCGGGGTGCGGGGGGGGCGCGGGGGGCGGGCGGGGCGCGGGGTGCGGGCGGGGCGCGGGGGTCGGGCGGGGCGCGGGGGTCGGGCGGGGCGGGGCGCGGGGGGCGGGGCGGGGCGCGGGGGCGGGCGGGGCGGGGCGCGGGGCGGAGCGGGGCGGGGGGGCGGGGCGCCGGGCGGGGCGCGGGGGCGGGGCGGGGCGGGGCGGGGCGCGGGGGGCGCGGGGGGCGGGCGGGGGGCGGGCGCGGGGCGGGGCGCCGGGCGGGGCGCGGGGGGCGGGCGGGGCGCGGGGTGCGGGCGGGGCGCGGGGGTCGGGCGGGGCGGGGCGCGGGGCGGGGCGGGGCGCGGGGGGCGGGCGGGGCGGGGCGCGGGGCGGAGCGGGCGGGGGGGCGGGGCGCCGGGCGGGGCGCGGGGGGCGGGCGGGGGCGGGGCGGGGCGGGGCGGGGCGCGGGGGCGGGCGGGGGCGGGCGCGGGGCGGGGCGCCGGGCGGGGCGCGGGGGCGGGCGGGGCGCGGAGCGGGGCGGGGCGGGGCGCCGGGCGGGGCGCGGGGGCGCGGGGGGCGGGCGGGGCGCGGGGGCGGGCGGGGCGCGTCCCCCCGGCAACAGGCGGCGCCGCCGCGCGTCCCCAACCGCCGGGCGCGGGGCTCGGATCCGCCCGGGGCCTCGCGGGCAGCGGCGGCGGCGCAGGTGACCGGGCGCGGGGCGGGGGGCGCGGGGCGGGGGGCGCGGGCCCCCGGGGAGAGCACCGCCCCCCGCCCCCCAGCGGAGACCGCGGCGCCCCCCAGCTGCGGGGCGCGGCGGGGGCTCTGGCGTCCCGACGTCAAGGGAGCCCCGCGGCGCCCCCTGGAGCGCTGGCGCCCCCCGCCCCCCACTCCCTGCGGGGCTCGCGTCCTGGGGCTCCCGCCCGCGGGGCGCGGGGCGCGGGGCGGGCCTGAAGCCGGGGCCGCGTCCCCCGAGGGCTTTGTCGCGGGAAGGGGTCTGACCTCAGCGGGGCGCCGAACCCCTCTTTGTCACGAGGGTGCGCGGAGCCCTGGAGGAGGCGCCCGATCGTGTCCGGGCCCCAAGATTTCTGTTTCCTTAAAGACTCACCCACTTATGCCACAGGAGCCGGGGCGCAGGCCCGAGGCGGGGGCGAGGGGGCTCCCCAGAGACAGGGGGGCGCAGAGCAGGCGGCTGGAGTGAACCCCCCTGGGGGGCCGCGGGGAGACCGGAGGGTCTGCTGGGCCGGGGCAGCTCCCGCCCGGGATGGAACTTCGCTTCACGGGCTGCATCTTCACCCCTTGCGCCGCCAGGAGGCCCAAGATTCCTATTTTTTGCCCTAAATCTGCTGCTGTGCTCACTCAACCCAGAAGGGACGAGGGCCTCGCTCCGCTGAGCCCGTGGGGCCGGGAGGAGGGCGCAGCCCCCTGCGGCTCCCCTGGGCAGGAGGGGCCGCAGGACCAGGCCCCACCGGCTCCCCTGAGCCCCTCCTGTCGCCCAGGGCGGGCGGCCGTGGTGACCCCCGCGTGCTGCCTGACCAAGCGCTTCACCCCTCGGGCTCGGGCTCCTGCCGGGGCTCTGGGGGGACCGTTCCTGGCCCCGCAGGCTGACCCAGACCCCTCCCAGCAGGAGGAGAGGAAAGGCCTGTGAGCCTGAGCCGCTGCCCGCATGGACGGCCCCGCCTGCGGCCCGCCGGGGTGAGTGCCGCCCGCCTGCCGCCTGTCCCTTGACGCTTTATTTTCTAAGGTTTATTTTGCATTCGTCGGTGCATCTAAGAGCTGGGGTGCAGGCCAGAGGTGGGGGGAGTCCCCAGAGACGCGGTGGGGAACCAGACAAAACACAACAGATTCAGCGCTAGCGGGGGCAGCGCCAGTTGTCTGGGGAGGAGGGAAACCCAAGTGGCCGCCAGTGCCAGCCCCACTCACGCCCCCGAATCTGCCCTGCAAACCCCTACTCCTGGCTTTGGGTGTTTCTGGTGCTTTGGGGTGACCGGCCCACACCAGCCCCCAGGGCTCCGCCTGCAGGCAGCAGGCCGGCCGCTCCCCCTCAGTGCCTGCGCTTGCTGAGGCCGGAGTCCACGGCTCCGGCGGGGACCAGCAACAGGGCAGAGGCGCCCAGGGGAAGGACAAGGGCTCCTCCTTGGCACAACCCCCACCCCCTCCGGTCACCAGCACCACAGACTGTCCCATCGCCGACCCTCGGGCCTTGGGCGCGGCCGAGCTGGGAGGCTGGCGTGCCAAGGGCTGCCACGGTGCCCACCTGCAGTCGGGCACTGTTTTCTGCTCAGTCCTCGACTCACCGTCGGGTCTTGGGCGCTGACGACGCCCAGGAAGACCCCTCGTGAGGCCAGCGGGGCGGCTCTCTGCGTGCTCCACCGGATCCGCCCCCGCCCCCCGGGGCCAGGGAGTACCCGCTGCTGCCAGAGGGCAGGTGGGGGCAGAGGCGCGCACACGGCTGCTCCTGGCATGGCCCCCAGGCCCTGACGGTGGCTGCAGCTCTGGGCTCCATGATCCCAGCCGGCGACTCCCACATTGCGAGCCCTGGGCCTGGGACGCGCCGCTTCCCTGTGGGAGCAGGTGCACGCGACAGGCCTGGTGGTGCCACCATCGCCCCGCTGGCGCCCATCGGAGCGGGTCTGAGCGGGGCGCAGTGGCACGTGAGGAGCTGCGGGGCCAGGGCGCTGCAGCGGGGCAGGGCTTCGCGCTGGGCGGCTCGCGGTCCTCAGGCTGGGGGAGCGGCGCGCAGGGACCCCCTCTTGCAAGGCCAGGCCTGGAGGGTGGACTCAGCTGCCAGCGCTTCCCCAGGGAGGGCTAGTCTGCCGCTTCTCGGGGCCAGCAGCCGGCACTTTGTCCCTGTAGGTGAAAAGCAACACCTCAGCTTGTCAGCTTTGTTTCAGTAGGTTCAGGGCCGGGAGCAAAATGCCCGCGATCACCCCGCAGCCCCCCTTCCTCCTGAGGCACCTCGTCTGCGGCCTGCCCCGGGCCTCCCGCCCTCCCCCTTCTTGTCGGACCCTCCCAAAGCTGCAGGTTCTGCCACGGGCCCCCCGGGCTGCTCTTAGCAGCGGGCGGTGCCGGTCCGCACGGGGCGTCGGGCTCGGAGCGCCTGTGGAGCTTGTCCTGTGCGCGGCGCGTCGGCTCCTCTGAGCGACATCCGGACCCGCAAGCACGGCCTTGCTGCCAGTGCCCGGAACACCCCCACCGCGAGTGGCCGCCGGCCGGCCAGTCGGGGGCCTCGGACCGTTCGGGGGGCCTCTGGCATTTTAGTTCAGGAAACTGAATTTGGGGCCTGGTGCCCGCCTCTCGCCTGCGCGGTGGAGCCCATGTGTGCCGGTCCCGGCGCAAGCGCGGCCTGCGGGACGGGCGGGTGGGGCCACAGCTGCCCCGGGTCCAGCCGCTTTCTCTCCCCAGCCCTGCGGCCCTGCACCTGCACCTCTCAGGCTTCCTGTTTTTTCCCCCCAAAATACTAAGTGACGGTCAGTCGGCCCCGACTCTGACGGGGTGAAGCTCAGTGGAGGAACAGATCCCGCCCCGCCCCGCCCCCGTCACCACTGCCGGGCACTCCCTGAGCCACTTCTCTCGCTCCGCCCCTGCGTGTGGCCCCGGGCCTGGGACAACCCCCCCGACTGCCCGCCTGTGTGAAGGTTGGGTGCCCTGGGAGCACCCGACTGTCCCCCCGCCGGCTCCTGGCTGCAGTTGTCGCCCAGCACCTGCTTTCGAGCACAGCGACCCTCTCAGGCCCGGGAGTCGCTGCCTCAGGCCTTGCCTGGCGCGGCCCCGCCTGCGGGTCCGATTCCTTCCCAAGGGACCAGCCAGGCTGGCCCAGCCCTGCTGCACCCCGAGCCGGGCGGTGCTGGAGTGGGGCCTGCCCCGGGGCCTGCCCCTCCCGCCCCGACGACAGCCGGTGTGTGCTCACCTGGAAAGCGGCCAGCCTCACGCCAAGCTCTGCCATTTTCAGAATTAACGCTTCCCCCGGCATGAACCCACCCTTAAAAAGTCCTTCATTTCTGTGCTTGTTGGCTGCTTTTCCTCATCTCCTGGGGGCCTCCTGGGGGCCTTCCTGCAGACGCAGCGGCCAGACTGGTTTTGTCCCAGGGCTGCCTGGTCTGAGCAAAGCCTGTGGCCAGAGAGAGCCAGTTGCTGTCCAGACGCCCCCTCGCTCACACCCGGCGTTCTTAGACCCCATCTAAGAACAAGAGGCCGCACCCGTTAGCTCTGAAATGAGCTTTTAGTTTCAATGAAAAGAATGAAACCTGGCGCTTTCAGCACCCGCCCCGTCTGAGCACCGGCCCAGCGTGAGGAAATCGCGCCCAAGCTGTGGGGGCGGGAGGGCGCGCCTGGCCCAGGCACTTGACCCCGTCCAAATGTCTCCTCTGCCGCGGCGGCCAGGGCATCCCCCTGCGAGGCGGAGCTCCAGGAGCTGATGGAGCAGATCGACATCATGGTGAGCAACAAGAAGCTGGACTGGGAGAGGAAGATGCGGGCCCTGGAGACCCGCCTCGACCTGCGGGACCAGGAGCTGGCCAACGCGCAGACGTGTCTGGACCAGAAAGGGCAGGAGGTACGGGCCACGCGCCCCGCCGGTCCCCCGGGGCCCAGGACCTGCACCAGCGCCAGCGTGTGCTGCCCAAGGTGCTCCCCTGCAGGGGCTCACAGCTGGCATGCGAGGCTGTTCACCCCTGGCCTGTGAGGGCCATGCCAGCAGGGGCCACGCCAGCAGGGGCCACGCCAGCAGGGGCCATGCCAGCAGGGGCCATGCCAGCAGGGGCCACGCCTTCTCTTTTAAACAAGTTGTGTGACCCGAACCCTGAGGAACTACTCGAGGCGTTTTTGTTTTTCTTTTTAACATGTTAGTTCCCAGTCAAGGCAGCACAGTCATTCCATGGCCCCCTGAGGCCGGTCTTGGGGGTGGGGGCGGGGGTGGGGGGCCGATCCCCGGGGGTGGGGCTGGCTCCTCGCGGTTGGCCACCAGGAGCTGTCCTGGGAACTGCAGACCGTCGTTCTCCGTGCGCTGGTGCGGCTCCGTGTGAGCTGTGCTTCCTGTTGCACGTCGCTCGACTTTATCAGCAAAACTGAGAAGCAAAAGTTAATTTTATTCCCGATGCAGGTGGGGCTGCTCCGACAGAAGCTGGACAGTCTGGAGAAGTGCAACCTAGCGATGACTCAGAACTATGAAGGCCAGCTCCAGGCCCTGAAGGCCCAAGTAAGGAGACTGGCCCCGGCTTCTTTTGTATACACAGATGTGTGTGTGTGTGTGTGTGTGTGTTTTACATCATTGTTCACTTTTGTACACGTATGCGCATGTGCGTCTCCTGTCAGGGGGGTTCCCCGTAAAATTCCCACCACCAGGTCACCCATGACCGTCCCCACAGTCCCTTGTGCTTGTCTCCCCCCCACCCACGTCTCTGATTTGTGGTTGCCGCTCAGCTGTCGCCAGTTAATATCACGGTTTGATTCCTGTTCTGACCTGGGAGGTCACGTCACTTCTGTTCAACGAGTTGTTTCCGACACAAGCAAAGCCCGGGTCCCCGCAGGTCGCGCGTCCCCTGGTAGGTCGCGGCTCTGGGTCTCTCCGCTGTGGGCACCGGCCGGCAGGTCTCTGTCCATCCAGGGGCCGCTCATGGCGAACTGCGTGGACCACAAGACCCGCCTTCGGTAGTGGTTGTCCCCTGACGGCCACGTCCTTGTCCTATGACAAAATCTATGCATGTTTGATGTGACGAAGTAGCTAATTGACGGCGCAAAACTGCTTATTTTTACCTTACTTCACAGCGAAGTTTTCAGGGAATGCAAGGATTTCAGAGCCGATGGGACAGTTGGCAGTTCCCAGGGAGGGTGTTCCTTCCTGAGAGCCTCTGGGGGGGGATCCGCACTACCGGGGATCCCGAAGCGCAGGAGCCGCTGAACCTCACCAGGGGTGTGTGACTCCCAACCAGCGCTTCGATCGTCACGTCTTCCCTGCGATTTAAGTGGCTGCCACGAGGTGGCAAAGCCTCCGTGGTTTTCCCCAGCGAGACTCCAGGCTTCACACGCTTGATCAACCTTGTTTTTTCTATAAAGATAAAGCTCTAAAATAAGAACATAAATATGAAATCACTGTAATGTTTCAGTATGAACAAAGAGATCACAGCCTGGAATCAGGTTGGAAAATGCAGAAATCTAGAGACAAGTCAAGCTCCAGCTCCAAATCACATGTAACACGCTCAGGGGCTTCGCGACGAGTCCCGCTATCTAGGTTTTGATTTTTCTGTTGATGAAAAGTTTGGGGCTTGTTTCCTGTGCTGGGAAGTCACCTGCCACGCGAGCTTCTTACCCGCGAGCCCTCGTCTCTGTGGCCGGCGGCTCTGATGGCCCAGCGGTCTTCACGGAGGCCGCGCGGCGGGCGTGCTCGTGGGGGCCGGCTCAGGCTCTGGGTGCCGCGGCGCTAAGAAGGCCGGTCGGCCTGGCCAGCAGCCTTTCCCAGGCACCCCGGCAGTGGCCCTCTGGGTGTGTACGCTCAGGCCCGGCGCTCCCCGGGCCTGGCCGGCCCTGGACACGCTCCCGCGAGGCCGACGTCTGGGCTGCGCCCCCTCCCCCTGGCCAGGAGGGGCCGGCAGACAGAGGGGGAGGAAGAGCAGCCGGGGCTCTGCTGCCTCCAGGCTCGTTCTTTCCCCTTCTCACACCAACCTGCCCTCTAACGCCAAGAGAATACCCGCCCCCTGCACACTGGACCTGCTGGGCAGCCACCGTCTCCCGTCTGACACCCACGGCCGCGAGGCAGGGCAGCCCGCCCGCCGCCGCCTCTGCGAGACCCTGGCCCGGACCAGAGCCCCCGAGCACGAGCCTCGCTCACCTGACAGCTCCGCCGGAGCAACACCGCCCTGTGGAGTCGGCTCCCTTTTGAGGAGAGGAGGTTTCCTGCCCTTCCCCACGTCTAGACCAAAGCGTACTTTTGTTTGCCGCGTCTGCTTCTGGGAGGACAGAGTGTCTGTCCCCCTCGCGCTGCGCGTCCAGAAACCCCGGCCTCAGCCGGGAGCCGCGCGAGGCTCTGAGGCGGCAGAGACCGTGGCAGGCTCTGCTCCTGGACGAGAGACGGGAAAATACAGAGACCCAAGTGATAAAGTGACTGTTGGTGAGGAGAAGGGCCAGGCAGTTGTGACACTTAAGTTTAGACTCGCCCATCTCAGTACACACGCTCTGGTTTTTGCGTCTTTTAAGTCAAGTCCAGTTTCTTGCATCCGGCCCGAGGCGGTCACTGCGGGGATCACTGACATTAACTCGGTGGCCACCGGCGACTCTGCGTCAAGTGCGCGTGCGCGGCGGCCGTGCTGCGGGCGTGAGGACGGCGCCGTGGGCGCCCTGGGGGAGTCCGGTGCAGCGCACGCCCCCCCACCTGCCCCCGTGGGCCCCCCGCCGAGGCGCACGCAGCGCGGGGCTTGCTTAGAGCAGCCGGTTCTGTCTCCGCGATCGGGGCTGTCCAGGTTTCTCAACACGACTCCGGTGTCCCGGGAGCGGCGCGGGGCGGGAGCGGCGGGTGGTCGCTGTGACGCCAGCAGTGAAATGTCGGCGTCGTCTCCACTTACAGTTTTCCAAGCTGACCAGTAGCTTTGAGAAGCTGAGGCTGCACCAGATGAAACAAAATAGGTTCCGAAGGAAAGCAGCGCCGCCCCTCAGGGACGAGATGCCCTTTGACCCGAGCGACTTGAACCAGAAGTTAGAGGTGAGCCAGGCCCTGTCCTCTCCCGCGCAAGGCTGGCCCGGCCCGGGGTGGCCCCTGGGCCGCCCTCCCGTGGGCGCTCGGTGGTGAAGCCCGCGGCGACCTGCACGCACGTGCCCGTCAGCGCTGCCGGAGGCCGGCACAGGCCCCGGGACCGGCCGCCGGGGCGGGTCAGGCGAGGCGCCGCCAAGCCTCCGGGCGCCTGCTTGACGCTCGGGCCCCCCGCCGGGCTGCACGGCCCAGCTGCCTTCCAGGGAGACGCGGGAGGCGCAGGGTCGCCGGAGAGTCTCGCTGGTCACCGCGCTCGGCTCTGGCCGACTCTCCAGCCTTGGGGGCAGCTGCTGCTTCCCCACCTCGGGCATCCCCGTGGCCGCCCCGGGCCTGGGCCGGCGCAGCCCCCCTCAGCGTGTCCCACCCGTGCTCTCCCGCCGGCCTCGCCAGTGTCTGCAGCCGTGACGCTGCGGGCGCAGACTCCCAGCCGCCAGCAGAGCCGGGGTCTCTGGGCTGTGCCCAGGCCCGTGCCCTACCCCCGCCCCCCGCCTGCCCCGTGCATTTCACGCTCACCCCCCTCAGCTGACAGCTCCTCCGGGGCTTTCCCTCCGAAACCCGCTCAGTTCAGCCTCGCTTCTCCAGCGGACACGTGTCCCTCCGCTTTGTCTTTTTACAGGAATTTAGAGCAAAGTCCAGGGAGTGGGACAAGCAGGAGATTCTCTACCAGACTCACCTGGTGTCTGTGGACGCTCAGCAGAAGGTGCTCTCCGAGAAGTGCGACCAATTCCAGGTACTGGCCCTGCCAGAGCCGCCCGCCCGAGCAACGCCCTTGCCGCTCGCCGCCTTGTTTCCGAGACAGAAGGGCTGAGGGGGGACGGACAGGACGGGCGCGGCCCCAGGGGCCGTGGCCGGGAAGGGGCTGTCCACACTGTGCTGGCCGCGCGGTCACGTCTGTGCAGACCCGAGGGCCCAGCCCTGCCCTCCAGGGCCGTGGCTTCCAGGTGGTGGGAGAGTTCAGGCCCTTTAGAGGGTGACGGGGGCGTGAGGGTGACCCCACTCTATCTGCAGCTGGGGAGAGGCAGGGCTGGGGGCTGCGGGTCCGTGACGAGGACAGTGGGTCCGCGCAGTGCAAGTGACCCGGACAAGGGCCCCAGGGGAGCCTGGGGCGCGGGGGCCAGTTGTCAGAGCCCCAGGCCGTGGCGAGGGTGCGAGACCTGACGGGGCTTGTTACGTCGTTTCTCTTCCGCTAAGTCGCTGGATTACGCGCGTCACGCACATTGGATGCCGCCAGCACCACAAAGTGAGCCCCTGTGGGCGGTGGCCTCGCCCGCCCCTGCCCGCCCTGCCCGCCCCTGCCCACCAGCCCCCACGCTCGCCCTTCGTTTGCCCAAACGCAAATACATGTTCGTGCAGAAGTGCACACTTTTCCCTTTCAAAGTTTTATTTTTCACTTACCTCCACATCCTGGATAAGTCTCACTGCGCAAACCTACTCACGTCTGCTCAGAGTGTCCGGGCGGTCACGGCCTGGGCCCAGCCTCTGGGTGTCCCCAGAGTCACCGCAAGGGTCCTTTGGCTCACAGCCTCCTCCTGTCAGAGGAGCAGTCAGGGTGTGACCGCGAGTCCATGGCATGTCCCTTCTGTTGTTTTTTTGTTTTTGTTTTTGTTTTTTTTTAAGATTTATTTATTTGGGCCTCCCCGGTGGCGCAGCGGTTGAGCGCTGGGCTGGGAAGCTGCCCGCAGCCTCTGCAGCACCGGTTCGATCCCCGGCTGCTCCCCGGCCACCGGAGGAGGGTCCCACAGGGCGCGCAGACCTCTCCTGCCGCCCGCTGCTCCCCTCAGCAGTGTCCTTCGGTCCTTCTGCCTGCTCTGCTCCCCGCTCTGGCTCTGGTGAATTCTCTCACCCTCCCGCGCTTCTGAGTGTACCCAGTGCTTGTATAAACAAACAAACAAATAAATAAATCTTCCCCCAAAAAGATTTATTTATTTATTTATACAAGCACTGAGTACAGTCAGAAGCGCGGGAGGGTGAGAGAATCCGCCAGAGCCAGAGCAGGGAGCAGAGCAGGCAGAAGGACCGAAGGACACTGCTGAGGGGAGCAGCGGGGAGACAGGAGTCTGCTGTGCCCTGTGGGTTGCTCCCTGGCTGGGGATCGAACCCGTGCTGCAGAGGCTGACGACAGCTTCACAGTGCTGGGACTTGCCCCCTGCGCCCCCAGGATCCCCCATTCTGATTTTTAATAATCGCTGGCAGCTGCTTCCCACCAGGTGCTGGTGAACCCCACCCACGGCCTCTCTCCTCTCTGTGAGCTGCCTGGTCATGACGGTTGCCCGTTTTTCCTTGGAGTTTTGAAGGTTTTGCACAAGAGCCGTTATCAGCCCCGGTTATTGGTGCTGAGAACTTTATTTTGCAGTCCAGTTATTTTTATTTAATTTTCGTTTTTTGGTCACACGGGTTCCCGGCTGTCTAGTATGAACTGAATCCGTAATTTTCCTCTCAGTATAGCGTCTGAATTTTCTTTATTGCTGCATAAGCCTCCCCTGCTCTGTATCTTTGCTCTGTGGTTAGACAAATGTTTTCTCTCGTGCCATTTGAAATTGAGGTTTCAGAATAAACACAGACCGAGCTATAAAGGCAGAGTTTCGTGATATGCGAACATCAGGATTTTTCCCTAATTCTTTTCCACCACTCTGGAATCTCGTGTGACTGAAGCGCGATACGCTCGTTGACGGACACGATTTTCGTATTTCCCAGAAACAGGCACAAAGTTACCAGACGGAGCTGTGTGGCAGCGAGCAGGGTGTGCTGGCCGGCAGCCCCGCGCTCCCGCGCTTGGCCTGGGAGGCCGACCCCGGCGGGGACGCCAGCGCGAGAGACGACTTCATCATCGAGAAGTTGAAGTCGGCCGTGAGCGAGATGGCGCTGAGCAGGAATAAACTGCAAGATGAAAACCAGAAGCTCCTGCAAGAGCTGAGACTGTACCAGAGACAGTGCCAGGTGAGGCCGGTGAGGCCCGTGAGGCCGTCTCCCTCCCGGCGGGCAGGGCGGGGCCGGGGGCGGCAGGCGGGCCGGAGAGCCGGGGTCCTGTCGTGAGCTGTGCTCCTCAGCGGGGGCCTCACTTGGTCACTGAGCCCGGCAGCCCCGTGGACGCTCCAGCCCACCAGGGCGCTGGCCTGCTGTCGGGATGGGAGGCGTGAGCAGCCAGGGCCCCTGGCTCCAGGGCCTGGGGGCTGGACAGATGCCCGCTGGGGGCACTGGACGCCCCGAGACCTCCTGTTCACCGCACAGTAGTGTTTACCAGGCAGCGGCCTCAGGGGCTTTTCAGGAAACTTGGAGTTGGTAGAGGGAATTCATGGCTTTGCCGACCATGAATCTTATTTCCCCCACCCCAACAATCTTCATTTGTCTCTACGTGTGACCCCCGAGAACGCCACAGGGCAGCCAGCAGTGCCGTGGTTAGCAGCTCCTCACACACGCGTGTTCTCCGTGCCCCTCCCTGCGAGGCCTGCGGCTCCTCTTCTGCCTGCAGATGCCAGTTGCTGCGTGTCCGCTGCCCGGTGCCTGGGCCCAGGTCTCGCCCCCGCCTCGGCCGCGGCCCACCCCCTCCTCTGGGCGGCTGCAGCCAGGTCTCCTGCCACTTGGGCGTCCCGGGGTTGGGTCAGGGGTCTCCCCTGCTGGCCTGCAGGCTTGCGGGCTGCAGGTGGGTCGGCCGTGGGCTGAGGCGGAGACGCTGGGCCTGTGGGGTGGAGCGTGGGGTCAGCGTCAGACAGATGGCGAGGGTATACTCAGGCTCCGGGCGGGACCGTGCACTGGACTGTGTGGGCGTACCCTCCAGGACCCCCCGTCGGAGCCCCTGTGTCCCCACGTTCCAGAGGAGCCATTTCTCTCCCCAGAGCGGCCCTTCCCTTGAGCGGCCTTTCCGTCCTCCTCGAGTTCTGTCTTCCATCCTCTCAGGGGTAGAGGGGAGGGCCTGGTTAAGAGAGCTTGGTGGGGCGAGGCTGTGCACATCCAGGACGAGTTCGCCTCCCTCACCGAGGAACGGCTCCACCGCTCTCCACTGTCTCCTGCACTGGGGGCTCTGCGCGGTGCCCCCATCTGAGGGCGGCATGGGGTGGGGGTGTAGGGGCAGCCTGGCCCCTGGGATGCACCCCGGCTCCCGCCAGCGTCCCCACAGCCTCCAGGCCCACGGGCACCCCGAGGAGAGCCCTGGGCTGCTTGGCTGAGTACAGCCCCATGTCCACGTGGGCGTGCCCACGTCTGCGCGTGTCGGTGTGCCTGATCGCGTCCCGGCGTCGCCTAGAGGGAGACACTGTCCGCAGGGTCCGCAGGCCTGAGCTGTGTGTGGACGCTCAGCTGATGCATAGCCCGCAGCGTGGCCTGCCTTGTCGGGGCTGCTCTGGGGCTGCTCCTGGCCTGCCTCGCGCCGCCTTCCCAACAGGACGGGGTGTGGCCGCCGCAGGTGCCCCCGGACGGGACAGGCCCATGACGGAGAGTCACCGGCCAGAGGCTCGTAGAGGCCCAGGGCCAACCTTGAAGTGTCACTTTTCTCATATTTCTCACCAGAGATTCCTTAGCTCTGTTTTGCGCGTTCTGGCAGGCATGTGCGTTTTTTTCTACCAGCTAAGCAGAAAACCTGACCTTATTTGTTGTTTACTTGTTAACGGGTCATCGAGGGGCACCGCCCAACAGAAACGGAGTCCAGGACACAGATCAGTTTAAATGATGTCAGCGGCCGCATTAAGAGAAGTTAGAAGAAGTGGGTGAAGGCGCATCAGGGCTGTATTTTATGTCAGGAATCTGTATTTCATTCAGTGCGGGGTGTGGCCAAGATCCCATTTCAACACGTCATCGGTGTAAATGTATTGCGATATTTTACCTTTCTCTCCTCAGAAGTCTTCAAAGTCCGATGTGTCTTCGTACTTAGGGCACATATCAGTGTGGCTGTTCAGTGTTCATCGGATGTGCCTGTTCCGTGTCTAGATTCATAACGTAGAGCCGCGTCGTGGACTCATGTGCCCACGTTGTTTCAGACAAGCGGAGGTTGGTTTGTTGTTCTCATACCTGCTGGACGCATCAAGGACCGACGGGTCGTCTTCCGAGTATTTGCATCCGCACGACAAATAATTGAGTTGACTTTTATGCAACAACATGTCAATTTAAAAACTACATCTAAGTTGAATAGATTCACTAATTCACATGTCAACTCAGTATTATCAACGCTGGCTTCCAAGGACGCTGGCCTAAGTTGACAACCCTTGAAATTCATCACTCCCAGCAAAGCCTTCGGTTTCCTTGTGCCTCCACTCTCTGGGGCTTCTTCTGTGTATTCTCGTGTGTTAGAAAAAAGTGATAAATCATTATTATTTCTATTCTGAAAAGTTTAGCTTTTAGCAGAAATTTGCACACCTTTGTCGCTAGGTGGCCATGTGTTCCCTTAATGTTGACAAATGTCACTGGTCTTTTGTAGTAGCAGCAGACAGATGGGCTCTGCGAGTACCACGGTTAACAGAATTTCATTACCTCTGGTCACAGTGACGCCGCTTCTGTGCCTCGAGTCCCAGCCGTGGTGCCGTCTCCCTCCCTGGTGAGGCCAGGCCCACCCTCCTGCACACAGCCGGGCGGTCACCCCCTGGGCCAGCCCCGGGGAGCAGCGGGAGGCTTCACACCAAGTTGTTTCTACTCGCTGGTTTATTGTTTCGTTTGTATTTTGTTTATTTTTAAATTGGAACCTCGTCTGAAAGCCCCCACTGTTTGAAGCAGGGACTGTGGCCAGGCAAGTCTACCGAGCCTCCAGTTTGGCTCTGTCTGCGCTGACTCCTGGTCAGCCAGCTCCTCGGCCCCACGAGCTGGGAGAGGCTCTGTCCCTGAGCCTCCGGGCGCCCCGGGAAACAGTGCGGAAAGCTGGGAACTCAGGCGTCCTGCACTGTCTGCAGGGTCGTCTGTCCAGGCTCTGTGAATTCTGGGATATGAATGAATGGTGAGAAAACACGTCCACGTGAAAACTTGCACATTAGTTTCGAGGCAGGTTATTCGCGATGGTCCAGCAGAGGTGACTAAATGTGCTTTCCCCATGAGGAGGCCAACAGACGCCTCCCGGCCATGCAACTAAAGGTCAGTCAGCAGCAGGAAGCAGCAGCCCCAGGGCCTCGACAGAAGCCGCACTTAGTCCAGGGGCGAGCCGGCCGGAACCACAGGCCCGAGCAGAGCAGTGCGGCTTGGAGCCACGAGCCCGAGCCAGACAGCCCCAGGAGCCCTGCCATCCTGCCGGCTCCCCCTCCCCGAGAGGCAGCCCCGCCCTGCCCGCGGCCCACACGCGCCGTCTGCTGAGAGGACCGGGCAGCAGGGCCCTCGGAGGCCACGCCTGCTTGTCCGGGCGCGGCCGGGCAGTGGGGCGCTGGGGCTTGGGGCTCACTTTGTTGGCCAGCTTGGAATGAGGCGGACCTCAGCTAGGCCCCCGCTAAGCTGGGGCTTGCCTGTGGTAACCGGGTTCGTGAGTGGGTATATCGCTCACGCCTTACGCGTCCCTCCTTCAGCCCCACGCAGCACAGGGCCAGCTCGCTCAGCGGGGGCCACAGATGCCCTTTGCCGCTGGCACAGGCTGGGCCTGCGTCCTCGGTGCCTGGCCCACCCCACGCACCGGGACTCCGGCTGAGGAAGTGATCGCGGGAAGGAGGCTGAGTCGGGGGCGTCCGGCCCGCACCACAGCTCAGTGTCTCCCCAGGCCATGGAAGCGGGGCTCTCGGAGGTGAAGAGCGAGTTGCAGGCCCGGGACGAGCTCCTGAGAGCCGCAGAGGCCGAGCGCGCGCGCCTGCACGAGGAGCTACTCACCGCGGGGGAGCTGCGGAGCGCGCAGGGAGACCGCAGGTAGGACGTGGCGCGGCCCAGAGCCGCCCCGGGCCCTCCAGGGCGTCTTCTGAGTTGACATTTCAGCTGGACCAGGGATCTCTCTGCTTTAATGCGACGGCAACTGTTGGGTGACACTAGGTGTTGACCGTGAAATCAGTGACGCTGTCTTCGAGGTCCTCTCTCTGCCTCAGACGGTCGCAGCACCTCAGAGTCACACCGCCTGTCGCGGGGAGTCAGAGGCGCCCTCGGGGCTGGGCCCTCTGCTTGGGTCGCTGCAGGAGGGACCTGCTGCCGCTTGCGCCCTGCCCGGCCTGTCAGGCTGCTGCCCACTCTGTGCTGCAAAGGCTGTTCCCGCCCCTGCGCTCCCGCCTTGTGTGCCCCAGCGAGGCTTCCGAGTGGAGCAGATTTTGTTTCCTCTTTTCAAATCGGACGGACACTCTCACTCCCGGGGGCACGGCCGAGGCTGACTGGACGCTGACGCGGGGGTGACGGGGGCTGTCCACCGCCCGGCGATGTTCCGGTGTGTGTGACTGTCCCTGAGGGGCGAGGAGCGCTACTGAAACGTGGCTGCGCTCCTTGAAGCCGATGATTATTTCTTCCATGCGGGACTCGCTAGTGTTTCTTCGAGGTCTGCACTTAAAAGCAAATGCAAATCCAGAAGCGACCCCAGCAGCGGGCCCAGCAGCAGCACCAGGTTGGGTCACCGTGCGGCCTCCTGGGGCAGCTCCCCCGAGGCCTGGGCGCTGCCTGAGGGCAGGAGGCTCTTCCACCGGGAAGGCACGGCCTGGAGGGGCCAGCCACCCGGCCATGGGGCTGTGAGGGGTTCGGGTGCTTGCGGGGCCCACACCCAAGCTCCAGTGCCCCTGCCCCACAGCTGCACCCTGTCCGTGGTCTTGCTGCCGCGGGCTGGCCAGTGCAGCTGCCGCCTGAGTGCGGCCCCCCTCCCGCCTCCTGGCAGCGCTGCCATGACCCCGGACGTCTCCTCTCTGGTCTCGGGGGCGGCCTCAGTCCGGCTTCCTGAGGACACAAGGTCTCGGCCTCCCGCCTCCATGCTCCGGGCAGCCGCTGGGCATCTGGTCCGTGGGAAAGGGCTGTGTCTTCTCCCATCCGGTCTCTGTACGGTGGCACCAGGAGGAGCCACGGGCGAGCACGCGGCGCCTCCCCGTGAGGCCAGGTCCCCTCTGGCCTCCTCGCTCAGTGGCCTTCTCGTCCTTCAGTGCCGGAAACGCCTGGGCCAGTGGGTCCAGGAGGCTGTTTGAGCGGCCCCAGCTGCTGTGCCCAGCGTGAGCCGGCCACATGGTCCGTACACTCGCCACCCTGCGGGTTCACAGGCCAGAGGCCGTGGAGGCCGGCCAGCCTCCCACTCCCGGCGTGGCTCGAGGTGCTGGAGAGAGGAAACCGCACTTTCCAGCGCTTCCAAGTCAGAGACACAAGAAGAACTTCAGCTGATCTTGAAATCGTGTTTAGCAGGACAGGGAACAACCCCTCGCCGTGTGTCACCGAGCAGGGAACGGGGCTGGGAACTCTGACGCGCCGTCTCCCGGGAGCCCCGGGGGTCAGGGCCGCGCTCACAGCGCAGACGCGCCTCCCCGGGCAGCCCCGCGCGGGAAGCCTGCTTCCACAGTCACGTGTGATTGAGAAGCAGGAGAAAGCCGCAGTGTAGACAGCGCCGAGGGCTGCCCCGCCCAGGAGACCCTCCGTGGCGTGCTGGACACGTGTGTCATCTGCCACTGCCGAGCTGGGTCTGCTTTGGCTTTTGTGACCTGTGCAAAGTCCCTCGGACCCTGAGGCGTCCCTGGCTGGCACAGCCCAGCCCGGGGGCAGCGAAGCGGGGGCCTGCGCTGTGTTGGGGCCTGCGTGCCGCTGACCTGCCCAGGGGAACGTGGCACCACCCCCCGCGCCTCCTGTGGGGGCCGGACTCGCACGCCCGCCTCTTCCCTCTCACTCACATCCCGCCTGTTTGAGCGGCCGAAGCCCAGCTGCCCGTGCGCGCCGGCCGGGCCGTCAGGGCCCCCGGGTCCTTGAGCGGCAGCTGGTTTCTCCTCCGACTCCTGACGCGGCTCCTCTCCACGACACACCGGCCAGCCAGGCCCAAGCTGTTTCTTTCGAGGCCGCGCTCTCCCCTCCCCCGCGCCCGCCCCGGCCTGTCGCTGGGAGCCGGCGCCACTGCTGCCCCGCGCTTTGCTGTCACTGCCACGGCTGCCACTCGGTCGAGCATGTCCTTGGGGGGAGCCGCACACATTAGGACTTGAAATTTCTGTCACTAGAGACGTTTCCAACAAAGCAACGACCTCTCCCTGCAGCCGCGCTGCTCTGAACCAGCAGTGCAGTCACGGCTGTGATCAAGTTAAGCTTCATTTTTACTTGTTTTAATTTTAGGCTTGACCCATGTTGTTCACATTCTGTTAAAGACCCAGAAAGGAAGAGCCAAGAGCTTTTTCCAGTGACCCCAGATCAGCCCGATCGTGACAAGGAGCTGAGCAAGGTATGAGACACACGGGCTTCACCCCCGGGGGCTCTGCACGCAGAGTGGGGGCAAAATCTACCCTCACCCCTTCTCTCCCTCCGTGTGTTCTCCGCGGTAATGCCCGGCCGGGCGCCGGCTCTGCTCCTCCCGAGCCACGCTGCAGGCGCACCTGGGGTCCTGTCGCTGCAGCTCCGGGGCCGAGTGAGGGCGCCAGAGCCAGCCGCCGCGAGCACAGCCCGGGCCCTCCGTCCCGGCTCCCTGGGCCTGGGGAGGGCTGATGAGCTGACGGAGCAGCTGCGCTTCGCTGCCCTACCACGTGCGGGGGCAGCCGTGAGGGCGCAGCCGGCCCAGCTCGCTCGTTCCCCACAACCTTTCCACAGGCAGGTGCTGTTGTGCGTGGCGTCAGGCCCAGAGGAGTTGGGTAGTTTTCCCCAAAGGATGCACAGCCCGCAACCGGCACGGGAGGTCGCACGCAAGGCGGTCGCCTGGCACCCCTGCCCTGCCCTTCGGTTAACCCGCAGCACTGTGCCTGTCGCGCGCCGAGAGCCGGGCCCACCTGGCGCAGGGCAGGCCCGGGCCATGCTGGCCCCCTCCATGGTCACTGCCCTCTCCTCTGGAGGTCCCGGCTGGGCCACGTGCTCTGCCAGAGCCAACAAGGCCGGCCCGTGCCACCAGGGCCCCCACGGCTCTGGTGCTTCTGCAAAGGGGGCACCTCCCTCCCTCCAGTAAACGCGTCTCCCCCAAGGCCCCACAGCTGCGTCTCTCCCTCTGGCCTTCGGCTCAGAGCAGTGCATGGAGTCGACGCCGTGGGGTGAGACACTCCGAGGCCGGAGACCCGCTGGCCGAGCCAACTCTGGCACAGTGGCTGGCAGTGGAGGTGACTCTGAGGCTTGTGGGGCAGCGGCCGGTTCTCCCGTCCGTGGCTCACAGTCATGGCACTCACAGGGCGTCGCCCCCGTGAGTGCACAGTGGGCCTGCAGCTCCCGCTCCCGCCTGCGGTGTGCACGGCTGGGGGCGCCAACATAGCCATGCGGCCCCTGTTCCCGGGCAGAGCAGCGGCCGGCCTCACGGCTTGGGAGCCGAGTCCAGCCCCTGCGGCCAGACGCTGGCGGTGCAGCCAGGACACACCAGTCAGGACACGCGGGGTCACCACCGTGGGGTGATGTGGCCTCTGGAAGGCTTTGGCGAGGAGGCGGTTTCTCCCATCGGGCCTTCGCAGAGCTGTCCTGGGCTGCTCAGGTCTGAAGCTGACCACAAGTCAGAGAGCGGCCACTCGGCCCAAGATGAGCTGGCCCCGCCCAGTGTCCCTGTGGTGTGTCTAGTCTGCAGCGTCAGGTAGCCCTGGGCGAGCTGCTGAGCCTGTCCACTGTGTGTCCACCGTGTGTCCTCCCAGACAATGCCTGGGGAGGTGCTCGTCCCACACCCTGGGCTCATGGGTGGGGGCCCATCACAGGGTGGGGGTGCGGCCGGTCTCTGCACTCCCCAGGCACCCGCGATCGGCGTGAGAGGAAGGCGCCCTCCTGCCGGCCTTAACCACCGAGGGACGCGCGGCAGGAGTGGCCCGGGTGTGGCCCCGTCACCGGTGTGGTCCAGGCGGGGAGCCTGAGTCCCAGCTACACCTGGTAGAGCTGGGGCGTTAAAACACCCCCCATCCCCACACGGTGGCTATCAAATAGCGCGGGGAGCAGGCGGCAGTTTGCATACGCTGGGAAGAGCAGCGAGAAGTGAAACCTTGAGTCGGCAGGAAAGTCAGTCCTGGCGAGTTGGGCAGTCGCGGGTCAGCACGGCCGGGGCGGGAAGGGCCGCGCTCCACGACCCTCTCCGGCCCGCAGGCGAGAAGCCGGCCCACCCCGCAGGGCGCGCCCCCCGGCTCCGAGCAGGAGCGGATGCGCAGCGAGATCTCGGCCCTGACGGCGGAGCTGCGGCAGAAGGAGCTGACCATCGCGGCCGTGGCGAGGAGGGCCGCCCTGCTGGAGAGGGAGCTCCGGGCGGAGCAGGACGCGGTCGAGAGGACGTCCCCCTGGCAGCAGGTGCGCCGGCGCGTGCCCCACCTCCCGCAGCTCCGCGGAGAGCCTCGCCCTGCAGCCGGGAGATGGGCGCCCTGAGCGTGTGGGGCACCGGGCCAGGGCCCCTCCCGTCCTCGGCCTCCGGCTGCCTGGGGCTCTCTGGGGCTGCCTGCCCTGCTCCTCGAGGCTCGTTGCAGCCGTCCTGGCCACTCCTCACTCCCCCTTCACGGGATTACTTAGGCCCTTGAAAATGGCCGCTGGCCACGCACACCCTTCATCCTTCCTGGCGACCCCGTGGCCGCAGTGGGCGGGAGGAGCAGCGGCCAGGCCTGGGCTGCTCGAGCCGCGGGGGACGCCTCCTCTGCCCTTCCCCGACCACTTGGGAGCTCAGCCCCGGCCCGGGGCGGCTGCCGGACTGCCCGGGGCTGCGGGCCCCAAGGTCGCCTCTGGGGAGAAGGGCACCTCAGGCTGGGGGGCGGGCGGGTGCCCACGGGGGATGCCCGCGGCTGGCCGGTCACCTGCGGGCTGGCTCGCGAGGGCCTTTGTTCTCGCCTTTTTGGTCGTCTCCAGACGTTTGGCCAGACGAGCCTGCTTTATCGTGCACAGAGCGAGTCTCTGCCGGACGCACTTCGTGCAGAAACGGGCCTGAGACTAGGGAGAGGGAGACCTTGTGCCCAGTTGGGCAGAAGAGACTGGGCAGCTGGACGGGGAGGAAGGCAGCCCCCAGGGGCTCCAGCCAAGCTTCGGGACGTGCGAGAGCCGACCGAGCACCGGCAGCGAGGTCGCCTGAGGGCAGTGCTGCTCCGGCCTGCTGCTAACACTGCGATGTGTCCGGTAATGACCGGCCTGGAATAAAACACAAGTGGCAAGTGGAGCTGGCATGGGCGGGGGAGGCGCAGGATCACCGCTGTCCTGAGGACCCGGCATCCCTCGCGCTGACCTGGGACGTCCCGAATGTTTGACAGAGAAAGTGAGCGGCCGAGTGTTTGCTTCGGCAGCACATATACTAAAATTGGAACGATACAGAGAAGATTAGCATGGCCCCTGCGCAAGGATGACACGCAAGTTCGTGAAGCGTTCCATATTTTTTTCGTTATGCCCATGGCCTGATACCTGATTACATCCCTAAAGAATTAAGTGATGATTTATCTAAATATTTAAAACTTCCAGAAACTCCACCTCCATTGTCAGCCCCTCCATCAAAGAAAGTAAAGTAATCACATGAGCCCGTAGAAGCAAAAGAAGATTACACTAAGCTTAACACTAAAGATTTGAAGACTGAAAAGAAAAATAGCAAAATGACTGCAGCTCAGAAGGCTTTGGCTAAAGTTGACAAGAGTGGCATGAAAAGTATTGATTCCTTTTTTGGTGCAAAAAATAAAAGAGTTGGAAAGATTTGAAATTTTGAAAATGAAATCTAGCAAAAAAAAAAAAAAAAAAGAAAGTGAGCGGCCGAGAGAGCCTGACGGGGCACCTCAGCCGTCCTGCCCCGCGGCCACGTCACACCTGGGGCTTTGCCACTTCAAGCTTCCTGCGTGGGTGACCACCACACGGGAACACGCACGGCGGGTGACACCTGCAGAACCCTAAACTGGGGGGGGCGGGGGCGTAGGAAACAAACTGAGAGGAGGCGCGTCAGCAGCACAGGAGTAACCGACGCAGCGAATGTCTCCACATGAGAAACGGGGATGACGATGCGGACGACAGCCTGAGATTGCTGGGGAGTCCTCAGGAGAAACAAGGAAGAGGGCCCAGGGTCGCCAAGGACGCCGGACGCTGCTTCCGCGCACACCCCGGGCTCTGGGCCACGCCTCGGCTGCTGCTGCGCCTGGCGCCGGGGGCCGGTCTGTGGACACCACGGCTCTCTGGCCCCTTCGGCCCGCGCTGAGCGGGGGTCGCCGATGAAACCTCAGGGCGTGCAGACGCCGGAGTCAAGCTGTGCTGGAGGCCGCAGCACCACCGACAGCGATGGATTTTGACCAGTCAGTGTCTTTTCAGGAGTAAAATTCTGAATCTTTTTCATGACCGTTTCAAGTGGACCTGCCCGGGGGGAACGTTCTTCCGAAGGACGAGCCGCCGAGGACCCGCCCTCGCCGCGCCTGTCCCCGGCCTCGGCCCCCTCGGCCTCCGCCTTCCTCTCGCGCCAGGCCCGTCCGTGCGCCCGGGGGCCCGCCCAGCCTGCGCGGCCCGTCGTTCAGCAGCGAGCCCCTCCAGAGCCTGTGAGCTTCTGTAGCGTATCAAACAGAAGCACGTAAATAAAACCAGCAGGTGAATATTTAATAATCATCTGTGTATCTCTCCAGAGGTATCAGCTTCGACGCCAACAGCACAGCGTGCAGACAGAACGCTCAGCTGGGCAGGAAGCTTGCGGGACCCCGCGGGGTGCGGCCGCGCAGCGGCCCCTGAAGCGCGGCCATTAGGCTGCGTCGGGCAGAAGGGCTGTGTAAAGGCGTTTCCAGCTCCCCCCAGTTTCCACGTGAGAATGAATGTGCCCATTTTTTAAAGCTTCGTGGACAGCGTCGACCCTCCTTGGCAACTTCTCCCGACTATAGTTCAAACAGCGCTGAAGCCTTCGCTCCTGCGCTGCCCCCTCGCTCTGCGGCTCGCGCGCGTCTCTCTCTGTCCCGAAGGCGCGCGGGGCTGAGGGCCCAGGCCGGGCTCTGTCCACGGTCGACCGTTCCCCCGGTGACGGGCCGTCCAGCCCCCAGGGCCAGCCCTCACACAGGCGCCGCCTGGGTCTTTCCCATCACCCGGCAGTGCGGGGCGATGTGTCATTTTCTATTGTGATTCAATTTATTTGAATCGAAAAACTATTTTAAAACCAAGCTGTACGTTAACCCCAGTTCCATCACCATGGGGCGAGGAGGCCCTGGGGCAGAGGGCGGGCGGCTGCAGGCGAGAGCGGCGTCTCCGTGACCGTGACCGTGACCGTGACCGCCTTTTGTTCCCCAGAGCACGGACCTCGCCCCCCGCGGGTACTCGAGGCACACGTCCATCAACACGCTGGAGCGCGAGAACCAGCAGCTCCGCAGCGACCTGGCGAGGCTGCATGCCACGGGGCCACCCTGGGCCGGCCGGGACGCCTGCGCGGGAGCGGGGCGCTGCACCTGCAGAAGCCGCGAGAGGCCGGGGCCCTGCGAGGACAGGTGCGCGGGCCCTCCTGGGGGTGCAGTCATATGGCCAGAGGAGCGCAGTGACCGCGCGTGTCCGCACACAGCTTCCGCGGGAGGCTCGGGCTGCCGAGGGCCTCATGGCGTCCGGTCACGCGGCTCCTCGGAGGCCGAGGGCGCCCAGGGGTGGGCTGAGGCCTGGCCCTGTGCCTGGCCGGGAGATACAGGCCTACAGGCGGCTGTGCCGTCAGGTGCCTGGGGGATGCGGCCAGGCGGCCGTCGGGGTCACCCCAGCTCAGCACCGGGCTCACGGGTTGGGGGTCTGGGGGGCCCCTCTGAGAGCAAGGGCAATGTGTGGGAGTGAGAGTCTGTGCCGCCTGCCCATGCACGCCCTCCTGGCTCCCGGTTTAAGTGAATGTTTGAGCCACAAGTTGAGGCTGATTTATTCACCATTGATGAAGTCCTGGTGGGATCGAAACTGTCCCTGGAGGCCCCTCGCTGCTGTCCCAACTTTGCCTGGCGAAGCAGAATGTGTCTTCTCTAGGGGTTTCTCAGGGCCCCGGGGGCTGGCGCTCCCTGCGGGCCCCGGGGGGCCGGTGTGCGGGGCCGGCTCAGTGGGGCTGAGGGACGCGCCGGCCGACCCAGGCCCGGCCCCTGCACAGCTCTGGCTGCGAGTCTCAGAATCGTTTCCACGAAAGCCGCAGACACTGTCTTCAGGGAACGACGTATTTACAAACTCGGGAAATCTGCCTGACACGCAGCCCTCCAGGCCCCACTGACAAATAGGGGTGAGAGTAACCGGGTCTCTGTGCGGGGTCGAGGAGAAAGCAGTTCCACATCAAACACAGGGTTCCGTGGGGAGCCGTCCCGCCGCATCACTCTGGCCTTATTGGCCGATGGGCGGTGTCTGTCCCAGTGCCAGCACCTCTCAGCAGCTCCAGGCTGTCCTGGCGGCTGGACTGTGCCTGGACCTGCCCTTCCTGGGACAGCTCGGGTTGCCCTTGGCGCAGCAGCAGTGCCTGCTCCTCACAGGATGCCTGAGGCCTGGGGCACCCACCTGTGGGGTCTAATAGGAGCTCAGACTCCTGGCTTTGTCCTAACCACTGCCCCGAAGGGCCCTCCCTCCCGGGGACACAGTCCCCGACCGTGGCTGAAAACAAAGCGCGGCCCGGATGCCAGGCCAGGCCCCGGGGAGCCCTGGCGGTCAGGCTAGGGTCAGCAGCTGGCGGGTCTGGGGCAGGCCCGCAGCCCGAGGACCCGGTCCCCAGCCGGGCTGGCGCGGGCAGAGCAGGCAGGGCGGGGCCGGCCCCTCCGACAGCGCAGCTGGGGGTGGCCAGAGGTGAAGACGCTGCCGTCCAGCCCGGCTCCGCAGCGCAGCTTCTCTTCCGCGCTCTGCGTTTTATCCGCCTTACAGTAAAAGGGTTATTACCAAATACATGCAAGTACTTCACCCCACAGAGCTGCCCATCCGAAGCGGAACGCATAGTGGAGGTACTGCTTAGAGGATTTAGGACGGGACTGCCCCAGGTCTCTGTGTGGCGGCTACAGACGCTGTTGTACAGTCACTGCGGAAACGATCTTCTTCCCCTGCTGGGCCCCGGGTACCGGCGACGCCCCCCACAGGAGGAGGGCCCGGCGGCGGGGGGCAGGGCCCTCACAGAGGCGGCGGGTGGCCCGACCCCAGCGTCCCGGGTGCGCCAGGAGGCACCGTCCCTCAGCGCAGGTCCCTCAGCGCAGCTCGCTGCTCCGTCTCGGCCGGAGGCCGAGTGTCCCAGCCCGGAGGCCGGGTGTCCACCCACGTGCGCTGTTGCGGTGTCCCGGGCTGGCGCCGCCCCGGAGTGGCTGGCCCGGCCTCTGGCACGTGCGGCTCAGAAGGCGTTTGCACAGCCAGCAGCGCGAGGGTGTCCCCTGCATCCGGGAACCCCGTGATTTCTGTTAACGGTGTGACGCTAGAACATGAACGGTGCTAAGGGCGCTTCGCCAGTACCGCCGGGAGATTTAATTGTTAGTAAAAGAAGAAGAATTCTAAATTGAAGGGACTCATTTTCATGGCCTTTGACAAGATGATTTTGATTAAATTAAAACCCTTTTTTATTTTCAAGAGCTAATGTTCAGAAAAATGTTTACCAGTCCCCACAGCCCCACCGTTAGGACCTTTTGCGTAAATTTTTTAGTATATGTGCTGCCGAAGCGAGCACCCTTTTGCGTAAATTTTTGAGGTGCTGGTGTACCTTAAATTAGCTTGTTTCTTTGCTTTGTCACTCACTTGGGTATCAGTTACCAGGATGGATATTTCGCTGTTTTATTCAGTCCCGCCTTCTACCTGCCTCTTCACGCCCAGCCCCTCCTGTGGGTGCCGAGCCCTAGGGCTCAGCTCTCGTAACAACCCTTTCACCAACGTGAGGAAGTTGGAGTCGCAGAAACCGGGCCTGGGGCCACAGTGGGTGGGGGCCAAGGAGCAGGTGGGGCCAGGCGTGGGGGGCCCCTGACTCCGCAGGAGGGTGTGTTGGGGCCTCCGGGGCAGGTCGGCTGTTCTGGGCCCCTTCCACGTACTCCGTGTTGTTTGTTTTTTAAAATTTATTTATTTATGCTACAAGAGCTGGGGTGCAGGCCAGAGGTGTGGGGGTGAGAGGATTCACCAGAGATGGAGTGGGGAGCAGAACAGGTGGATCCACTGAACCCACCGCTGAGGGAGCAGCGGGGAGACGGGGCCTGCTGCGCCCTCGGGGAGCTCCCTGGCCCGGGATGGAGCTAGCGCTGCAGTGGCTGCGATGGCTTCCTAGCGCTGAGACTTATCCCTGCGCCCCCCAGGGAGGCCCCTCCTTGTTGTTTAAATGACAAAGACACAAAAGGTGAGCGCTGGAGAGCAGGACTGCTGGCCACGGAGCACTCTGCGGGGGGGGTCTCCCCCTCTCCAGGAGCACTCTGCGGGGGTCTCCCCCTCTCCAGCATCGTGGCACTCATCTGGGAAACGACCATCCGGGCCGGGCGCAGTCCCGGCGGGCAGACGAGGGCACGGTCCTTGGCCCCCCACCGCCTCCTTCTCTTGCAGGTGCAGCCAGGACTGTGAGCATCGTGGGAGCAGGACCCCGCCGCTGCCCCTGCTGCCCGCCCCCCACAAGGCGGCCGCCAGCCCGCTGCTGAGCGATGAGGACATGTTCCCCCTGGTGAGTTGGGGACCGTCGGGGTCTCCCCTCGGGGGCCGTCACTTTGCCACGTCGCTGACCAGGTGTACCGGCCTGACGGGCCCTTCTCGGCCCCGGGGCAAGTGGCCGCGGTCTCTCCTGTCCAGGAAGGAGAGGGCTGTCCCCCGCGGGGCCACCAGGTGGTCTCTGCACAGTGTCCCTCGCTGGACGGGGGCCCCGGCGATGCTGCTGCTTGGGCAGAGCTCGAGGGAGCTTTCAGCCATTGCAGGAGGCGCTCGGAGCCATCGCTGCTGAGCCCGCGGCGTCCGGAGCGCCCCACGTCCACGCGGCGAAACACGCCAGTGACCACACAGAGCAAACCCACGGGGTCAAGCGGACGAAAGAGCCCCCTGCTTGGGCCGTGTCCCTGCTTGGGCTGCGGGGCCTCGGGCGTGGCCAGTCCTGTGTCACGGCACGTGGACCCTGAGGCTCCAAACGCCTGTCGGGGCCACGCAGGTGGGGCTTGCCGAGCCCTGCGCTGTCCCTCCTGGGCTCCCCGGCCTGGAGCCCGGCACCCCCTTCCTTGGCGCCCCCCTCCTCAGTGCTCCTGCGCGCTGCCCCCGCCACGGGGATGCGCACCTCGGAGGTGGGGGCTCCTCGGCGGCCGAGCACCCAGGCATGTCCGGCCGCGCAGCTGCGTGCTGGATCCGGCTCTGACCAGCCGGCTCCCTCCAGGCCCGGACAGCCTGTGGGAGAGGAGCCGGGGCGGCGCGTGTGCTGTGAGGAGGCGACGCGGCCCCGTTGTCATGAGGGCCGAGGCCGCGTGCTGAGCCTGAGCTCAAAAATGACCGAAAAGAGGCAACTGGCGACTGCCACGAATAGACGAACCGCAGTGTCCAGGGGCGGCAGCTGCAGGATGGACGGGGCGGAGAGGGGCCGGCTGGGAGCAGGCGGTGGGGAGCTGGGAGAGGGTTTGGGCTCCGGGCGCAGCTCAGCGGGCGGGACCAGAGGGCCCAGGAGGGGGATGAGCTTGGGGGCAGGAACTCACTGGCCCCCGCCTCGCAGAGGCCCCTGCTGGCCGCCTTGCCGACCCAAGCAGCGGTTCCCGCCCTGGGAGGCCGGCCCTGGGCCTTTCCCGGTCACCTGCCCAGCTCCCCTGGAGTCTCCGCTTCGGTGGAGCCCCCGGCTCCGGGGTCCCGGCCTCGCTGGCCACGGGCAGCCCCGCGGAGGTGCGCACGGCTGGCCGCCTAGGGCCTCTCGGCCAGCGGCCTGGGGGCGCCCCTGCGTGGCCCCGACGCGACGCGCGGGAGCCCCGGCAACCTGGGGTGGGCGGCCGCGGGGCGCAGAAGCCCGGCCGGCCGCTCACGGCCCCGTCCCTCTCCGCAGTCGCCCCCGGACATGGCGGCGTCGCCGGCCGCGCGGCGCTTCCTGCTGGACGAGGAGCGGCGGGCGCGGGAGCTGGAGACGCTGCTGACCGCGCACATCGACGAGCTGCAGCGGCGCTGGGGGCGCGCGGGCGGGGGGCGGGCGGGGGCGCAGCACAGGCGCGCGTGAGGCCGGACCCCCACCCCGGCCGGTCTGTCCCCCGCGCCCCGCGCGGCCGACGCCGCCTCCGGGGACAGCCCGCCGGGGCCCCGCCCGCGCCGAGGCCAAGGCCTGAGCCCGCTGGGGCGCCGGGAGCCCGAGCCCGGCCGTGGACGCGCTGGCGCGCGGCTCTGGGGTCCCGGGGTGCCCCCCACGCCCCCGTGTGGACGCAATAAAGGGGCGGAGCTGCCCCCCCGCGTGTGCGTGTCCGGCCGCGGCGCCCCCGGGGCGAGAACCCCGGAGCCCGGGCGTAGGTCGGAGGCTGCGGGTGCGCGGGTCGCTGCGGGGCCTCCGCCCCCGACCACCCCCCCCCCCCAGGCCCCGGGCCGGGCGGGCCGGGACAGGAGGAACCGCCCCCCTCGAGGGAAAGGTCAGTCTCGGCGGGTGGGAGGCCAAGTGCTGGGAGGCCCCACGGCGAACCCCAGGCTGCGGGGCGCGGGATGCCAGCGCCCCAAACCACCCCGCTTGCCGCCGCGACAGTGCGGGCGCGGCCGGGTGCGAGCGGGAGGGCTGTCCCCCCCCAGGCGACCCGCTGTCCCCCCCAGGTGACCCGCTGTCCCCCCAGGCGACCCGCTGTCCCCCCCAGGCGAACCGCTGTCCCCCCCAGGCCACCCGCTGTCCCCCCAGGCCACCCGCTGTCCCCCAGGCGACCCGCTGTCCCCCTCAGGAGACCCGCTGTCCCCCCAGGCGACCCGCTGTCCCCCCCAGGCGACCCGCTGTCCCCCCAGGCGACCCGCTGTCCCCCCAGGCGACCCGCTGTCCCCCCCCAGGCGAACCGCTGTCCCCCCCCGCTGTCCCCCCAGGCCACCCGCTGTCCCCCCAGGCGACCCGCTGTCCCCCTCAGGAGACCCGCTGTCCCCCAGGCGACCCGCTGTCCCCCCCAGGCGACCCGCTGTCCCCCCAGGCGACCCGCTGTCCCCCCAGGTGACCCGCTGTCCCCACAGGTGACCCGCTGTCCCCCTCAGGAGACCCGCTGTCCCCCCAGGTGACCCGCTGTCCCCCTCAGGAGACCCGCTGTCCCCCCAGGGGACCCGCTGTCCCCCCAGGTGACCCGCTGTCCCCCCAGGCGACCCGCTGTCCCCCCCAGGTGACCCGCTGTCCCCCCAGGCGACCCGCTGTCCCCCTCAGGAGACCCGCTGTCCCCCCAGGCGACCCGCTGTCCCCCCCAGGCGACCCGCTGTCCCCCAGGCGACCCGCTGTCCCCCCAGGTGACCCGCTGTCCCCACAGGCGACCCGCTGTCCCCCTCAGGAGACCCGCTGTCCCCCCAGGGGACCCGCTGTCCCCCCAGGTGACCCGCTGTCCCCCCAGGCGACCCGCTGTCCCCCCAGGCGACCCGCTGTCCCCCCTCAGGAGACCCGCTGTCCCCCAGGCGACCCGCTGTCCCCCCCAGGCGACCCGCTGTCCCCCCAGGCGACCCGCTGTCCCCCCAGGCGACCCGCTGTCCCCCCAGGCGACCCGCTGTCCCCCCCAGGCGACCCGCTGTCCCCCCAGGCGACCCGCTGTCCCCCCAGGTGACCCGCTGTCCCCCCTCAGGAGACCCGCTGTCCCCCCAGGCGACCCGCTGTTCCCCCCAGGTGACCCGCTGTCCCCCTCAGGAGACCCGCTGTCCCCCCAGGCGACCCGCTGTCCCCCTCAGGAGACCCGCTGTCCCCCCAGGCGACCCGCTGTCCCCCTCAGGCGACCCGCTGTCCCCCCAGGTGACCCGCTGTCCCCCCAGGCAACCCGCTGTCCCCCCTCAGGAGACCCGCTGTCCCCCCAGGCGACCCGCTGTCCCCCTCAGGCGACCCGCTGTCCCCCCTCAGGAGACCCGCTGTCCCCCCAGGCGACCCGCTGTCCCCCTCAGGCGACCCGCTGTCCCCCCTCAGGCGACCCGCTGTCCCCCTCAGGCGACCCGCTGTCCCCCTCAGGAGACCCGCTGTCCCCCCAGGCGACCCGCTGTCCCCCTCAGGCGACCCGCTGTCCCCCCTCAGGAGACCCGCTGTCCCCCTCAGGCGACCCGCTGTCCCCCCTCAGGAGACCCGCTGTCCCCCAGGCGACCCGCTGTCCCCCAGGCGACCCGCTGTCCCCCCTCAGGAGACCCGCTGTCCCCCCAGGCGACCCGCTGTCCCCACAGGCGACCCGCTGTCCCCCCTCAGGAGACCCGCTGTCCCCCCAGGCGACCCGCTGTCCCCCCAGGCGACCCGCTGTCCCCCCAGGTGACCCGCTGTCCCCACAGGCGACCCGCTGTCCCCCTCAGGAGACCCGCTGTCCCCCCAGGCGACCCGCTGTCCCCCCAGGTGACCCGCTGTCCCCTCAGGCGACCCGCTGTCCCCCCAGGCGACCCGCTGTCCCCCTCAGGCGACCCGCTGTCCCCCTCAGGCGACCCCGTCCCGCCCTCCCCGCACGTGTGTCCCCCGCGGGCGCCCCTCTCCCGGGCCGCGTAGTGTCCGCGGCGGGGCCGCAGGCCGCTGCTCGGAGGCCGCCGAGTGCTGCGCCCGGCGCGGACTCTGCGGACAGCGGGACTGACCTTCAGCGGCGCGGGTGGGGTGGGGGAGGGGAGCCCGTGGGGCGGGACATGCGGGGAGGGGCGGGGCGTGAGGGCGGGACCGTGGGCGGGACGGGGCTGTGGGAGGGATAGGCCTGCGTGGGGCGGGGCTCCGGGGGCGTGGGGCGGGGCCCCGGGAAGGGAGGGGCGGGCCCCTGGAGGGCGGGGCTTCAGGCATGGGGGCGGGGCTCCGGGAGGGCGTGGCTTCAGGGGGCGTGGAGCGGGGCTCCGGGAGGGCGGGTGGGGGCGGAGCGGGGGCGCAGGTGCTGCGGGGCGCCCGCCGCGGCCCTGAGGGGGGGCGGTCCGGTCGCGCGGGCTGAGTCCCTGCGCCGCCCCCTCGTGGACGCGAGCCCCTGCGTCTGCAGCGGGGCGCCGGGGCGTCTGTCCGGTGGGCGCCAAGGCTTGGGGTTCCCGCCGCGAGCGTGACGCCCGCCTTCGGGGCGCGCGCCCCCGGGGCACCCCCGCGGCAGGCTGCTCCCGCCCCCCCCCCCCCCCCCCGCGTGTGTCCTCGGCTGCCGGGCGCGCTGGGGGGGGCGCGGCGACGGCGCGGGCGGCGTGGAGGGCGCTGACCCGGGGCGGCCACCGGCCGCGGCCCAGCCCCGCCGCACCCCGCGGGCATCGCGTCCATCCGCGCCGGCCGCGTCCACTCGGCCCGCCGCGGCGCGAGGGCGGCTGTCCCCGGGCTCCGAGCTGCCGCGGGGGCTCCTGCCCTGGGCCCACACCGCGGCCGGGCCGGCTCTGAGGCCCGCCGTGGGCCTGGGCGCTGGAGGACAGTGTCCACTCACCCTGGGGCTGCCGGCTGTGCCCTGGGGACGGACGGGCCCGCCCCCAGCCCAAGGCGCTGGGCTTCAGGGGCGGAGGTGGGCGCTGGCTCTGGCCGAGGCTGCCCGTGCCCTTCCGAAAAGTCGTGGAGGCAAGCATGGCCTAACCGTGTCCAGCTCCGGCCACCGCCCCCGAAGAGCCCAGGGCGGCCAGGGGGCGCGGACACAGGCTCTGGGGCCCAGGCCCCGGCTGTGGTCTCGGCGCTCTGCTGGCCACTCCCCAGCTGCACGGGTGCTGGCCGGCCCCACTGCCCCGGGGCAGGCCGGAGCCTCTGATCCTGCTGGACCTGCTTTAGAGAAACTCGCCCGACTGGCCTCTTTACCGACGTGGCAGCTGCGGCCGGGCCCCGCCTCACACCGGGCGTGCGCTGCAGGCGCTCACGGTAACTCCCCACCTCGCGCCCTGGCCCACAGGGGCGCTGACCTCCTCGAGTCTCGCCTCAGGCGCAGGGGCTCCCCGCGCCCCAGAGAGGCCAGCGCCGCCTGCTCACGGGGGACAGCGCGCGCAGGCTTCCTCCTCTGCCGCCCGTGGGTGCGTGTGGACCCGCCTCGCGCTCGAGTCTTTACCCCCAAGGCCAAGAAGCCAGAGCGGAGACGTTTCTCTCCCAAGCCGCTGGGCGCTGTCTGCCGTTCTCTCACAGCAGCTCCGCTGGCGGGCGTCTCCGCTTTTATCTGTCTTGCCGCAGGAAGCGTGTTCCTGGTCCCGGGCGGGGCCTCTGGGCACAGCGGGCCCTGCGCTCCCTCGGGGGCAGCAGGTCCGGGGCCAGCGCCGCAGCACCCTGTGCCCTGCTGCCTGCAGCCACGCCGCGGGCGCGCGCTCTAGCCGTGCTCTCCTGCGGGCGCCGAGCGCCTGGCCCGGCTGTGGCCCCAGAGCCGGCGCCATGGTCTCCTTGTCCTGCTTGGGGGCCTTGCACTTCTTGAACTATGGCGTTTGTAGCTTTAATCGCCATTGAAGACTTTTAAGCTAATTTTCTACAATGTCCTACAGGCGCACGGAGTGGAAAAAGCCCGTACGTGCCCCAGGTCTGTTAAAGCTGTTGCTGCCTCTGTTGGCGTCCCTGGTGCAATGGCCGCCACCCGGCACCCCCTCCCCCATGTCAAGCGCCTGCCCCTAGTGACCCTTCCCCTGCCGCGTCTCCTCCCTGTGTCCAGTTGTCGGTCTCGAGTATGCTTTGCTGCCCTCACAACCCCGGGCAAGCCGCTGCGCCTCAAGCCATCAGGCAGGCCGTGGGCGGGACCGGGGTGCACGCAGGTGGCCGCCTGAGGCCCCACGCAGCAGGGGAAGAGCTGTGCCATGGGCTGCGAGGGCCACACCCGCACCCACTGCCCTCCCCAGTGGCGCTGCATGGCGGCCTCACCGCACTGGGCAGGGGCTGCTGCTCTGACCGTCCGCTCAGGGCCGCCAGGCGCTGCCAGTGGAGCTGGGCCTGACTGTCCTGGGGTTTGGCCACATGTGGCTGGGCAGGGGCACGTCCTCTCCGGCGCCAGCTCACCCACCTGCCCCTGGTGGCAGAGGCCCGCTGAGGCCGCCCCCAGAGTGACCGCCCTAGCAACGCGTCTGCCTCCCCCAGCCTGCACGGTGCCCATTCCTGTCAGGGCCGCTCGGTCACTGGCGTGTTCCGCAGCCGCCCCCGTCCCGACGCACGAGCATTGTGGGTCCTAATTCGGGGGGGTGGCAGGACGGAAGCCACAGGGACTCTGCCCACAGGGACACATGCCGGCCCCCGCTGTGGCTGAGGGCCTCGTAGGGGCACGGCCCCGGCCAGCAAGCGCGGCCGGCACTCGCTGCCGGGGACCCAGCGGCCTGGGACAGCCAGGGCTGGACTGCGCACACCTGGGTCCCCTGGTTCTAGCCCCACTTGGGAGGGGTGACGCTGCTGCTACTGTCCGCTGAGTGGCCTCAGGGTCCAGTTAGATCTCGGATCTGTTTTGCTAAAATAGGCCCGTGAGGGCCTCCCCTCCCCCATAGGTGGTTCCAGCAAGTTCCCCAGGGGCCTGGGGCGCGCGGCCAGGTTAGCTCACGCAGGATGCAGCACAAGGCTCTTGTCTCCTTTATTCAAAAAATAAATATCTCACCTTTGGGTGACAGAGCTCAAACCACGGAAGCAGAGCAGACAGACAGGGCTTTGGCAGGTGGGGTGAGGTGGGCAGCGCGGGGACCCACACATCACCGGCCGGCTGGGCGGCAGGAGGGGCGGCAGGAGGGGCCAGGCGGCCCAAAGGCACATGGAGGCGCCGGGGATGGGGGCAGGGGCAGGCCTCACTCGGTGCCTGCGGGGCGCGTGGCCACGTACACAAAGACCACGATGAGCAGCACGGCCAGGGCCAGCGTGGGCAGCACCACGGTGGGCACCTGCCGCCGCGCGTCCTGCATGGCCTGCTTGCGCTCCTTCTTGTCCCTGGACGTCTCCTTCCTGGGCTTTCCTTTCAGCTGCCGCATAGCCCCAGCAGGCGGGCCCGGCGGGTGGGCTGCTCCTTGCGTCCAGCTGCTCTGCGGAGAGAGTGGGGGTCAGCGCCGGGCAGAGGAGGGAGGCGGGTGGGTTGGGGGCCACAGAGGGCAGCCCCCGCCAGTCTGCAGCAGTGGGTGAGACCCAGCCCGGGAGCCCAGGGCAGAGGCGCTCTCGCTGGTCCTGGGGCAGGACAGGGAGGCCTGGAGCAAAAGGATGGCACTGCAGGGTTGGGAGGGCCTGAGAGCCCCCGGGGGCAGGGCAGTGCAGGGTTAGGTCGCCCCGTCAGGCTGCGGGTCGGGGACACCGTGTGGACGGTCCAGCAGGCGCGAGGAAGGGGCCGGGTGCCTCTACGGCCTGCACCTGTGTCGTCCCTACTGGGCCAGGCAGCACCCCTGGGGCTGAGGGTACAACCCTGCCGGGTGCCGAGTGCACGTCCTGCCCACCAGCGCCTTCATGCGCTCCAGTGCACACCCCCAGGGACGGGCGCGGGATCCCGGGCGGGGCCGAGCCCTGCACAGACGGCAGCGAGGTGGGCCCTGGAGGGCGGCTCGCGGTGCGGGAGGCCTCGGCACCCCTGAGGGGCCACTCTGGCCACGGTGGACCATCGCCTGTGAGCTCGGACCTCTCCCGGCCTGGTCTCCCTCGGTGCCGCCTACTCTCCTGCTTCCCGGCGCTGCCTCTTGCGTGTGGCAAGCTCCACCGCCTCCCCACGCCTGCCCGCAACCTCGGCCCACGCCACATGGCGAGGTTCCTTGTCCAGGCCCGGTGGCATGTCAGGGCCTGGGGGTTCTCTCAACATGGCAGGCCCTGGGCAGCCGGTGACCGCACCCCCAGGCTGCCACCCGGCGACTCCCATCCAGGACGCAGGAGCCCCTCCCACCCCCCACTTCCCCACCCCTGGCTGCGGAGGCCAGCGGGTGTCCATGGAGGCTGCGGCGGGCTCACAGGCCTGAACCCGCACCCTCCCCGCGGGGACAGCCGGGCTCAAGCGTCACAGCCAGCCCAGGGCCCAGAACCAGGGCATCGGTGCCAAAGGCCACGCAGCCTGCTGGGCCCCGGGGACCCGCCTTCCTCGGTGGCTCCCACCTGGCCCCCCCCAGCCCGCCTCACTGACTCCCAGGACACCCTTACATGGTCCAGGCGCGCAAGCAGGTAAGGGCGCCGCCGGGTTCCGGCCCCTGGCCCCTGCCCTGGAGACCAGACCTCACAAAGGGCGGGGTTCCGCCCTCTGCCCTGGGGACCGGCCATGGGCCTCGCCCGGGCTGCAAGGCGCAGGGGGTGGGGGGCTCACAGCGGCTTCTGCCTCTCCCACATCCGCCCGTGTCGCGTCTGCACGGTCTTCGCATGGTGTGGCCAGGACGGCGGGTAGCGGGCCAGCCGGGCAGGCACAGGCCCCACTTCACACAGCCACGTCCAGACCGCGGCCCGGCGAGGCTCGGCCTCCCGTCAGACAGCCCGTCCTGCTCTGCGGGACGCTGAGAAAGTCCGATCTAATGTGCAGAACTCGCTCAGCAGCCAGCACACCGCACCCGGCTGCCCCGGCACCCGGCCCAGGGGGCTGCCCAAGGGCAACATATGGACGGTTTGCTGTTTTGTCGGTTTCGTGCCAGACACCCCAAGTCCCTCGGCCCAAGGAGTCCTGCCCCGCTTGGCCCTGCTGAAAACTGCCCGACCATCCGTCCGCGGCTCAGCAGGTTTGTTTAAAGGTTTGCAGGGAGCAGGAGGCGGGTTCAGGGCCACACACCCCCAACTCCACAGCAGACGTCAGCCAGCACCCCAGGGCAGGGGTCCCCCGCGCAGCTCGTGGGCCCAGCGCCCGCCCAGGGGCCCGAGCTGGCCAGAGGGGACCCAGCCGACCACCGGGCTGCCCCAGCAAGTTCCTGCTCCTGGGCTCCTCCCTGGGCCTCTGCGCTGCCATGGAAACCGGCCAGGGCCGCTCAGGGTCCCCGCAATCGCCCGAGGCGCCCGGGCCGGGAGCGCCTGTTACAGCCGCACGCCCGCCTGCGGCCCGGGCCTGGGGTGCACGCCCGCCTGGGGCCTGGGGCCTGGGGTGCACGCCCGCCTGCGGCCTGGGGCCGGGGTGCACGCCCGCCTGGGGCCTGGAGTGCACGCCCACCCGGGGCCTGGGGTGCACGCCCGCCCGGGGCTTGGGGCGCACGCCCGCCCGCGGCCTGGGGCCTGGGGCGCACGCCCGCCCGCGGCAGGGCCCGGCGCCTCGGTGCAGGAGGCCGCGGCGGGCCTGGCGGCCGGCGCTGCGCTCGCCCCGGTGCCGCGAGATCCAGCCGGCGCCGCGGGCCCGGCCGCTCGGGGCCTGCGGCCGGCGGGGCTGCCGGAGGACGAGGCCTCGGCCGCGCGGGGCTGCAGGTCAGGCCCGGCGAGGCCCGCGGGGTCCCGGCCGCCCCGAGGCCGCCCCAGGCCGGGGCCCGCGGCCCAAGTCCCCGCGCGGCCGCACAGGCGGCGCCGCGCCCCGAACCACTTGTTTCGGGGACCAACTTCGGCCGGAGCCGCCGCGCCGCCCGACGCGCAGCGCACGCGACCCGCGCCGGGGGGACCGGCCCCCCCAGGCCCCCCGCCCGCCCCGCGCGGCCTCGGGCCGCCCCGACTCTTCCGGCCGCCCGGCGGGGCCCGAGCCCGGCCCCCCGCGCCGCTCACCTCCGCCGCGCCAGCGCCAGCGCCGGGGAGACGTGGCGGGCCGCGGCGCCCGGCCCCAGCCCGCCCCCGCGCCCAAGCCCGCCCCCGCCCCCAAGCCCGCCCCCGCCCCCAAGCGCCCCCCCCAAGCCCGCCCCCCAAGCCCGCCCCCAAGCCCAGCCCGCCCCCGCGCCCAAGCCCGCCCCGCGCCCAAGCCCGCCCCCGCGCCCCAAGCCGCCCCGCCCCCCAAGCCGCCCCCGCGTCCCAAGCCCGCCCCCCGCGTCCAGCCCGCCCCGCGTCCCAAGCCCGCCCCCGCGCCCCCCCGCCCCGCCCCCAAGCCCGCCCCCGCGTCCAAGCCGCCCGCCCAAGCCCGCCCCCCGCGCCCCCCCCGCGTCCAAGCCCGCCCCGGCCCGCCCCCAAGCCGCCGGCCCGCCCCGGCCCGCCCCCGGTGCCCCAACCCTAACGCGCCGCCGGCCCCGCCCCGCCAGCCCCGCCCCTCCCGCGGAGCCCCGCCCCGTCCCGCGCCCCCGCGAGCCCCGCGCCGGCCCCGCCCCGACGTCCTCCCGCCGGGGGCTGCGGCTCCGCCCGCGCGCTCGTGGCCACGCCGCAGCGGGTCCCGGCCCCCACGGGGTCCCCAGGCGGGGGGGCGCCCCCTGTCCGCGCGGGCGCTCCCGGGCCGGGTCCCGCCCCTGGCGGGTGTTGGGGGCCTGGCCCCGGCGGGGCGGGGCGGGGCGGCCGCAGGCGCCCCAGCGCGTCCCCGCTCACCCCCGGGGCCCGCGCTGCCCTGCGCCGCCCGGCCGGGCTCGCGGGCGAGGCTGCGTCTGGCGCTGCCCGGGGCCGGCGGCCAGGAGCGGCCACGGCGCCTCGCGCACCCCGGGGGCCGCGGGCTGCTCCCCGGGCCGGCCGCTCGAGGCGCCGGGAGCGCAGCGGGGCGGCCGGGCGCCACAGGCCGGCGCGGGCGGGAGGCTGGCGGCTGCTCGGTCAGTCAGGCCCCGGCGGGCGCCGTCCCCGCCCCGGGACGCGCGGCGCCTCCGGCCAGCGGGGCCCAGCGGCGCCCGCGGAAGCCCCGCCCTTGCGTCCCGCTCGCGGGCCCCCCGGGGGGCAGCCCCCTCTGCGCGCGCCGGACAGCTGCGGACCCCCAGGCCCCCGCGCTGGGGTCCCCGAGGCCGCCCCAGGCTCTGGAGCCGGGCGGGGAGGGCGGGGGCGGGGCTGCCGCTGTGGGGGTGCGGCCCTCGGTGGGGCCCCGCCCCGGCCCCCAGTGCCGCGGCTGCTGCCGGAGCCCCCTGGGGCCGCGCCCGCGCCCGCAGCTGGGTTGCGCCGCCCGCCTGCTCTGCGCCCCGCCCTGGCCCTGGTGGCCCGCTCACCCTCCCGCGCCTCTGGCCTGTACCCCGGTTCTTGTAGAAATAAATAAATCTTTAAAAAAACGATTCAGAAATTGAAAAGGGGGGGCCTCGCGGCCACCGCTGGCGGGCGGCGTTGATGTCCGGCCGGGTTAAAACCCGAGCCACGGAAGGAGCGGCCTGGTGCACGGGGCCCCGACAGGCTTCTCCGGAGGGGACAGAGCCAGCCGACCGCCACAGCCGTCTGTCCCCACCGCCTTCGGGGCTCGCCCAGGCCTCGGTCCGCGGCTGTCGCGAGGAAAGCGGAGGTGACCGGCTCGGGCAGGTGTCCGGCGGCGCCAGTCCTCGGCCAGGGGGCCGCGAGGGCAGACGCCCACCCGGCCTGGCGGGACCAGCCCGGTCCCCGCCCGCGGCTCCTGTCACCGGCGTCCTTGCCCGCACCCCGCTCTGCGGGCGGTAGGTTTGGGCTCGGGCCTACTGACCCGCTGGGCTTCCGTTTCCCGACTCTGGGGAGTGGCGAGGCCGGTCCTTTCCTGCCCGAGCATTGTGCTCACGCTCCCGCAAGGCGCATGTTCTCGCTTCTGGCTTTGCGGGGTGCTGCAGTCTGGCGACTGGCCTGAAGAGGGGGCGCTGGGGGCGCAGCGGCAGAGCAGGGGGGGCCTGCAGACTGGAGGCCCTGATGTTTGAAGCGCACACGAGAGGCAGAGGGAGGCCATGCCCCTCCCAGTGAGCAGAAAACAGGTGATGTCCAGAATCTGCTGTTGTGCTCCCCACTGTCTCTGGTGAATTCTCTCACCCTCCTGCGCCTCTGGCCTTGTATAAATAAATTTATCTATTTATTTAGTTCTTATATAAATAAATCTTTAAAAAAGAACGAGGCCCACCTGGCAGGGGCGCCAGGGAAAGGCCGCTCAAAGACAGAAACACGAGAGGTCAGGTTCAGCCGCCGCGTTTAAGCTGCAGGTGGCAACGTGTCCGGAACCAATGTAGTGAGGCGCGCCCAGGGTAGTTTTTAAAAATGGCATAGGATGGAAAAGGCACTGAGCTCAATGTCATCTCTTGAAATGTTTTTTGCTGCCTATGCGCATTATGTCCTGGGCCACCGGGTAAAATGTGTCTTTTGCTTTGGATTCTGGCAAAAGAAGACCTGGGGCAAAGAAAGGAGCCAGGAGATGCCCCCGTCAGCCTCTCCCGGGCAGCAGCCGACACGACCCATGGGGTCCAGTTCCAGACCCGCCCTCCTCCGCGGGGCGCCTCATCCTGAAACAATAGGAAAAGGCGCCCTCACTTTCCTGAAGTCTAGACCGGGCATGACACGAGCCGCCCAAGGGCTGTGGACCGGGCGCTGGGGGCCCAGCAGAGCCCAGCCCGTCCAGCCCTGCTGACCCTGGTAGGAGACAACCTGCTGGGTGGCGGCCTGGAGGGTGAGGCGGGCTGCAGACCGTGGGCTGCAGCGCCTGCCCCTGCACCCACCTTGCCCATCTTCCTTCCTGGAAGGAGCCGGACCCCTTAGGTGAGGCACTGATGCATGGGGCTACCCTTAAACCCAGTCACCAGGGGACAGACAGGGCTCTGCCCTCAACAGCATGGGCTCAGTTGGGCAACGGTGACACACCGCCGGCCCCCACGGGTGATCCTCGCTGAGGGGAAGGCGCCGGCCGCGGCCAGAGGACCGAGGGGAGTCTGTGGGGCCAGGGGCGCTAGCGGGATGTGTAGGCCGTCAGCCCACAGGCGCCAGTGGCCAGGTGGCGCATGGCCGGGCAGTCCCCAGAGCTGTTTCCAGAAGCAAGCGCTGACTGTGAGTAAGAGCAGCTCAGGGGGTGAAGGGCTAAGGGGGGCCCCAGGGAGGGGGCAGCGTTGGGCTGGGGAAGGGGTGGAGGTGGGTGCGTGCCTGGGAAGTCAGGGACCCCCTCCGGGGTGGCAGAAGGCACCTTCCTGCTGGGGGAGCTACCACCAGCTCTCCCTTAGCTGCCTCCGGCACTGAGGGGCATGGCCTGGGGGCCCCCATGCTGCCTGCATTAGGTGGGGAGCAATGGGAGGCAGACCTGACAGCCGGGTGAGGACAGTCCCCCCCACCAACTCTCTGGGGGGTGCCCCAGGGCCGCAAGCTGGTGGCCATGGCTCCGTTGGCTCTCAGTGAGGGGCTGCGGTGCTAGCCCTGCAGGCGCACCCCCCCCCCCCCCGGGGCTATCTGGCTTGGGGTGACCAGTTGTTTGCACGGAGGCTGTCTGCTCTCAGCTGACCCAGAAACCGCTTAACCAGAACTGTGTCCACACGGGAGCAACCCCTCGACACCCAGATGCAGGTGCTGCCGGCGAGGTCAGGAGCGGGGGCGCGGAGGCTGCCCTCCCTGCAGCGGGACAAGGGCTGTCGCCTCCTGCCTTGGCCAGCCGCTGGCCAGCCACAGCCCGGCCGCGCCGGAGGACGCCCTGCCTTGACGCCCAGGCGCCCAGCCCTGGGTCCAGTCCCGACAGAGGGTCAAAGCCCAGTACCAGGCGCCCCCCTCTTAGTCCGGGGAGCCTGGTGACCCACCAGGGGTGTGCGCCGCGGGTGTGCGCAGGTGTGTGCGGGCGTGAGGTGTGTGCAGGGGGCCGGGGTCAGGGGCCGGGAGCTGCTGCGCGAGGCCAAGCCGCCCGGCGGGACGGCGACCGGCGCTGGACGGCCCTGCCCGGGCGGTGCGGCCCCTCCCCGGCCGGCGTCCCCGCCACGCGCCCGCCCGCACGGCGCCCCGCCGCGAGCGCCCGCCTCACTGGTCCGTCCCGCGGACCCGCCTTTTTAAAAACGGCCCAGAGGGCGCCCGTGGGGTCACCGTCGGACCCGCGCCCGGCCCGGCCGGGAGAGGCTGCGGGCGCCCCTCAGGCTGTATCCGGGCTGGGGAAGGCCGGGCGGAGCCCCCCGCCCCTCCCCCTCCCCCGGGGCCGGCCCCCGCCCCCCGTCTCCCCCGCCCGTCAGCGGCCGCGAGGGGCCCCTCCCCCCGTCAACCGCCGGGAGCGCGCGCTCCGCCCCCTCCGGCACTTCCGGGGTCACGGCTGCGTCTCGACCTCCGGGAACCGCCTCCCGGCCGCCGAAGGTGCGTGGAGAGCGCCCCGCGCGCGCCGCGGGCGGAGGAACAATGGGCCGCGAGCGCGCGCCTGGCGTGCGCGCCCCCGCGCGCCTGCGCCGTCCGACCGCCGGGGAGGCGGGCGGCCGTTCCCGCCGCGCCTGGCGCCCAGGCCGGGCGGTTTGAATGACGGAAGTGACGGCGCGACGCTGGCGGCCGCGCAGGCGCACGGACGGCGGTTGGGAGCGGGTCGGCGGCCGCCCGCGCCTTCTCCGTCCCGCCTGCGGCGCCCGGCCCCGGCTCGCGGCTCTCGGGTGAGCCCGGGACGCGCGGGCGCGCGGGGCCCGGGAGGGGCGTGCTCGGGGCGGGGCGCCGGCCGGGGCGCCGGGGGAGCGTGCGGGCGCGGCTCCCCACCCGCGGCGGCTGCCGGGCCGGCTCCGGAGGAGGCGCCTGGGGTCCGGCGCGGCCTCCCGCGCGCGCCGCGGCCTCGCCGGGGCCGCTTCCAGGCCGGGGCCGCCAGCTCGGCGGCGTGAGGGGCGGAGCGCCCGCCTCGGCCGAGCCCCGTGGCCACACGGCGCCCGCGCCCGCACGGCCCGGCCCGGCCCGGCGGGGCAGCGTCCTCCGCGGGACGACGGGGCGCCCGCGGCTGCCCTCCCCGGAGCGCAGCAACGGGCAGCTCAGACCCGCGCGGGCAGGAACGGCTGACGAGAGACGCGAGGCCCACGGCGCGCGCCCCCCGCGGGGTGCTCTCGGGGAACGCGCGGGCGGTGCCGGGTCATCGCGGCCGCCGGGAGAGCGGCCGGGACTTGGTGGAACGTGAGGTCAGCGCAGCGCGAGCTCTCGCTCCCCGGGGAGCACCGGGACAGGTGGCAGCCATGGTGGAGAAGCCCGGTAGGCGCCCTTCAGTCAGGCGACCGGAGTTCACTGCACAGCGGGGCGGGCCAGGGACAGGCCAGCCTCGCTCGCCTCCCCAGGGGTGCGCCGAGACGCCCGCTCCATCTCCTCTGTGGTTTTCTGGCCCAAAATGCATAACCTCATTCTGGCCAGAAGAAAAGCTTAAGCAATGCAAATGGGACATCCTACAAAGGAACAGGCCAGTGTTTTCCACAAATGTCAGCACCTTGAAAATCAGGACAGACTGAGGACCTGCCCCCCATTAGAGGCAGCAGAGGAGGCGGGGGGGGGGGGGACCCTGCAGACCCCCTGCAGACCCTGCAGACCCCCCCCCCAGAGAGGCAGCCAGGAGATGTCCTGTCCGCGTCCAGCCCCTGAGCCGGTCTGCATGGATGGCGGGCTTGGGCTGCTCCTAGCCAGTGACGGCCCCGGGCAGGGACACTAATAGGGCGAGCCCCAGGAAGCGGAGGGTAGGGGAAGCCTTCTTTAGACTGGCCGAGTCACACCAAATAGGGACTCCTCACTGTGGGATAGCAGAGGACAGGGCTCTCGGGGGCCCTCAGAGACTCCTTCCTCTATCCTCTGTACACCTGAGTGTGAACTCGAGCGCTGGACGAGATCTCGAGTCTAAACTCTTGACTTGTGCCAACATCAGAGTTGTTTAAGTGATCGTTTAAAAAGCACACCCTTGTAGTGACTGTTGAAGAGCTGGTGGGGATCCGTTATGTCTGGTGGTTGAGTTAAATAGTGCGGACTGGGTCTGGGAAGCAGAGCCCTGTGCAGCGCCAGCAGTTTTGCTGGCTGTGAACATGTTATCAGAGGTCTAAGGGTTTAGCTGTAATTGTGAAAACATTTTTCTTTGAAACACATCTTTTTAAATATCTTTTTTACACACATCTTTTTAAATCCTTTTTTTATTCATGTTGGGCAAACTGGAAATCCCAATCGGGAAAAAGTCAGGTCCTACTTATTGCAGGTAACTGGCGATCTCTGTAGATGAGTAAAAACATTTTCAAGTAATTCTGGTACTCTCTCCACTTTGCGCCTTCTCACCGTCTGAGAAACGCAGGTTTAGTTTCTGAATTTATAATTGTTGTTTGTAGGTAAATTGGACTTTGCCCAAATTATTTTGTTTGCATGCATACAGTCCTTTAAATGTTGAAAGTATTAATATGTATTTTTAAAAATATTGTCTCTGTCACCCTATTTTAGTAGCCTTTTCTGTTTTTAAATCAGGACCTTTAAAGTGTACAGAAATGAAAAGGAAGGTGGTGAGTACTTGCAAGCTGAAGTTGAGTCCCAATGAGGAAGCTTGCATTTTAAAGGAAGATTATGAAAGAAGACGAAAATTAAGACTGCTGCAGGTAAGGTTGATTTGGAATGGAGTCGGCCTACCTGAGTCGTTAGGATTTTTACTGAGAGTGTTCTGAACAAGAGGTTGTGTTTAAAAACCTTTACTGACTGCACATGGGCCCAGGTCTTGCACTTTAACTAGTTAGGGAATATTTGAAAAATGGCAGTGAAGTGGTAAATATATTGAAGAAGAATTTGAAGATAGGGGTTGTTCAGCCCAGTAATTATTGGAAAATAGTTCAGTGGTTATTTTTAAAATTAAGTCACTGATAACATTCTAGCAGGAAGACTAACTAAAAAGGTTAATATCTACTGAGACAAATTTATCAAAAGGTTGAAGATTATTTTTTTTAGAAGTCCTTTAGCGTGGGCCTCCCCGGTGGCGCAGCGGTTGAGCGCTGGGTTGCGAAGCTGCCCACGGCCTCTGTGGCGCCGGTTCGATCCCTGGCTGCTCCCCGGCCACCGGAGGAGGGTCCCACATGGCACACAGACCTCTCCTGCCGCCCGCTGCTCCCCTCAGCAGTGTACTTTGGTCCTTCTGCCTGCTCTGCTCCCCGCTCTGGCTCTGGTGAATTCTCTCACCCTCCCGTGCTTCTGACTGTACCCAGTGCTTGTATAAACAAAAACAAACAAATAAATAAATAAATGAATAAAATACGTGCCTCTTTAAAAAAAAAAAAAAAAAGAAGTCCTTTAGCGTAAGATAAGTCTTCGTGAAGCATGCCTTCTAGACAGAATTCTGTGCTCGTCTGGGCTATAAGTTTTGCAGACTGATGCTCACCCTGTTATACATGATAATGGCAATCCCGTTAGGAGTGGGGATCCAGGAGATAATAGCTCATCAGTTAAGGAACTTCAAAAGTAGTCTTGAGAGTTTAATTCTTTTCTACAGGACTTGGATTTTCTGCTTTCCATAGACCTTAGCTACTATAATATGAATACTCAAGAGAGAATTGATACACCAACAGAAACCTTCCTCTTTCCAGATAGCTTTTCAAAAAAGCTGAAGTAAGCCTCTTTCATCTAACAGTATTTGTTTTTTAGGTTCGAGAACAAGAAAGGGATATTGCTTCGCAAATAAGAGAAGACATCAAACAGAGGCGAAATCAGCACTTTGCTCGTCTGGCAGAGGAGCTGAAGACAGAATGGGAAGAATCACAAACTCAGAAAATAAAGAACTTAGAAAAGCTCTACTTGGCAAGTTTAAGAAACATGGGAGAGGGCCATCAACAAGCCAAGGAAAATGTGAGTGAGTCCCACTTGACTGCCTGCCTGATAACAGTGTCAGCTGAGGGTCGGTCATGGCTACTGGGCTCCTGTATGGAATTTGTCTGGGGAAGCCTTAACCTTTTTTGTAAGTTTAATATAACTCCAGGATGCTGCTGGGTGCGCTCCCCCCTAAGAGTCCTGTCCAATGAAAGCTGTTGTCTTATGATGTTTACATTGGCCTTGTTCTCTCCTGGACCCTCGCTCGGGATATGTAGAGCAGTGGCCCTTCTGCACTGGCAGTGGCTGTTTTCAGACACTTTGGACAGATTAATGGGGTGAATTCAGATGATGTCCCACCTTGAATTGTACTCAGCTTTTATTCACAGACAGTAGTTAGATTTCTTTGATGACTTTGAAAAGGGCCAACAGGGCCTCCCTTGGTGGCGCAGGTGGTTGAGCGTTCCGCTGTGAAGCTGTCCTCTGCAGTTCCATCCCGGCCCGCTGGCGAGAATCCCACAGGGCGCGGCAGACCTCTCCTGACTCGCCCGCTGCTCCCCTCAGCAGTGTCTTTCAATCAGTCTGCCTGTTCTGTGCCCTGCTCTATCTCTGGTGAATCCTCTCACCTCCCGCTCATCTGGCCTGTACCCCTGTTCTTGTATGCGTGAATAAATAAATCTTTAAAAAAAAAAAAAAAAGAAAAGGGCCAACGGTCAAGTAGAATTTAACTCAGTGTGAGCCCATGCCCTGACCTTGTTTTGCTTATTGTGATTTGGGGTTGTCAAAGCCCTCGATCGTGGTCCCTCAGTCAGTCACATAGAAATAAATGAGCTGGGGTCTCCCTGGTGGCACAAGGGGTTAAGACAAAACCTATGAAGCTGTCTGCAGCCTCTTTAGCACGAGTTCGATCCCCAGCCAGGGAGCTACCCACATGGCGTGGCAGACCTCTCCCGTCTCCCTGCTGCTCCCCTCAGCAGTGGATTTCAGTAGATCTGCCTGTTCTGCTCCCCACTCTGTCTCTGGTGAATCCTCTCAGCCCCCCACACCTCTGCCCTGTACCCCAGCTCTTGTATGCATAAAGAAATAAAGTTTAAAAAAAGAAAAAAATGAGCTGGTTCCAAGGAAGGCGAGTCTCTGATGCCCCACTGCTAGCCAGGAACAGGAGGATCTTTAGCGAGTGTGGCGGTCAAACGTGCCCCGTGTCCCTGGCTGAGTCTCGGTGTAGCTTCCAGTGCTCATCTGACTGCAGCTGTATCTGCCCCAGTGTGGTGGGCCCTCTCCTCGTCGCGTGAGCAGCTTTTACAGTGTCCGCCTGAGTGGGGAACTGCCCAGTTGATTGTATTTCGCATTTTCATGGTGTTCAACTTGACATTTTTAGTCATATGTGTTTTTAGGAACCTGATTTGAATGTTCTGGAACAGCGGGCCGCAGAAAGAAAAAGAAAAGCAGAAGTGAGGCATAAAGAGGCCCTGAAAGTGCAGAAAAATCACAAAGAAATGTTAATGAAAGAAAAAACCTGGTAATAGTGACTTTCGCCGCATTCCCCCACCCGCCCACCCTGAAACTGTTATGGCTGGAAGTAGAGGGCACACGGGCAGGTTCTAGCAGGCGGGGACGAAAAGCCGCGTGTGCACCCATGGCCTCTGTTAGACGTGTCTGAAATCAGAGCAGCGAGGGAGCGCTGGCCGGGCTGAGCACGTACCACGCGAGTGCTCCGCAGGATTACGCGGCCATTCAGAGCGCAGGTCAGCCCGAGTCCGTTCACCTCAGACGCAAACAACCAGAAAGAAAAGAATCAGTGTGATTGAGAACACCGATGGCGGTTAGCAGGCTCTGGGGGTTGCCACTGAGTGCTCTTCAGGTCGTGGAAACGAGGGAGGCGTCCTGGTCGCTGTCTGTGGTGGCCCATCTTGCCAGCACCGGGGTGGCTTCTAGACTGTTGTCAGGTGGGGACCATGAGCTCTTGGCTGGGTCAGGCCCCCACAGAGCCTCTTCTGGGGAGACCTCTCTAAACCTCCTCACTGCAGCCATGCTTGTGACTAAACTGCGCGTGATCCCATGGCATGGGACTGGGGCGTTTCTTGAGATCCTTTTTGACTCATATTTCTAGCCGTGAGGACGGGACAGCTGTCACTTGAGTGCTTGGTTTCTGACATCGCTTGTTTTTTAAGGCATCTAAAAGCTCGAAAGGAAGCGCTGCTGGTGGAGAAGGGGAGATCTGCTAGAATTGCAAGTCTGCCCCCGCCGCCTCCTGCTCTTTTTGAGGTAAGTTGCTTGAGTGTTGAGTGGAACTGAGCCCCGGTAACTCTTTACCATCAGTGGCCAGTTCTGGTCGAGGGCCATTGGCTTAGACTTCATTTTTAATTGCACGAGGAAGACAGGAGCCCACAGGGGTGCGCGGGCACAGCCCTGGCCACCGTCGTGCCCGCGCCCTGGCTGGCCGTGGCTTGAGGCCCTTCTTAACAAGTGCGGCTCTGATGGCGCCCCTGGTCGTCTGACGCCGCGTCTGTTCAGTTTGCCCCAGTGCCTTGAAAAATGTTTTTGTTGTTGGGAAAGCTGCAGTATTTTTGATTTTTAAAACACTATGAATAATTTGGTCTTTTTTTTTTAATACCCTTTATTCATTGGACAAAGAAACTGGATTATTTATCCTGTAGACTCACTGTCTCGCAGGTAAAGTAACTGCTCTCATAAACCCACACAAGACTACGAGAGTGTTGAGAGTAGATTATTTATTGGATGAAAGTCCTCCTTTTGTGATTTGCAAATTACTGTTTAAGCCAATTTACTAAGTAAAGTGGAAATTAATACCAAAAAAATCATTCTCTTTATATCAGCTATTGTGGTCATTAAAATTACAGTTTCTCTTAATCTAAAAAGTTAAATGCTGGTGAGAAAACACACAGGTGCAGGGGTGTCTTCCTCCGCTTTGCAGTCCGTCTGGGCACAGCCCTCTGCCTCAGGCCTTTGTCTGCAGCCTCCTGCTTTGTGGGCACACCATCTGCTGTGAGCATTTGATCCCCGAGAGTGAGACAGAGTCAGGTTTCCGGCACGCCCTTGCTTCCTAGTGCTCTTAACCAGCCCCGTCACAGTTAAAGCAGACAAAGCATTGTCTGTACAGGTGACTGGGCAAAAATGACCTGTGTCAGTGTGAATGATGTGTAACCGTGTGGCTGTGCATTTTCCCCCAACTCTGCTGTGGCTGTTTTCACAAGAGAGAGTGCTGGCGGGGGGCGGGGGGGGGCATCCATTTGAATGTGGGTCCTGGAGGTGGCGTTTCACCCGCAATACTTCAGCTCCCAGTAAGGGTCAGAGCTTTCTCTCACAGACCACAATAGCACACCAAGAAAAGTGATGTGAAGTCCTACTCCTGCTTATTGCATGGTCATCGTTCAAGATCTTTCATCGTCCCTAAATCACCTCACGGCACGTCTTTCCTTTTTTAAGACCAGAATCCGGCTGAGGCTCGTGTGTTGACCCGCTGCTTTGTCTCTTGGTCTGTTGGTGTAGAACTCATTTCTGCTGACTCGGGCCAGCTTTTTAAATTCAGATTTTTTGAAGGGACTGGACTAGCGGTTCATCGTCTATGTTTATCGTGTGTGTTTACGATGGGCTTGCAAGCGCTCCTTCATCGAGGACGTGTTTTTCCTCACAGTCTCCGTGTGATCTGGGAGCTGATACTTTGTCCCTGGGTGGGTATCTGTGCGCCTTCTGCTCTTGCTCCCCGGCTTGCGTCTGTTCAAGAGACTTGCTCTGTCCGGTGGGCGTGAACCGCGGAGCCAAATGATGCGGCACAGGAGAGGCCTGCGCCGTGGGCCTTGGGGGACGCTGTCAGTGATTCAGCGTCACCTGTTCAGTATTCTTGCCTCAGTATGACCAAGATTGTAATCTAAAGTCCAGTTTAATGGAAAGATACATAATCCTATGTGAATAAAAGAGTGAGGTCACATTATAAACATTGATAAAAATATGAAGGTGAGGGGTTTTTTGCTTGTTAAAGTCCAGCTTTAAATGAAAATGCTTTTAGCCGAATTATCTGTTTTCTGTGTTCCATTTTTCAGAACATTGACGTAAACCGAATTCCTTCAGTGAAAACTAGTAGCACCACTTACCATCACCTTCACACTTTCGTGAACAGAGAAATGGACACAAAGCAGGTGACTGACTGACCGTTCTTCAGCCCCCCTTCTCCATTCAGTTCACAGAGCTGTTGCCCGCTTCTGCGTGTGCTGTGCCCACGTATCCAGATTGGCGTGAGGGAGGACAATGTTAAACCTCACGGCCTAAATGGGATGAAATGTTCTTCTTCCTACGTGTTATTTAATGTTATGCACATCAATATATTAATTTTGCAGGTTGTAATTTCGATTTAGTCTAACCTTGGTCATTTTGTCTCACATTATTTAGATTTGCATAGACGTTTATTGGCCTTTAAAGGGATATAGTACATTACATAAACTTGTTTAGTCAGCACACTCTCAATACTGTCTCCTTACCTCACTATGTCAGTTATAAAAAATTTAATTCATGTATATGTAAACTTTCGTTGTCGTCATTTAGTGTTTCCCCTGAGTAACAGAATTTAAACACGTAAAATATGTAAGATTTTTATGTAAAGTTACATTTGGAATGTTTACCTTTATTTGCAAGGGGTTGTGGGTGGTTCAAATATTATAGTAAATTCAGGTCTGTGGCCCTCCCCCTCGTCTGGCGTTACTGTGGTGTCAGTGAGGTGGTGACTGTGCATCATGTAGTTGTTGGTTAGGCACACGTTCTAGGGAGCCAGATATTTTAAGTAGGTGTTTTGGTTATTTGGTCTCCCTGTGGCTGAAGCCATGCAGAGATGGCTGAGAACTGGGGGCCAAACCTCAGTCCTTCCTGTGTGGCTGACATGACCTTCGATATCTGCGGCGTCCTGGCTGTCAGCCTGTGGGAGTTTACCTTCCATCCTGGTTGCTTTAGTGGCTTTTCATTGAGAAGTAATGGAGGGAAAGTGTTGGGTGAGTATGGCACAACCTGGTTTGAAATGATGAACTTGTAAAGTTTTACACGAATAACCTGAACTTGTAATGTGCTGCTACAGTCATGTGCACATAGTATAAATTTTATATAGGCAGGAAAACGTGGTTTTAAAGGTTTTGATTTGCTTCACACTTCTATAAAATTGTCTAAACTGTCACGACTGACTGCCAGCCAGATCCCCATTTGGCTGCTGAGGAAGAATCTAGAAGACTGGACGACCTACAAAAGCAAGCCGTGCAGGAGCGGGCGGAGCGCTGTGAAAAGGCGCAAGCACGAGGCTCCCGAGCACTGCAGAGGATCCACCTGGCCCAGGTAAGGAGGGGCTCTGGCTGTGCTGGAGAGTTTTCCGACTGTTTTACTCCCATTTCAAGTTCAAGGTGGGTAAAGCACTTCCCACTTGGTATTGTAAAATTTTTGCTGATGATGAATTTGTTGAAAGCTTAAAATTTTAGTTGGCCCAGAAATAATCTGAGAAGGCAGACGCCTAATCACTTTTTGATTTATTCATGTGAATTACATTTGTGCAAATGCAAATTTTAGGATGCAGAAAACAGCCATGTGCTTAGAGGTGGGGCATGGTCCTCCCTAGACCCAGCTGAAAGGCAGCCGCACAGAGCCGCCCCTGCGTGGCCAGACCTGGCACGTGGCCCCTTCTGCCTGGCTCAGTGTTGAGTGTTTACTGAGACGCTGCGTAGCGATGGTTCATCTTAGAAGGCTGGTTTCATGTCCTTGACTTGACTAGCGCGTTTGGATGTCTTCGTCTGAAGACAGTGTTTAAGTTTCCCGCAGGAGTCAGAGGTCACCTGATGAAAGCTCTTTCGTGTGTTGGAACTGAATCTTGACCCTTTCCTTTAAATGTTTAGTTTTTATAAACTAGTAGTGAATTATGAGTAAAATAACAAACTGGATTATTAGCGGTGACTTTCCTCATTTGAAAATGAAACCTGCAGAAGAGCAATGGAAGCATCTGGAGGCGGAGCACGGTCCTCTGTGGACCGGCCGCGTGCAGCGGGAGGCTGTCTCCGGAGCTCTACCCCGCCCTCATGTCCGCTCTCAGTCGGCCACCTGCCCGCCCCCAGCTCTGCTCACCGTGTTTTGTAAGGGTCATGTCGCTTGGTAAAACCCTTAGGAGCGTGCCTGGACCTGGTGAGCTCGTGGGGATGCCAGCGGGTGGGAGAGAGCCCAGCCTTGGGGAGCCGGAAGCTCGGCCTGGCATGCTCGGAGCTGTGAGGGCATGAGACCATCTGGATCTCGGTATACAGGAAATGAGCCGTTGATAATTTGAGTCTTTTTCAGACAAAAAGTAATTCACCCCCCAGGTGACACAATGCGTTACGCTTTACCTAGGGGAGCTGGCGTGCGTGTGCCCCTCCCACTCCCCACACTCGGTGCAGGCTCTTCCCCTGTCCTTGGAACTGTGCCGCTTTGGGGTTGCTGGCTGGCCCGTTCTGCTGTGGGCCCCTTGTGATGATGTCAGGAGCAGCTTGGCCCTGGCCTCCCCGGGTTATCCGTAGCCTGCCCCACGCCCTGTTGGGGTGAACAGCGTCTTTCTCTGCCCCCACGCCCATCTCCTCTCCTCTGAGCGGTGCTCACTGCTTCTTCACGGGTGTGCTGCCTCAGCCTCTTCATGTGGCTCAGGCCTCCGGGGCTGAGATCTCGGCCCTCCAGTCCCCGACTCCAGCGTGGGGCTAGATGCTCCAGCAGGAGGCGGTGCCTGTGCTCTCAGATGCTGCGGTGAGGGCAGCCAGGCGCAGGCGCACATCAAGCCCCTGCAGCTGCGGGGACGCGGAAGGGCGAGGGCAGCCTGGCACCGTCCGGCCCTCGGTGCCCCAGCCTGGGGTATGTGGCTCCCGGAGGCTGGGCTGTGTGCCCGAGAGAGGGGAGCTGTTCCTGCAGATGGTCTCGGAGCCTGGTGGCTGCACTAGCGCCGCCTCTCACGGGCCTGCTCCCCGAACACCGGCCACCTGCTGTGGCCTCCAGGCCATTGTGTCCAGGCACCTAGCGTAGTGTCTGGCATCCGGTAGATTGTGTTTGAGCACGTGCGAGGAGGCCTTCCCAGCCTGCTTCCTCCCGGTTCACACTGTCCCCTCCCTGGGGCACAGCTTGTGGCCCAGCTGCCGCTGATGAATTCTCTTTCTTCTTGAAGAATCAGGAGAAACTGATGAAAGAACTCGAGCAGCTCCAGCAAGAGGACCTGGCCCGGCGGAGGCGCACGGTGGCCCGGATGCCCCCGCAGCTGGCGGAGCTCCCCTACAAGCGCGGGGAGACACGGGAGGACTGGCAGCGAGAGCTGGAGTTCGCCTTCGAGGACATGTACAGCGCGGACCGGAGTAAGGCTGCCTCACAGGCGTTCAGCGCGGCTTTGCCGCGTGCTGTGGGGAGATGTCTGTCTTGATGGAGCAGTTTTTATTTTGAAATGAGTTCTCGGTTTGAAAGAGGCCCTGGTGCTCCAGACATGGAAGCTGCGATGCCTCCCAGGGGCTGGGTCCGCGTCCACGTCCGGCAGCCACTGGCTTCAGCGGCCGATATGATCCTCACGGACCGTCTCTGTGATTCTTTCTCAAGAGGTGGAAGGAAACCTGATCTTGCACCTGGAGCCGGAGCCTCTGCCCACACTGGCCAGCCAGGTCCAGGATGAGGAGCTGGACCTGTCCGTGGAGCAGGAGCACGGGGCGGAGACGGAAACCCTCCCGGCAGTGCACACAGAGTCGACGAGCTCCCAGGAGACAGACGGTAACGACGTGGCTGCATGCAGTATGGGGTTCATAGCCCGGAGGGCCGCTCGCTGGCGGCGGGTCGGGTCTCACTCCCAGTGACTGGCACTGCAGGGGTGATGCCAGGAGGAAGCCGTGTTACCAGGTTCCACCGCCAAAGGCCCCTTCAGGAGGATAGGTGGGCAGGGGCTTTTCTCGGCAGGAAGTGCGCCCGGAGGTCACTGTGAAGGTCAGCATCTGTCGCCGAGTGCTCCTGCTCATGCAGACACTGAAGCCCAGTGTCTGAGGAGCAACCGCCTCCTGGTCCTGCTGCGCCACGGCCTGTCCAGCTGGGGGTCAGCGCTGGCCCACGCTCCTGTGCTGCGCCCTGGGAGGCCAGTGCCCCCCAGTGTGGACTTGCGTGTTGCTGGGTGTCTTGATTTCCTAAAATAGCCAGGAGCCCCGCTGTTTTTTTTAGTTTTTAGTTTTAATTATTGGCGGTTACTTTAAAAGATGAGTGATTTGCAGACTGTGGAGAGTCAGAGAAGCGGCGGAGGAATGCCGGCACGTCAGCCCGTAACTGTGGACATAAGACGAGACCCGGCGAGGAGAATCTGGTGTTGAGGGTGGAATCGCGGCTGTCTTTAGGGGCTGTTCATTGGGGGTGCAGGGAGGGGCCTCCGTGGCAGTGTTCCACACGCTCACCTTGCCGTGGTGGGCCTCGGGCGCCACCCGCAGGGCTCACAGTTCTGGTGAGAGGCAGGCAGACCAGCTGCCACTGCCGCTCGAGCTGGCTGGCTGGCTCCTCACATCCGAGAGCCGTGCACCTGCTTCTGTACCTTAGGGCGCTGCTGGCATGGGGCTGGGTTTCAGTGCTGAGCCCTCAGCCTAGTGGAAGGAGTTTTGATGAAACAACCAAGGTGTTTTGTTGTTTTAAGACTTATTTAGTTACTCATATAAGAACTGGGGTGCAGGCCAGAGATGCGGGGGGTGAGGACTCCCCAGAGACAGAGCGGGGAACAGAACAGGCGGATCCACTGAAACACACGACTGAGGGGAGCAGCGGGGAGATAGGAGAGGTCTGTGCACCATGTGGGTCGCTCCGTGGCCGGGAACTGAGCTCAGGTCACAATGGTGACAGTGCTGAGACTCAACCCAAGGCCAATAGGGAGGCCCCAAAGATTTTTTGTTTAAAGATTTATTTATGTAAGAACTGGGGTACAGGCCAGATGCGTGGGAGGATGAGAGGACTTACCAGAGACAGAGCGGGGAACAGAACAGGCAGACTGACGAAACACACTGTTGAGGGGAGCAGCGGGCAAGACAGGAGAGGTTTGCTCACCATGTGGGACCCTCGCTGGCCAGCTGGGATTGAACCGGCGCTGCAGAGGCTGTGGACAGCTTCACAGCACTGAGCTCAACTGCCTGCGCCTTTTGGGGCGGCCCCCCCCAAAGATTTATTTAATTGAAGGTATCAGCTTAGGAAAGATAGGTTGGAGAAATGTTCCCATTTCTTTACCGGAAATGATTTGGCAGCACTGATGTGCAAAAATGTGAAGTTCTGACTGGTGAGCTTTTCCTCTGTAGCCTGCTTAGTTAGCATAGGCCGGATTTGGGGCCCTTGTCTGAGGTCCAGAGTCTCTGCACATAGTTCACTTGCCCCTCTCCCTGTCTGCACGGGAGGACTGACCCTGTGCTCAGTCGGCAGAACTGGCCCCTCCCGGGTGGGTTTCCCTTCTTGACGTCTGTGCGGCACGTTTGCTGAGGAAAAGCGCTTGAATTTTGGTGCCTTTATTTACGTTAAAGAAAACATTTTGGTGAAAAAATTGCGATTGGCGTCAAACAGAGTCCTATAAGCATAACATGGCAAAGTTAAGAAAAATCAGGCTGTGCTTTTGCCCGAGCTGGTGCCCGTGGTGACCAAGCACGAAGACAGACGCCCACCTGCCCGCGGGCGGCGCCGAGACTCTCTGTTTTTCTTCTAGTTCCCTTGACAGTGAAGAACCACCAAGTCTGCTCAAAAATTCTTTTTAAAAAATTATTAAATAAGATTCGAAGCCAAAAGTCCCTCTGGACGCTCCCCTCTGCGCCGGAGGAGGAGAGCGACACGGTCACGGCCGCCGGGGAGCCCGAGCGCGACGCACCCATGGCGGAGTCGGGACGCACCGCCAGCCGAGGGGAACCGTCGTCCTCCGAGCCAGGTGCCTCCCCCGTGCGGCCGCGATGCTGCTCCTTATGGGCACGGGGTCCTTGGTGGCCCCCCAGCCGCGGCGCTGCCTGGCGTCCACTCGGGGTCCGCGCACCCAGTCGCATCGCAGGCTTCCCAGGCTGACTCCTGCAGCCCCACCTGCCTTTCCCCAGTCCCCGCCTCTCCATCGCAGCGGTGACGTCCTCCCCTGACGCCAGAGCCCATCCTGAGTCCTCCCGACCCTCTCATCCCCGTCCTGCACTCCTGCCCTCGAGCCCCTCCGCCGGGCCCCTCCCGTCGTCACTCTGCCCGCCTGGTCGTGGCTCCTCCCGAGCCCTGTCTTTCCTGAGGGCGCAACCCTTCCCCGGCTCCCCGTTCTACTCACTGACACCCCACGGCTTCTGTGCTTCACCAGACCTGCACACCCCTGCTAAGTCTGGCACCCCCCGACCCCCCAGTATCGCTCCCTCCCCCATCACTCAAGTGCGCGGCGTCAGGACGCTGCCCGGCAGGCGCTCACGTGGGTCTCTTACAGCCACAGAGAGCGACGCGCTGACGGTCGACTCGGGGCCGCTCACCAGTGACGCCGGCAGGCAGCCTCCGTGCCACACAGACGCTGGAAGGGACCCAGGTATTCCCCGCCCACACTCCCCTGCCGGATGTGTGCATCTTCGCCCAGTAGTGCTGCGTCCGGGCACCGGGTGGCGGCGGTGTGCCTCGTGGTTCAAGTGTGTGTTTGGGAAATTCTCTTAGCGAGCGCGACGCAGCCTGTCTCCGCTGGCGCCCAGAGTTCAGTCCTGCTGCACCCGCAAGAAGCAGCGGCCAGGATCAGATTGGCAGCGAGACAGAAACAGGTAATCGCAGCGTCCGTTTTCACAGGCCTCTTGCTTGCCTCGCCGCTTGGCCCGGGAGATGCGCCTCAGCGCCTGGCTGTCGTGTCCTTCCCCCGCCTTGTCCCGCGGCGCCGTCGGGCTCGTGCTGTCCGCCTGGGGGCTCGGCTTTGGTAAAGGCCGACACTTCAAAGACTCAGCTCAGTTTCGGAGCGTCGCCTCCCCGCAGCCACCGCTCGCTGACCAGCTTCGAACAAGCAGGTCTCATCGTGTCAGGCGCTCAGCCAGGCTTTATTGTCCCAAGAGCGTTTTGAAAAATCGTATTTCCAAAGAAAAACGTTAACTCCAGCCATCCTCTGGGCCCCGGCTACCTTAATACAAGATTTTTTTTTAAACGCAGATGACCTTGAAAGAGGCCAGTTGTTCCGAAGCCAGAGGGTCGTAGTCACAGCGTTGATGAAAGCACAGCTGGGAGGGCAAGGCCGACGCCGCTGGGCAAGGCTGGGCAGGGTCTCCAGGCCGACGCCGTACCGGCCAGTGTCCGCGCGCTGGCCTCGGCCCAAGGGCTGCGGCTGGACTCTCCCGGCCCGACCCGGTGGCTTGGGGTGGGGGGAGCAGGCATCCTTGCCGTCTCACCGGAGACTTTCCCTTGAAAACAGACCATCCTTGCCCGTTTCTGCTCCAGCTGTTGCTCTGACTAAAGTCACACGTTCCCTTTTCCACGTGGTCAGCAGATTCGTGTCTGCGAGCGAGTGTGGCAGGGATGGTCCTGCAGCGGCTGAGCTCCGGCCTGCCGGCCTAGCCCTGCCTCGAGAGCCTCGGGCCGCTGGCTGTGCCTGCCCGGTCTCCCCTCAGCCTCTCCTCTCCCAGGCCCACCCCCTCAGCAGCCCGTCTCCCTGTGGCCCCTCCTCAGCCCCAGGCCTGACAGGAGACGCAGAATGTTGCTTGCTTCATTGTTGGGACACTCGGGAGCTTCCCTAGCGTGTGCCTGAGAGATGTGTGTTAGGGGAGCCGGGCGGGTGGCTCCTCAGCTGTTCCTGGGGGCGCAGGTGGCACTTGCGCTTCTTGCAGGTGGAGGTGCTGGTTCTCGAGGCACCCCATGCCCCGGGAGACAGGGGCCTTGCCTCACGACCTCCTGCCTCTGCTGCTCGCCCTTTTCCTCCGTCCCCCTTCCCTGACCCCTGCTCCTGCCCGTCCTCTGGCAACAAGGGGAACGTTCTCACGTCCCGTCAGGGCGCTAAAACCGGTGCTGGGCCCCCAGACCTGGCCTTGGGTTTGTGGTTCATGGATGAATAGTGTTTCTGTTACTCAGATTGCAGAGATTGAAGAACAGAAGCGGCGGCAGCTGGAACTGCTTGAGCAAATCGAACACCAGAAGCTGAGACTAGAAAGCGAGTGTCTCCGGGCGCAGCTGCCGGGGGTAGGGCTCCCGGGGAGGAGACGCCCAATCCTCACTTACCTGTGGTCGTTTGTGTCTTTGAATGATGTGCTTGTAAGCGAGTCAGACAGCCACGGTACTGCCCAGCGTGTGGCGGTGCCAGCTGGCGTGGCCACTGCGGGTGTGGGCTGAGCCCCAGACGTGGCACCAAGGGGGGTCGTGCCTGCTTGGATCCCGGGTGGTGGGAGCCCCCGCCCTTCACAGGAGGCGCAGCTCCGTGGCCTGCGGGCTGGGCTGCGGCTCAATGTGGTCCTTGCACACCTGCAGTGAGTGCATCTGTCTGGTCCTAGGCCGGCTCTGCTGCAGCACCACAGGCCGCGAGCCCCGACGAGGAGGCCCACAGGAGGCTGATTCGTGACTACCAGCAGCAGCTCCTGCAGCAGACCAGGTGCGTGGTACAGTGTCGGGGGGCATGGGGCCCGGCCTCCACGCCTGCTGTGCTGGGCCCCATGGGCGCCGTCAGGGTGTGCTTGGAGCTGTGTGGGCAGCGTGCGGACGGGGTGGTGCTCGCGCCTCCCCCACCGGTGCCCCGGCTAGCCTTGGGGGCACTGCAGTTAAATCTGGCAGATGTGTGAAAACACGGGGCTGTTTTTTGTCAACAAGACGTTTGTTTTGTTTTCATGCTGCAGGCTTCACCGACAGTGTGTGGAGACTGCCCGGAAGCAGCTACTGGATTACCAGACTATGCTGAGGGGGAAGCGTCTGTCCCTCTCGGCCACGTCACTGGCCCCTGGGGCTGTGGCATCAGTTCTGTGGCCACACGGAAGTCCCGCTGTTGCCCGGGAGCTTCAGAGTCAGGGTCAGAGACCCAGGCTGAGTCCTGACAGGTGTCAGCTCGCGCAGCCCACACAGACCCCCATGCTGAAACCGGGTCTCCACCAGGCGCCGAGACAAAGTCATCTCCCACAAAGATGGGCCAAAGCATTGGTCACTTCTGGGGTCTTACCACAGCCATCTTTGGAATCAGAGGGACAGCCTGAGCAGCACCCACAGACGGAAGCCCGGCAAACGGGTGGTCACGGACTGTCGCCTGATGCAGGGGGCGGCGTGGGGCCGTTCTGCACAACAGCTGCTCCAGCTGGGGGCTCCCTGCCACCCCCAGAGCACAGCGTAGGTGTCTTTCCTCGGCAAGCGGAGCACGCCCTGTCCCTGCCGCTGGTTGCCGAGCATCCTCTTGGCACTCTGCCTGCTGAGGACGGCCCTGGAAAAGCCCTCGAACCCCTGTCAGCCGTGAGCGAAAGCGCAGGTTCTGCACGCTGTCCTGTGGGCGGCCCAGTGCCGGGTGCATCTCTGCCGTCCTCGGGGATGACCGCGGCCCAGCAGGGGCATCTGCAGGTGCTCCGGCAGCACTTGCAGCTGCACACGGAAGTCCTGCGGCTGAGACAGCGGGCCCGGGAACAGCTGCTGTTGCACAGACAGAAGGAACTAGAAGGACAAACTGGCCGCTCCTTGGTCTTCCCATTGGCACCTCTGGACTCAGGTGCTTTGCTGCCTCTCGCCAGGGCCGGACCAGGGAGGGCCCAGGAACCTGCTCCAGCCGAGAGTGGTGCTGACCTCCCCTTGGGCCGCCCAGAGGCCCCGCAAGTGCAGGAGACGTGTCCTCACGCTTCACAGCCCGCCCCGTCACGGCAGGGTCACGCCACCCCTATCCCGGCGCACGGGGCTCCCCGGAGCAGCGACCTGCGGGCTGGACGGGAAGTCCAGGAGGAGGCAGGGCATGGGGTGTGGTATGGCCAGGCCCGGGTCTGGTCGTTCCCCTCTCCGCCTCCCGCCGGAATGCCCTCTGGGAGGGAGACCGGGCTCCCACAAGGCGGGCCCTCAGGCGGTGCTCTGTGGCTCCCACGGCAGCTCCTACCCGAGCGCGACGGGCTGGAGTTGCTCCAGGAACCGCTGGCTGTGCGGAGCCGGGCTCCAGGGGCTCCATGTGACCCCCAGGCAGGAGCACTTCCGTGCGGACAGGGGCGCTCAGCGGGAAGTGAGTCTGGGCCTGCGCGGTCTTCACATTTGGGGGTTTCACAGGCTTCTGCTAAAACTGAGCCCAGGCAACTTCAGAACCGCCCCTTGGAGGAGGAGGAGCGTGTCGGCCCCTCGGGGGACACGCTGACGCTGCAGGACGAGTTTCTTAGTCTTCCGCAGCAAGGAAACTTGAGAACACCCCGAGAACGGGCACACATGCAGAGGGAGGTGCTCGGTGCTAACCAGGAGCCTGGAGAATTTGCACACACGCAAAGGGACTGGGAGAGGCTGGCTCCCCGCAAGCAGACAGGCCCCGCTGCCGTGCCGTCCTGGGGAGCTGCCTCCGAAGGGCTGCCTGTGTCCGCCGAGAGCCGCAGCGCCGCCCCCCCCAGCCGTGCCGAGACCACGAGGCTTCAGGAAGGACTCGTGACTCTCTCACCCCACATGCCACCCCTGTGGGGTGATTGGCAGGAACCCCGGGAGTGGCCAGACGCAGAGGGGACAGCGGTACTTCATCTCACTGAGGACACCCAGCGAAGTGTAGCCTGTGAACCTGCTGGACAGCCTCCGGGCGCCCCTCAGGCACCACCATGGGCAGGGGGCAGCGGTGGGGCACCTGGGAGCCGAGTCCAGATCCCGCAGCTGCAGGACAGCCTGTGGCGGATAGCCCAGCTGGTGCGGCCCCGGCAGGGCAGCCTGCGGGCCCTGCAGGAGCAGCTGGCTGCCCAGCGGGAGGCCATTGTGCAGGCCAGACTCGAGGCACAGGAGGGACTGCGGTCCCGCGAAGGACTGCTGCTGGACAGAGCCACGCCCGAGGCGGGTGCAGAGCCCTTCCAGCCGCTGCGCGCGCAGTGCTCGTCCACCTCGCTGCCTCTCCCTGACCCCGCAGGCCTCCAGGGGCCGTGCTCGGCTCAGAGCGGCAGCCCAGCCTCCTCCAGTCCTCCCGGGCCACTGGGACTGCCTGACAGGCTTGTGGATTTGTCATGGTCTGTTTTTCCTCCACGGGACCATCTGGATGCGCTGCAAGGGCCCTGGGGCGCCCCAACACCCTCCCGCCCGTGCAGCCAGGGGTCCCAGAGTGAGCGGCCTTTGTCCCCACAGCATCCGTCTGAGGCACAGCTGGTCCCGCTAGACTGCGGCGATTTCAGGGCGCCTCAGCAGCATCTGGATGCACAGAAGAGCGCCCTCCGGTCCCTGCAGGAGGCCCAGGAAGATTTCCTCTTGCGAAGGCTGAGTGAGCTTGGGAAGAGGGTGCTGGCTGAGCCAGTGGGCCGCCCCCTATCCTGGAGCCTCCCCGGACCCGACTCTGAGAGCCGCCAGAAGCCCTGTCCAGCAGGCGTGGCGGGCCTTCCTGAGGCCCCCAGGGCACAGGGAGGGCTGGTGAGCCGAGCAGCGCCGGCTCTGCCTGGGCAGGCTCCCTGGACGCCACAGCCGGACTTGGAGAGGGCAGTGGAGGGTGCTGGTGGGGACGTCTGGGGAGACGCACTGGGGAGCAGGCAGAGCAGCGCTGGGGGCGGCGTGTCCCCGGAGCACCTGGCTGCCTCACTGCCCCCCACCGTGGGGAACGAGCCTGTGTTCATCCCGCTCCCCTTTGCCGAAGTGAAGTCTGGAAACACGGGCGAGTTGTCTCCGTCCAGGACTGAACGCGTAGCTCCCCGCGGCGAGCCTGTGGCCCCGGGGTTTCAAGGTGGGCTTCGGCGGTGTTCACAGGCCAGCCTCGCTCCGCGAGAAGCCTCAGGGCTGCGGCAGCAGCGGGAGCTGCAGGAGGAAGCTGTACGTCCTGGCCAGAACGCGCAGCAAGAGTCGCTGGTGCGGAGGCAGACGGCGCTGCGGCGGCTGGAGTGGCGCCAGGAGGCCCCAGGCGGCGGCTCTGCGGACAGCCAGGTGTGTCAGCGCTGCGGGGCCCGCGGCGGGGGTGGCGCGACGCGGCCTTGGTGTCCGGCCTAGTCCCGGGCTTAAATAAGTTCTGAGTTGTTGCTGAAAGCGCTCGGGCCGCGGCTTGGTCTTTCTCATGGGAACGGCGTAGAAATTGGAAACTGGAAATCAGCCCTCGGGGCTGCCGGCAAGACGAACAGTGACTTGCGCCAGCTGCTGTCACCCAGGCCGACGGGTCCAGGCGCAGACGTGGAGGGCGGCGCAGGCGGTCGCTGCAGTCTGTGGTGAAGGGTTTGCACCCCGAGGAGCATGGGCCGTCCTGCCAGGGAGCAGGCCTCGTGCTGTGTAGTACCAGGCTGGCGCCGAGGCTGGCGCCGTTTCTTCCTCGGTGGCCGTGTGACTGAGGCTTAAGGCTGGGCGGCTCGGGCTGCCAGGACTGGACCTGCTGCTGCTTGGGGGTGTCGCGAAGCCCCCACTGGGCAGGGCACATTCCCGCTTCCTGAGTGCCCACTTCCTGAGAGCGTCTCCTCCGAGCGTGAACGTGTCCGCTCTGGCGAGGCTACTTCCTCGGTGGATGGCGTGGCCTGCGTGGGGTTCTGAGACCCGCTGGCGTGCAGGAGCAGATGGAGCTGTGCTCGTGAGAAGCCGGTTCCAGGAAGCGGCCAGCCATCTGAGGGAGAAGGCGGATGCGGATGGGGCCCCCAGGGGAGGTGCCACAGCCTCTCAGGACTGCGGCGCTTCTCCCCGAGTGTGGAGGGAGCTGCTCTCTGCGGCTGCCGTGGCATTGGCATGGCTGGCGGACCCTCCGTCTGCTCGGGTTCTGCGTTCAGAGAGGCAGTGCCACGCCAGCGCGCTTCCCTGCCTCGCGGGTCACCCACCCTCTGTCCCCTCACAGGCAGGGCCGCCGGCCATGCAAGACGACCCGGAAACCCCGACGCTCAGACAGTGGCTGCCGCAGCTCTGCGACCAAGCAAGAGCCGACGGGGAGGATGCCGGTCTGGCAGCGGGGCGCGGTGCCGAGGGTAACGGCCGCTGCCCCAGCGGAGGCTCCCGGGGTCGGGGCGGGTGTCCTGTGGCTGTCCCGCTGGCTCCCCGCGGGGCTCGCCTCACTGTGCCCCTGACTCTGCAGGTGAGCGCCTGCGCAGGACAGCCCCCAAGCCGCCCGTCACCAGGGCCAGGCGCGGCGTGGACTGGGTCCAGCACGAGCTCAGCGCGATCCAGGAGGGCGCGTCGCCGGCGAGCAGCAGGACTCCCGAGCCCGGTGAGCAGCTGCCGCGGGGCAGGCCCTTCGCCCGTCTGTCTGTTCTCTGCGTTCTTCTTAGGATGCCAGATTCCTTCTTGCTGCAGAAACGGACTGGGATTGTCTCTGAGAAGGAGGCGGGTTTTCCTAACAGTGTGTAGCGGCCTGACCCGGGGTAGCCGCGGGGCCGTGTTTGGGGGCCTGGAGAAACGGCGGCATTTCTGCATCCAGCGTGAGTGTCCCAGGCACGAAGGGCGCTGGCCCCCGGACCCCCTGGCTTCTGCCCCCACGGCCCTGGCGCTGCTTCTGACTCCAAACCGGGTTCTTTGGGATTCGGCACGTCTGCCCCTGGCTTCCCTGCGTCTGCTGGGCTAATCTTCCTGCTTAAACCCTCTCCAAGGACAGGCAGGACAGGCCTGTCTCCTCCTTCCTGCGTTTAGTTATTCAGAGCAGCTTCCTCCATGAGCGTCGGCAGACAGGCCTGGTTTCATTTCGTAATCCCCGTTAGATGTGAGGCTCACCAGCTAGTTCTCCCGAACGAGTTTATCAAAGAAAACCCCTTTTACGGGGGCGTCAGCTGTGTGACTAGAAAAAGATGCACATGCGTGACGTTACTGGCTGTTCTGTCTCCAGCCAGAAGCCTGTAGTTCTGACGGGAGGGTTAGGGAGCAGGTGCCCTTACTGCGCTTGATTCCAGGCCTCAGGCTTGGAGGGATGGTCTGGTGGTTTTCTGGTTGCCTCTTGCGTCTTCGTGACGTATTTGAGTGGGATGCTAAAGGGCTAACTGGGAATCCTGCCAGTGGGGAAACTGGCTTCTGCTGGGAGCGCGGCCCAGCCTCATAGGGTCTGCAGTTCTCACTCCTGTTGAGTCTCTTCAGAGGCCCCCAGGCCCCAGGCCAGGCAGCTGTGGCAGGGCCAGCCTGGGGTGTGGGCGGGGTGCACAGACCCCATCCCCACCCCGCTCCGCCTCAATCCCCAACCTGAGGGTGAAGGCGGGGTCTCGAGGTGGGCGGGGTGGCTTCCCTGCTCCTCTTTTCAAACTCTCCCTTCCTATTCTCTGCTCCAAGACTTCCTTTTGCAGCTCCTGGGGCCTTTAATGCCCACGTTTTGTGGAGTTCTGCTCAGTTGGCTGCTGCTTTTTGGTATTTTCGTACTCGGTGTTTCTTTACTTTATTAAATTACCACCTTCAGAAAAGTGTGGAATCATGAGAATTATTTCAGCGACAGTCACTGTCGTCACCGTCCAGGCTCCTCTCCCCAACTGCTGCCGGCCCTTCCCCTGGGTGGGCTCAGGGCGGGCCTCTGTGGCCACTTCCTCCGCACAGACTCCCTGTGACGGCCCCTGAGCCGTGAGGCTCGTCCCTGCCGAAGCACGCTCTGGAAGTGGGGATTCCATTGGAACCTCAGTGATACTGCGAAGCCACTTTAAGGTCCATGTGAAAGCAAAGCCCTTACCGTTGCCTTGCTGTGTAGATGAAGCCTTTTGGGGTTTTCGGTGCCGTCCGCAATCTAAACTGCCATCTCATCAATAGCTTTGGCCAGTTCTGGAAGCCTGAGTGGAGTTGTGTCTTCCTTCCAGCCGGAGCCCACTCTCTCCAGGACAGAGACCCGCTGCGGGCCTCCGTCAGCCGGGAGCAGGCCTTCCTCGGGAGCCCCGGGGCGCTCGGGCCGCTGGGCCCTCTTGAGCCCCCTGCCCAGGCACTCCCCCGCAGCGCTGGCCCTGACGGCGCAGGTGAGTGGGACGGGGGTGGGGGGCGCCGGGCAGATCGTTGGCGCAGGTCACCCTGGCGGGAGGCCGCTCCCCACGTGGGGTGTTCTGCAGGGATGTTTTTACGAGAAGTGTGTGTGAGAAGTTTAATGACGGAAAGTTTATATTTAGTGAATAATTTCTGTTTAAAATTGTTCTACTAAGTAAATGCTGGTGGGGGTTGCCGGGCCGGGGTTTCCGTCAGCTGCTTCTGCGCATCCGTGCAGGAGCCTGTGCTCGGCCACACCCTGCAAGCCTCAGCGCATTCGAGTTCGTGGCCGCCTTCAGGCCGTGGGGAAAGCGCCTTCTGCGTGCTGCGAGGTCGGCCCTCCCCCCTCGCTAGGCAGGCCCCGCCCGCCTCTCGCCTCCTGCTGTGTTGACGTGGACAGTTGTCACCCACTTGTGGCCAGAGTTTAACAGGGTGAGGGGAGAGAGCGACTCCTTTCTGAGGGTTTACAAAAAACTGACTTGAGCGTCTCTTAATTGGAGCTCGGACCACCGCAGAGGGCCTGGCTTCCAGCTGCAGGTCTCGGTGTGCACCTGCGTTTCCGCGACGGTGCTTGTGTTTGTTTGCTCTGGCGGCCCCGACAGCGTCCTCCTGCACAGCTGCTGTGGCGGCCGGGCTGCCTGGGGATCAGGGCCTGGAGAGGACTCCTGCAAGGCCGGGGCTTTGTGAAGGCGTCGGGGGAAGCAGGGGCCACTCTCTTGGGCCCCTAACGCCCGTGGACCCCGCAGGCAAGGGTGTGGTGGAGAGGCCAGCGAGCAACAAGGCGCAGGGTCCCCCAGGACCGGTGCAGGTGCTTGGTCGTTTCTGTGCTCTGGACGGCTCCACCACGGTGCAGCCCCGGGCGCGAGGGTTCCCGCATTTGTCTTGGTCCATCACGGTCCTGGGTGGCCGTCCTGGCGTCACTGGTCCTGGGGGTTAAAGGTGACAGTTTCTCCCCATCTCCACCCCACACTCAAGGTGATTCCATCTTAGATTTGAGGGTCTGAGAGCCCCACCACCCCCCTCTTATTTGTAGCTGTGGGTGGTGTCACTGACTCCAAGCTCTGGCCTTTGCTGCCACCTCATGGGGTAGTGGGGGGCTGGGCCTGAGAGTCGGGGCCCGGGCTGGCAAGGCCCCGCTTTAGGAGCTCCCGAGGGCCCCCAGGCATCATCGAGCTGTCTTCAGGCCCGTGGCCCTCTCTGTCTTCAGATGCCTCCAGACCCGAGGGGGCTCCTCGGCATCTCTGGCCTTCTCCTTTCCTCGTTTTGCTTCTGCTGCCACACCCAGAGGCCTCCCCGCGCACCTTCTCCCCCCGGAGGGAGCACCCGAGACAGCAGTGTAGAAGTTTGACTATAAATCGTAAAACCCAGATTAACTCATTTCCCAACTAGCTTTTTCGATGGACTGCCACGGTGGGGAGGCAGTCGCTCCTCGAGATAAACTTCTACCTCGTCCGTATTTCCTTTACCACGCGCTCAGCGCGTGGCCGCGGCCTCGGAACGTCATGGTGGTCGCGGCCCCGCGTGTTGTCGGGGGAGCTGGAGTCGGGCGGAGGCCAGCCACATCAGGACCCCGTCGTGTGGGTTGTGCTTGGCGTCGGCCTCGTTCCTGCGGCGTCACCACGGCCGTCACATCCCGGACACGGGCGCCCGCGCGTCTGCAGCCGCGAGCTGGGTCACCCTGGGAGCACATTTGTCGCTTAGCCAGGGTCAGGGCGCGATCCCTGATGCGGCGAAGGCGAGCTCGTCGGGGTCTGGGCGGCGCCCCTGCGCATGGGCGGCCAGAGTGAGGGGAGAGCTGGGCGGCGAGGTGCGGGCAGTGAGGGAGGAGCAGCGTCTGTGCGCTTCCCTGTCGGGTGCAAGTGGGAACGGGGACTCGTGCCAACGGGGCAGCTCGCGCCGCGCAGGCGCACTCCCGGGCACTCTGGCCGCCAGGCCGCCGCGCTGCTGCTATCTGTCGTGCGGCCTCTCCGCTCTGCGCGCTCAGAGTGTGCCCAGCTCCCTGCCGCGCCGTCGCCGCCGGAGCTGTCCCCGCGCTCGGCTCTTCCCTGGAGGGCTGGTCACAGGCCAGCGGCGGCAGCAGTGCTGGAGGGAGAGCCCGCGTGTCCTGAGCAGGAGGTTTTTAATAAATAATAAAGAGGATGTTTTGGTGGTTTGCATTGTTGTGTTTTCTGAGGCAGCCCCTGGGAAGCAAAATATGAGAGTTGTGGGGAAGTGGGAAATGATGCCCTCTGGTGCTAAGAATTTAATTTTTTTTAAGATTTGTTTATTTATGCAGACAAGAGCTGGGGTACAGGCCAGAGATGCGGGGGGGTGAGAGGAGTCACCAGAGACAGAGCGGGGAACAGAACAGGCAGACTGATGAAATCCACTGCTGAGGGGAGCCGCGGGGAGACAGGAGAGGTCTGCCTCACCATGTGGGTTTCTTCCCTGCCGGCCGGGCATAGAATTCATGCTGCAGAGGCTGCGAATTGCTTCATAGTGCTGTGCTTAGCCCCTTGTGCCACCAGGGAAGTGGTGAATTTAATTTCTTAAAATTTAAGAATTTAATTTAATTTCAAGAATTTAATTTCTTAAAATCCACATTTCTTTTCCCTTTTTCCATTTTGAACTACAAACTCCATTTCCAGTCAAGGTCGCAGAGCCCGTTGAGAGCCACGCGGTGTTGAGTTACGCCGTGGACAGAGAAGAACAGGCCTCCCTGGGCCCAGCTCTGAAGCCAGATGACGAGGTTGGTGATGTCCTCCTGCTTCTGACGTCTCCGTCGCGGTTGGGCGTCCCTCTGCGGCTGATGGGATTGTGGGGTGTGCGGGTCTGCCCTCTGAGGTCCGCTCCTGCAGTGGATCAATGATGAAAATAGCCAAATCTGAGCGTCGGCGGCTCAGCCCGCTGCCGCATGATCTCTCTGGTTCTGAGAAGCAGAAGCACAACGTAACTGACAATGCTGGTGTGAGTGCAAGAGTGCATACGTGTGGAGTGTGTGTGTGTGCGTGTGTGTGAGTGCACGCGTGTGTGAGTGCACATGTGTGATGGTGTGGGGGTAACTGAGGAGCTGCTGGGGCCAGGCATGTGGCCGGCCCTTCCGAGCGGTGATGAGGAGGCTCTGCTGACTTTGACCTGTGAGGCGCCTACACTTGATCTGAGCTCGGAGCTGTTGGTGGCTGCTGGGGGGTGGAGTGGTCTGTCCACACACGCTGCCTCCTGCCTGTGTCTCACGCTCCCCTTCATTTTTTAGGCTGAAACACAAGAGACTGGTTATGAGCCCTTCTCTTCAATAACTGTTTCTACTGGGAGTTTTTTAAGTTACGAAAATGCAGATGTGAGCCTCATAGACCCAGGTAATGCCATCATGTTTGCATATAGATTGAGGGGCGCTCCGGCTGGGGCGCCGGGGGTGCACAGTGGGGCCCATTCTCTGTGCCTCCCAGCGCCCGGCTTGAGGGAGCATCACAGGCAGGGCTGGTTCAGCTCACGTAAGGCAGGGCCTCAGGCAGGGCGTGCGGAAGCCTGGGAGCATGTGCCCAGGCACGTGTCCTGGCTGCTCTGATCTCTCACCAGTGCCTATTTGCCGCCCCTCTACCAGCGTTTACCTCTGCGGAAGGATGCGGCCATTCAGCATTTCCCTTACGCCCAAGCTGCAGCCATTTATAGAGTGGCCCACAGGGGAACGGAGTCTACCCCAGTGGAGAGTCGGGCGCCGCTGCCATTCTCGGCTCCAGCTTGAGAGTCCCTGGCTGCGGGCAGGCCTCACCCCACGCCCACAGCTCGTTGCCTGCCGGGCAGAGCCAGTGGCTCAGGCCCTGGTTGTGGCTGCTGCAGTGGCGACAGCAGGACAGCCCGGGGTACTCAGACTCACCGGAGCCGTGGCGGACGCGGGTCTCCGCTGGGTGGTCCTTGCGAGTGTTACCAGCAGCAGCGCAGACTGACCTGGCTTCAGGCCTCCTGCCCAAGGCCTGCTGCGAGCACACCCAGGACGCCCTCTCCACCACGAAGGGACGCCAGAGGCCGGTGTGGTCACGGGCGGCAGCTCCAGTCCCGGCCTGGCCCCGGGGCATGCAGGGGCGCCAGCAGTGACTGACTCCTGGGGTTATGCCACTTTGCGTTTGTCAAAGGTTTTGGTCAATGAAAGTGCTTTTTGGTTTTTTGTACATAAATACTAATAGGACTTAATTTGAAAATACATGAGCATGAAACTGAAATTGGACGGGAGTTACTTAAAAACAAGCTTTTGTGAATGTGTTCTTAGTGTTACTTTTCTGGACTTCAGGTAGTTTTCTTAGGCTTTAAAAATAAATTGGTGTCTTTTTCTCCTCAAATTGCACCAGCCGACCTTGGCTTCCCAGAACTGGAACACACTTTCCCAGCTCTGCATCAGCTGTTCAGGCCCTTAGAACCGCACCCAGATTTTGATTTCTTGTCATTTTCTGGGATTTCTCAAGACAGCAGAGACTCTCACCAGGTATGTGAAAGGATATGTTCCCTCGCGGGGTTCCCCAGCAATGTCTCGTGTTCTGTTGGAACAGAGTGAGGTTCGTGGCCCTGGCTGCCAAGTAGGGCTCTCTGGGAAGGTTTTTAAAAACACCAGTGCAGACTGCACCCCAGCTAGCATCCTTCGGGGTGATAAGCTGCGGGGTTTTCTGGCCCCCCAATTAGAGTCAAGCTTGGAAACGGCCACATGAGCACGTTGGTGGTGCGTGTGGCCCATCGAAGGCCTGAGAATAATTTTTTTTACTGTATGGTATTCAGCTCTGCCAGTGCGTTGGGGGTGCAGCCTTATGTGCAGTCTCTCCCTCTGCAGTAAAGGAACAGAGATCCAGCCTGGGCCTGCCTCCGTGCCTCACCTCCCCTCCCCCAGCTGCTGCGGACGGTCCTGCCAGTCAGAAACCGTCTCCGCCTACACTAAACTGGTTAATTTTTTTTTTTTTTTAAGATTTGTTTATGCACACAAGAGCTGGGGTGCAGGCCAGATGTGTGAGAGGGGTGAGAGGACTCACCAGAGACAGTGGGGAGCGGAACAGGCAGACTGACGAAATCCACTGCTGAGGGGAGCAGCGGGCGAGCCAGGAGAGGTCTGCCGCCCCCTGTGGGTTGCTCCCTGGCCGGTCGGGATCAAACTCGTCCTGCAGAGGCTGCGGATTGCCTCATAGTGTGGTGCTTAACCCCTTGGGCCACCAGGAAGGCCCCTGATTAATTAATAATGTGTTTTCTAAGCAGTCTTTTCAAAGAAGCCTCCTTCGTATTGGCCAAAACGAAAGAAGTGGCTAAGTGAGCGAATTACTGTGATGGTAAATGTGGTAGCCGAAAGCAAGTAGTGTCAGGGATTACTGCTGCAGCCGGGAATGCCTCAGCCCTGTTTCCTTTTCTAGAGATCAGATTCCTCGTGGGGGAGCTGCTCGGCAGCGCTGTCACCCGTGCCCACGGATCCGGACAGCCCGCGGTTCCGTCTCCACCCTGCAGCGCAGGCCTCTGCGACGGAGAGCCCCCTTCAGGGTGCGTATGGCCGAGCATGCCCGGTCACGGTGCTGCATGTCCACCTCCCTGTGAGTTCACGGGCGTGACTCGAGCGTGCCTGCCAGTGTCAATGGGCCTTGCCCTCTGCTGCGCACGTAATTGGCGGTACACCCCGGGCGAGCGTGGCGCCAACTGCAAAGCAGGAGCACTGCCTCTCGCCTCTCAGCTGGCCTGCTCAGCCCCGTGCGCACGCACACACAGGTGGTGGGCGTGCTCGTGTGCACGCACACACATATGTGCATGTGGCCAGGCGCGCTTTAGCCTGTGCCCCTCTGTTGTTACACTAGGGCGAGTCCTTAGGTCAGTGGCCACGTTTTCCTTATTAAGCACCAGAGGGAGTGTGGGGTGCGCGCACCAGGCTTCACATGACGTCGACCTGTTTGATCTCCGCTCGTTTTCTGTTTACATTCATCAGCTTTCACTCCCAGACTTACAGAAAGTAACCTGTTTTGTTTGCAATTTACTCAGAAACTATTAACTGTATGTGTATCCACGTTGTACAACTCAAAAATGACTTACAACAAAAATCCACTCTTAAACCTCCTAATACAGAACCTGAACAGTCATTTCACCAGCTTCCGCCAGAGGCCTCTCCCCGGGAGGGAAGCCAGTGTGCTGATCTGCCAAGTGTTGTCAGCATTGAACCAGGAGATTCCTCCCGAGGCCTGGAAAACCAGGACTGCGCCTTCGAACAAGCTGACATTCTACGAGACAAAGAAGGAAGTGTTCATTTCCAGCTCCCTGTAGGAAGCTGGCTAAGCTCGGCCTTCGGCTCCTTGGAGGCGGCGGGTGTGTGTCAGCTGTACCTGCAGCCCAGCGCCCCACGGGGCTCTTCCTCCAGCCAGTGCTCAGCGAGTGGCCCAGGAGGCAGCCAGCAGGGACGGAGGTCTCAGGAACTGTCAGAAAGCGGCGCTGAGGCAATGCCGGGAAGCCAGGAGCTCCCTGGAGGCCGTCAGAGTGACAGTGGCGGGGGATTAGACATACAAGCACAGGAAGAGGAGACCGACCTGGGGTTATGTGTAAGGACCGTGGGGTTGGGGGGTTTGGCTCAGACCCCAAATTCACTGATGACTCAGAATGAAAAATACTCCAAGTTTTCAGCTGAAACAGAAACCTCCCAAACTCTGAGAAACCCAACTCAGCTAACGCGGTCAGAATTCGCTGCAAGTTCTGGATCGTTCCCGTCACAGAACTGTAGCGCAGTCTGGGTAAGTGAAATCTGGGTTGTGTAGATCATTTAAATTCACTCTTAGACTATCTTTGAAACAAAACGCAATGGAAGCAACTAAAGCTGCCCATTAACTTCCCTAGCCCCGACCATGGTCTGTCACTGACAGTCTCCCCTGACTGACCAGCACTCCAGGTTTTGAAAGCTGAGGGGTGGAATTTGCTAAAGAGCGTTCGGCCCAAACCCCACACCCTCCTCAGGTCTTTGCCCGCAGGCGTGGGGCTGGGCCTGCTTTGTCCTGTCTAAAGCTGCGAGACAGGGAACCGGGTGTGTCTGGGCCACAGATGTTTATTTGGCTGCTTTTGGCTTTTTAATTCCTGATCAGTGTTTAAAGAAATTGCCCTTGAAAAGTGTATGTTCTTCAGCGGCGGCCTCTGGGCGGCTGCTCCCTGGCCCTGCGCAGTCCTGAGACCAGCTGGCCTGAGCCTCTGGGCCCGTGCCTGGACCAGAGGGTCCCCCACCCCTAAGGTCCTCTCCAGCTCCTGTGAAAGGGGCCGGGAGGGGCGCCACCTTGGTCTACAGCAACCACTGTCTGCACGTTTTCAGGCTAGTTTGGACACGGCCTCCTCCGTTTTCCTGCACAGGACGCGGAGCCCAGCCGCGGTATAATGGAGGAGCCCGAGCTCACGTTAGTGAGCACCAGTGACATCAGTATTACGGAAATGGATTTTTCAAACTTAACCCTAGAAGAGAGAGGAAATGAGGCAAGATGCTCTCAGGTAAGTTCCCGGCTCATTCCCACACCTCACACTGCGACCCGCGGCCAAGGAGTAGGGAAAACACGGACTCCTCCGTGTAGACGCAGATGCAGTGGACACCTGCAGGGGGCTCTGCACACAGGCTGGCAGCGAGGAGGGCTACCCGGAGCGCAGCTTCCACCCCCAACAGCCCGGGGCCTCATGAGCGCGCGCCGTCCCGCCCCTGAGCAGCAGCAGTGGAGGTCGCCTCCCAAACACTGCAGCTCAGACGGGCTCTGCAGACACGGCCAGCGTGGCCCGAGCTAGAGCCTCCCTTATTGAGGACTTTGCAAGCGCGGTCGCTGACTGAACAAACCGCAGTGGGGAGGGTGCAAGCGCGCGAGTGGCCACCGGCAGACTGGCTTGTTGTGCCCCAGCGCCCTGGAGTCCACACCCTCGTCTCCCAGAGCGCAAGAGCCGTGCGGGTGGCACTAGGGGCCTCTTCAGGGCGCAGTTGTGATCGCCGCAGCTGCCGCTCACGGGGCCAAGAAAGCAAAGGTTTTGTTAAAACCAGGCGGAGGACGGGGCAGCTGCCCGGCTACAGGGGCGCTTTCCCTGCCAATAAACTCGTGCTTCATGGACACGCGTCTAGGTTCACCTGTGACTCTCTCACAATTAGGTGAGTGAATTTCTGCCTCTCGTATCAGAAACGGAAGCCTCACACCACCCCCCTGTGTCGGAGCCTCCTTTGGGGAAGCCAGCGGCGTTGGCAGGTGCGCCAGGGACCCGGCCCAGCTCCCAGGCCGCAGGGGGCGCAGGGGGCCACCGTTCAGGGAGGTGACGCTGTCCCGCCTCTTCCCAACAGAGACCCCGCCAGCCTTCATGGCTGCGCCAGGGAGCTTACAAGAGGCATTTGTGAAGAGGAAGAAAAAATTTATAGAGCGGTCCTTGCAGAGGCAAGAAGAAATAAGAAAGAAAGTTCGGGTCTCAGGAAATTCTCAGAGCAGCACCACTGCAGGTCTGTTCTCCCAGCCAGTCTCCTCGTCCAGCGCACCCCTCCCCCCAGCCGGCCTCCTCACTGCTGTTCTCTGCGCAGGCCCTCTGCGCGCAAGCAAAGGCAGAGCTGCACTCGGCGAGGAGTGGAGGAGCGCAGCATCCGCCGAGCCCCGGACGGCGCTCCGGTACGTGGGGGGCACTGGTCACTGCGCCTGGGGGGCCCTTCGCCCTCCTCAGGTCACACCCGACATCTTTTATTTATAGATACAGCCAGTTAGCCGAGGTCAAACAGCAGAGGGAAGAAAAAGCAAAGCAGGAAGCTCATGCCCATAACAGAGCAAGGGCAAGAGAGTTTCACAAGGTAAAACGCAGCCCAGCCCCGTTCTCGCGTGCGAGGCAAACTGCAGCTGGAGCTGACGCTACTTATTCCCTCCACAGAAAACACTAGAGAGACTGCGAGCCAAAAATGCACACCGACTTCCCTGCAAAGTCTAGCGGCTTCTTTATTATGTGTAACAGGCAAAACCAATCAATAAATTTGTGCAGAATTTCACTTTGGTTACTCCCATCATTTAGTTCCTCCAGTTCCGATCATCCTCTTCAAAGTATCTCTGAAGGACAGAGGCGCTGGTTACGCGTGGGAGACAGCCCCGCGGCCCCAAGACCATGTCTCTCCTCGGGGAGGCACGGCACTAGTGAGTGCGCGCTGCATCCCGTGGAGAGGGTCAATTTTCGGTCACAGCGTCAAGAGCTCCTGGTTTGAGTCCCAAAAGCCCTCTTTGAAATGACCCGCATGAAGTCACCTTTTCCACACTCTTACGTACCTCTCACGAGAGCACACCTGCACGCGTCAGCCCTGCAACAGGAATATCAGAGGTCACGAGCTGTTGCGATGGCGCCGCGGTAACCTGGAACCGCATCCGCCAGGGCTTACCCCACGGTGAAAATCGGCCTGGTCTTAACAGAATGTCCCCTGTAGGCGGAATGCTAACCGAATAGCAAGAACCAAACCTACTGGGATTTTTTTTTAAGGTCATGTCCACAGCAAATAAGAAACTGCATTCTAAAAGCCTTGGTAATGACCCTCACGTCCCCTGGCGCTAGAAGGAAAGTGACTTTACTTGCCTTGACAGTTGCTTTTGTTGGGCTCCCGCTGTCCTGCTGAAGAGACCAGGCCCCTGAGGGCCCTCCAGATAGCCACCGCGCAGAAGACAGCCCGGTTCAGACGCAGCGCGAGACCCAGGCAGTTCGCTGCAATAAGCATTGCTCAATCTAGGTCAACAAAACATCCTAAAATTAAGGCTAAGGGAAACATTTCCGTTTACATGCGACTTCACGGGCTATGCGAATGCAGAAGCAGCTGCTGCTATCGGGAACCAGCGCGTCTCGGTGACAGTGCCCCGAGCGACTGTGAAATACCGCCAGCCCGCAAGGCAGACGTTCAGAAAGGCCGTTTCACTCAGCCTGCTCGGAGCAGTTGAACACATGCCCATCATCATCACATCGCGCATGGCTGCTGGCAGCCCCCGGGGCCGCGAGGACGGGGCTTTCCCAGGGGTTGTTTGGGATGTATGGTGGTAACATCTTACCTCCAGTCCCTGGGATCCAATCCCCTCAAGCAGTGGGAGTTACGGTCCTAGGAATTGCAGGAAAGTCAGTCAGCGCCTCTTCTCTACACTCAACACTGACCCCCCCCCCCCCGTTTGCAGACGATAGCAAAAATGTCACAGGTCTCATTGTCACCACTGCAATCAGCTTACTGTGATGGAAGCATAACCTGATCTCCATGTGGCCACATCAACGACTCCTGGACACCATGAGCAAGGGTGCCCCTTCTCATCTCGAATGGGGCCTGCAGACATGCCATGCCCCGCCCTGCCCCGCCCCACCGCTGGCTGACCATGACAATGAAGGAAAGCAGCTAGGAGGGAAATGAAGAGCCTTACTCTTTCAGGTCAGCAGAGGCATCTGCCTGCCTCTCAGCTTCAGAAGTCCTAGAAAATAGGCAGCATTAGTTCCTATTGCATCTTCTACCCAACTTGTCAGTATGAGCAACTATCAGAAATGATGTATCAATAGAAATACCAGGTTTTACATGCACAAAGCCAAGAAAACCAACGATGCCAGATACTGACTTGCTATTGCACTGGCCTTTGAACCCCCAGCAGGAAGGCGCTGCTGAGTGCAGATACCAAGCAGTGCAGCTGTGATCCTGGGGGCGTGTGACCTTGACTCCTGCCCAGGGAGGCAACCACATTAACTACATCTTAAACAGCAAGCGGCCTCCTCTTCATCTCAACGCTGTCTTCATCTAACCAAGGCAGATTACTGAAACATGCACCACAACCACCATGATCATGGCTGGTCAAACTGCTCTTAGGGACGGTTCTTTTAAAAACACAACATCCCTTTGCAGTCAACACACTTGAGTATGTTACTAGGAACAAGCCATACAGAAGAATAAGGACACAAAAAGGGGGACTTTCCCTGAGTAAGCCCGAGCAGCCACTGCATTTCTTCCAGTTCTGCATTAATGTAACTGCTCACAATTTCATTTTTCATAACCTTTGAATGTAATACATCGCATCAATTAAATATTCCACTTACCTCAAAGCACTCATGAGGAACCCAAGTCACTCCTATGGATAAAATACCAAATAAAGGATTAAGGATGGTAACAGTAACTAGTAACTAAAAGATGCTTTTAGCTCTATCAGAATGACGCTTTAGTTCATGTCTGTGTCACCCAGCAGTTGAACAGGTACATTCATCATCTGGTTCGTCACACAGCCCAGCAATGCCCCCAGGCAGCTCAACATACCCGACTGGCACAGCCTGCGGCAGCAGCGCTCCCCAGGATGGCTAATACCTAAGGGAGAAAAAGCCAACTGTTAGATCTTACAGGTTTTTAAAAATCAACTGTCTTGTAGTTCTTCCCCACAGATCTGACAAATAGCCCTGTGAGCAAAGCAACCACATGTTACTCTATGAGGCGTTTCCAACGATACAGGCCTACAGCAAAGCCCCATCGGGATAGACCTCAACCAAGGCCACGGCTTATGTCTTGAGTCCCTCTTCCATTTTATTACATTTTCTTTTTTTTTTTTTTTAAGATTTATTTATTTATACAAGCACTGGGTACAGTCAGAAGCCGGGAGGGTGAAAGAATTCACCAGAGCCAGAGCGGGGAGCAGAACAGCTGACAAAATACACTGCTGAGGGGAGCAGTGGGTGTGGCAGGAGAGGTCTGCGCGCCATGTGGGACCCTCACCAGCGGCCGGGGATTGAATGGGGACTGAACAGGCGCTGCAGAGGCTGCGGGCAGCTTCACAGCCCAGCACTCAACTGCTGCACCACTGGGGAGGCCCTTATTACATTTTCTTAATTTAGATCGTGTTTTATGTGTAAGTCATGCTGTTTGTCCAAGGTGGCAATATTCAAACTATTTCCACACCCAGTTCAACTGGTACAGTGTAAACATTCAAATGGGTGGATCTAGATTCATTTTCTGAAGTCAATCTTACAAGTTCTTCCAGTAATGAAATGTCTTTCAGTCTGTAGGATTTAGTCATCTGACAATTTACTCTACTTAGAGTTGGTCCAAAAACTCACCAGAAGACATCTTTAGGTTAGTCCAGATACTTCTCAAGATCTAAACCTAAAAAACAGAAGCAGTCCTTGTTCCACACGTTGGTATCGAAAAGAGAATGCAAAATTCCCTACATTCTTTTTAAATGATCCCTTCTAGCCTTGGAAGTAACCTTTATTTTTGATCTATTTTAGGTATCATGTTCCTTCTTACATGTATCAAAACTCATACTGAACAATGAGTTCTGGGTTGCAAAAGAGGATTTATTCTTTGCACCTGTCTCAAAGTCTTTGTCCACACATCAAACAAACAAACACAAGTGCTAGGCTAGAATGCAACGTCCTATGTGACAATTGGCAGTGGTAGTCGAAGTCCAGTTTTTTATGATGAGAAAAAAATGTGCCTCCTCCCCATTATTGATGTTTTCCCAAGATTACAATTTCTGAACTTTTTGACTCATTGCTCAAGTCACACCTTTAAACTTTGTCAAGGATAACGAAACATGATTTCTTTCAAAATCTCAAATTTTCAACACATTTAATAAGCACTTTAATTGCCTCTCTTATCTCCTTAGATTAAAACTTCAAGAATTATCACTAAGCTGGTGCGTGTACCCGCATCATGTTTCCTTCCTGCGTGGAGAGCTGCCTTCTCTACTGATCACTGCTCTCTGTCTGCGTTTCCGTGTTAGACACAGCTGCTGCCTCAGCGCACTCCTCTTGTTCTTCTACATATACCTCCATCTTCTTTGGCAATGCAGAGCTTATTATGAAATAATCCTCCTCCTGCATAGAAAACCAACATTGGCATTAAAAATCATTCATTTACTTATTACAGAATCTGAGCGCTAGTGTTGAAATAACCTAGATTTGTCTGTTGAAAATTTCCTCACTTCTCATCACCTACCCAAAATAGTCCATTTTTATTCCAGTATCAACTGCACCAAATGCATTGAGCCTTAATAAAATTGAATCTAGAGTAATTACTGCTTGAAAAATAATCAGTACCAATGCTGCCCTCCCTCCTAAAATGAGATGGGATAAAAAGGTCACTTACCACCAATTCAATGTCACATTCATCATCATCTTCAACAGTTGTTTCATCTTCATCTTCTGCTCTGTAACATTAAAATTAGTCCAATGTCAAATTGTCCATGACCCAGTTAGTCACACCTGCAACACCCAGTACTCCCCTGGGCCTGGCTTACGCTGACTCAATAGGAGAAATAGGCCCGTCGTCGTCCAAATATTTGTATCTTCGACTATCAAGATCATCTTTTTCTAAATCTTCATCAACGTTCATTTGCTTCAAGGATTCCTTGAGGTGGTGTTCATACTTTAGTTTTTCAAGGTAGTTGAAAAATCCTCTTGCCACAGCTTGCTATGGACATCAAACACATGTGAAGTCATGACATTGCAAAATAATTTTTCACTGTGACTCAGATGCCTCTTCCAAAATGGCCAAATCTTGATGTCACTGGTCTGCACATGCGCAATGTATCAATGTGCCAACTAATGGTCATAAGGAGATTTCACTGTCCTATCTAGCAAGTCATCAAACCGAGTTAGGGTGATGCCAAGAAAAAATTGAAGCCCAGGGCCTCCCCTGGTGGCGCAGTGGTTTAACGCGGGGCTGCCCGCAGCCTCTGCAGCACCAGTTTGATCCCCGGCCACCGGCGAGGGTCCCACGTGGTATGACAGACCTCTCCTGCCACCTGCTGCTCCCCTCAGCAGTGAATTTCGTCCATCTGCCTGTTTTGTTCCCCTTCTGACTCTGGTGAATTCTCTCACCCTCCCACGCTTCTGACTGTACCCAGTGCTTGTATAAATAAAAAAATATTTTTTTTTTTTTTTAAAAAATTGAAGCCCAAATCTTACGCTAAAGTCATTTAAATCTCGGAAGTGACAGAATTCCATGGAATCAAAGTATCAATAACAAACACTTGAGTCTCCTACTAATTTCTGTAAAAGGAAACCTGAAGTCACTGGGCACCAACAGCAGGCGGGGCCTGGCTTGGATCACTGCACACCCCGGCAGTTGTGTGGGCACGGGGATGTTACTAGACCGGCCAGGCCGTGAGCAGGAAGCGCGTGCACAGCCAGGGAGCGCGCCCGCTGCAGGCCACCGAGCCAGCCACGCGAGGGCTGCACTCCTCAGCCCGGAAGTCTGAGCTCAGGGTCCTTGACAGGAACTCGAATTTTAATAGTGGCCAATAAATCTGAAGACATTTAGCAATGTGTGCAGCCCCATAGAGAAAATAATTACCTCAAAGGTTAAGATTTTCTCCAGGGCAGCGGCTTCCTTCCATTCTCTGACTCCAGGAACGGGAACCCGGAGCCTTTGTCTTTGATCTGCTGCCTCTTGATCCGCGAGCCTCTGCTCCTGCTGCCTTTGGGCCTCCCCGGGGTCTTCCTGTGGGCTTGTATTTCCTCTTTCTACGTTTTTTCCTATTTTTAAATCTTTCAAAAATTGCTTTTAATGTCAACGGTCTCGGCTCGAAAGAGTCGTCACTGGATGAGTCTCTCGCTCGCGCCTTCTCAGGCGGACGAAGCCCCCTCCCCGCGGGCTTCCTCTGCGGCCGCTCCGGCGAGCGCGGGGCGCGCGGGGCCCCCCACAGGCCGCTGCCCGACGAGCTCTCCCTGGAAAACAGGACAATCCCCGCTGCGCCCGCGTCCGCCCGGGGGTCCCCCCGCGGCCGTGCTCGCGTCCAGCCGGCGCCCGGAGCGGCCCCTCCGCCCGCACGAGCGGCGCCCCCGCCCCGCCCCGCCCCGCCCCCCGCGCCCCAGGGCCCCCGCGCCCCAGGGCCCCCCGCGCCCCAGGGCCCGCGCCGCGCACCCGCCGCTGTCCGCGCCGCCGCCGGGGGGCGCCGGGGCCGGGGCGCCGGGGCCGTCCCGGGGGCCGCCCTCCCTGCCCCGGCGGGCGGAGGCTCCGCGGGCCCAGCCGCGCCCGGCCCCCCGCGCCCCGGCCCCCCGCGCCCCGTGTCCGCAGCAGCGAGGCCAGCGCGCAGAAAGGACGCGCCCGCCGCGCGGCGCCGCTAAGAGTGGGCCCCGGTCTCGCGATAACAGGAGGTCCCGGAAGGGCGGGGCTGCGCGGGGCGGGGCTGCGCGGGGCGGGGCTGCGCGGGGACGGGGCTCCGCGGGGCGGGGCTGCGCGGGGGCGGGGCTGCGCGGGGCGGGGCTGCGCGGGGCGGGGCGGGGCTGCGGGGGGCGGGGCTTCGCGGGGTGGGGCGGGCTGCGCGGGGACGGGGCTGCGCGGGGTGGGGCGGGGCTGCGCGGGGCGGGGCGGGGCTGCGCGGGTGGGACGGGGCTGCGCGGGGCGGGGCGGGGCTGCGCGGGGACGGGGCTGCGCGGGGCGGGGCGGGGCTGCGCGGGGGCGGGGCTGCGCGGGGCGGGGCGGGGCTGCGCGGGGGCGGGCGAGCCGGCCGAGGGACGCTGGCGGGGTTCGGGGCCCGCGTCGCGGGTGAGTGGAGGTCGGAGGCGCGAACCAGCCGGGCCCGGCCGTCCCCCGCGCTCCTGGGCCTGCGGGGCGCGCCGGGACTCCGGGGGGCGGCTGGGGCGGGGAGGGAAAGGGGTGTCCGGGGTGCGCGGCTGGAGGCGGTCGCGGCGAGGGGGCCGGGGGCGCGGCTGGGGCGGGTCGGGGTCCGGGGCGCGGCCGGGGGCGCGGCGGGCACCCCTGAAGGCCCAGCGGGGGCCGCGGGGCCGCTGGGCGAGCGCCGGGCCTGGCGGACCGCCCCCGCCCGTCGGGGCCGAGTGGACGCGCCCGCAGTGGAGGGACTGGCCGCCCGCCGCCGCCTGCAGGGCCCGGGGCGCGGGAGAGAACGGCCCCCAACGGGCCCGCCCCGCCCCAGAGAGCCGCCCGCAGACCGGCCTCCACGTGGTCCGCCGCCCCCCACACACCACACACACCACACACCACACATACACTCACAGCACACACCACAGCACACACACCAACCACACACCACCACACTCACCACACACACCACACACACCACACTCACCACACACACCACACTCACCACACTCACCACACTCACCACACTCACCACACTCACCACACACACCACACACACCACACTCACCACACACACCACACTCACCACACACACCACACTCACCACACTCACCACACACACCACACTCACCACACACACCACACTCACCACACACACCACACTCACCACACACACACACACATCACCACACACACCACACTCACCACACTCACCACACACACCACACTCACCACACACACCACACTCACCACACTCACCACACACTCATCACACACATTACACACCGCACACACCACACACACACACCGCAGACACGCGTGCAGCCGCTGCCCTGCAGGCGGCGCAGCTGTGGAGAAGGGCTTCAGGTCTGTTTTAATGAGGAAGGAAACGCAGACCCTCTGTCGGGGAGCCGGCCTTGGCTCGGGCGAGGATTCTCGTCACCCCGCCCTGCAGAAGCGTCCAGGGCCTCGCACAGCAGATGCCATGTTCTCAGTCGGTGCCCGCCGGATTCTGAGAGACTTGGGTAGCGCCGGCATGTGGGAAGCTGGGTCTCCCGTCCACCTGCAGCTGGCTCAGAAGTCAGCGTGCAAGGGCCTCCCTGGCTCCCGCGGGGGGTCCCCTTCAAAAGCCTGTGTGAGATGGTCCCCCCCCGCCCCCGCCCCGGCCAGAGTGTGCCCCTTCACTCGCTGCGGAGCGGGCGCAGCGGGGGAGCCTCAGGTGAACAGGGTGTTCCATTAACAGCCTCCACGAGGACGCTGCGTGCCCTGCGCCTGCTGGTCCAGGGCTCGCTGCACCCCCGCGCTCGGCCGGGGAGGGGACCTCCCACCTCGTGCCACCTTCATTTGGCGCCTTCGTTTGGGCTTTCATTTTATCCCCTCTCCCTGCCTGCGTGCTCACCCCCGCCCTGGCGGTAAGAGACGGCCCGCGCCCGCTCCTGCTCTGTGCCCGCGTGTCCTGGCACAGTCGCCAGTTATTCTGCTTAGGGCCTCAAAATAAGGAAACGTTAAAGCTGTTTACCAAGCCAGGCACAAAATACACATCGTCTTTACCAGGGTTTTAAAATAAAAGTACTGCCCCCCCCACCCATCCCCCCACGGTGGCGCAGCGCTTGAGCACCGCGCTGTGGAGCTGCCCGCAGCCTCTGCAGCGCTGCTTAGATCCCCCCCTGCCAGGGAGAACCCCACAGGGCGCACAGACCTCTCCTGCCGCGCCCGCGGCTCCCCGGCTCCCCTCAGCACTGTCTTCCCTCCGTCTGCCTGCTCTGCTCCCCGCTCTGGCTCTGGTGAATCCTCTCACCCTCCCGCGCTTCTGACCTGTGCCCCAGTTCTTGTATAAAAGAAATCAATCTTTAAAAAAAATGAAAGCTCTGAGGTGAAGGTCACAAGCTGCTCAGCTGTGTCTGTTGCTGCCAGGACTCGTTTTCTTTGGCAAACGTGATGATCTAAGAAGCGTGTGTAATACGTGGCCTCGCTGTCAAGCGCAGGACGACACAATCTGCGGTCGGGGACCTGCCTGTGCTGCTCTGCACCCCCACATCCTGCTGATTCACAGACCTTTAGAGCTAACCAGGCTTTTCCGCTTTTCCACCAGCCGTCAGACCGCCCTGTCCAGATATACCGGAGCGATTGCCCTCTGGCCGGCCTCTCCCCTGGCCTGCCGCGGGCACACAGCAGGGGAGCGGGGGGCGTGTTCACCTGGACTAGTAAACACCGAGGCCGCCCTTTGCCCCGCAGGAGTGAGCTCGAAGGCCCGTGCCTGCGCCCCGAGACCGTGCGAGCAGCCTGCAGCGTCTTCCCTGCGCCCCTCGCCGCCGGGGACCATGGCCTGCCCCGAGTTCGCCTTCCACGTGCCAAGCCTGCAGGAGCTCGCCCGAGGTGAGCTGAGCCGCTACCTGGGCAGGGGTTTCATTGTTCTAGGGAGAGAACTAAAGCCGAAAAGTAAACAAGACCGTGGGATCGTCTTTCAAGACGGAACTCGCTTCCCTTCTCGCTGTCTGGGCCGCTTCCATCAGGCCCCGGGTCTGCCCCCCAACAATCTAAAGTATTTGAGGATTTTCCGCAAGATTCCACCTCTGCAGCCTGACAGCCAAGAGAGGGCGATACCTCAGCGCGCCTGACGCCCCAGGCGCCGCCCGGTTTTGCATCGTTGGCTTCTCTGGCAGGTGCTCCTTCCCTCAGCCCCCTGGTTCCCAAGATACCCCCCCCCCCGCCCCCGCCGCCCAGCGGCCGCCTCAGCCTTCTCAGTCTGTGGTTTGTATTTCACTTCATCCCAGCGAGACTTTCCAGAAGCCTCCCACGGTAAAGGCGGAGGGACACGGATGACAAAACCCTCAGCAGGGACGGAGAATGAAGCTGCAAGTAAAACTCAAAGCTCCTGTCAGGAAACTGACCCTCGCCGGGCAGCCTTGGGCTCTGCTCTGAGGGACCCCCCTTTCTCTCAATGCCTCTGTCCCGGCTGGTCCTCTGACCCGAGGAGTTCGCGGCCCTGAGTTTCGCGTCCCGTCTTCCCTGAGCCGGGCCGTGCGGTGGACAGTCCATGGCGAGCGGGCCCGTCCTCCGGGGCCTCTCCGTGACCCCGCTCCATGCTGCACCCGCTCCTGCCCTTCCTGCATGCGCACCCCTGCGTCTGCCCGGCAGGAGGGCCGCCCCCGCCAGCTTGTTTGCGCTTTACGGAAGGTCTTAGGAGAACTTGGTCCCTCGTCGCTGGTTAAAAATCCAATTTCTCTACATTTCCGCGAAGTGAAGCTCACCCTGTTTATAAATCTGCCGGTGTCTGTCCGGAGGCCGTGTCCGGCGGGCCGGCCTGGCCCCGTGTGGCGGGGGTGGGGCTGCGGCCGGATGGAGCCCAGCTCTCACTCACCTGGCCTGGGGCCCCGGGCGCACTCTGCTCGCGAGCCTGCTCCCCCGAGACCGTTTGTTCCTCGCTTTCTCGCGCCGTGTCCCGAACAGCAGGCCCATGGCGGGCACAGGCCACCGGCCGCCCCGCGCTGCCCCCCACTCACCGCCCTCCCGCCTGCCGCCCGCGCCGGGCCGCCCTGGCTCCTGTCTCCGGAGAGACCTGTCTGTGAAGGAGCGTCTGTCGGCGCCCGGCGGACGCCCTCCCGCATCTGCGCCTCTGGTCCCGCGTCTCGTCCGTAAACGGCACTGGGTCGCGGCGAGCGGGGCCGCTTTCGGGCAGCTTGCTTCTCCACAGCGCAGGTTGGGGGAGCTTCTCCCCAAAGGGCAGGTGGTGCCCCTGAGTCAGTGTGCTCCACGGTCCCAGCCCCCGGCCCGAGGGGCACCGGGCATTCTGCTGCTCAGGCCGCGTCCTCGCGGCCCCGTGCGTCTGCATCTCGTCACCTTCACTCACACCCTGCCCCCCCGGAAAGAACCTGGGACCTGGGTTTAGTGTGGGAATGTGGCGCAGAAATGGGGAGACTGGGTGGTGGTGGCAGGTTTCCCCGAAAACTCAGCGGCCCCCGTCTCTAGTCCTGCAGAAGGGGCTGGAGGAGAACTTCGCCGACGTCCAGGTCTCCGTGGTCGACTGCCCGGACCTGACCCAGGAGCCGTTTGCCTTCCCGGCGAAAGGTCAGTGATCCAGCCCCAGCGCTGCACCTCGGCCCGCGTCTTTCTGAACCGGAATTGCTCTCAGAACCCCTGCAGAGCGGGCGCCGCCGACCGGGAGTCCGAAGGCAACTTGCTGGGCAGAGCGTCCGCTGGAGGTGCCGAGGGTGGCGGCCGAGCCTGAGTCTGTTTCTGTCTCCCGTGGACACACTCGTCCACACCCCGCCACAGCGGGTCCGTGGCCCTTGCAGGCTGAGCGCCTGGCCGGGCCTGGCTGCAGCCTCGTGCCCCAGAGTGCCCGGGAGCCCCTGGAGCTCACAGGCGAGGCCCTGGGTTCCAGAGCACCCTGAAACTGTGCCACACTTGCATACACCCCTGCTTTTTTTTTCAAGATTTATTTTATTTATTTATGCTATAAGAGCTGGGGTGCAGGCCAGAGGTGCGGGGGGTGAGAGGATCCACCAGAGACAGAGTGGGGAGCAGAACAGGTGGATCCACTGAAATCCACTGCTGAGGGGAGCCGCGGGGAGACAGGAGAGGTCTGCTGTGCCCTGTGGGTAGCTCCCTGGCCGGGGATGGACTCAGGCTGCAGTGGCTGGTGATAGCTTGATAGTGCTGAGTCTTAACCCCTGAGACCCCAGGGAGGCCCCCACTCCCCCAATTTTTAAACTAAAGGCTCCAAGGTCCCCCTCGTCTGCACACTGTTGTCAGTGTGATGAGGGTCGGGAGATGTTTTCTAGCATTTTCCTTTAATTTGTCAGGTGGTGTGGGCTGTATAGCCACCCTGAGTCATCCACTGTACTTGTCTGTGGCCTGTGAGAAGAACAAACCAAGACAAGCTCTCGGTGCTTCCTGCGGGGCGGCGAGGCCAGGGCCATGGCTAGGAAGCTGGGGTGCACCCTGGGGGCTGGCTGGGTGCTCCCGAGGCCCCCAAGCTGCGGGTCGCCTGGGCTTGCACACACTTGCCTTTCTCAGCAGTGGTTTTCAAGTGTTTGAAACAAACGCCCAACTCCCATGTCAGGGAACCAGCCGAGGGCCCGCTCCCGCTCCTCACGGAGGCCGCGGGCCGGGCATGTTTGCTCACGCGCGCTTGAGTTTAACAGTAGCGTGCCCCGAAACAGGCCAGCGTGCCCTGGCGCTCTGGCCCTAGTGGACATTGTGTTTTGCAGGCATCTGCGGGAAGACGCGGATCGCCGAGGTGGGCGGCGTGCCCTACCTGCTGCCACTGGTGAACAGGAGCAGGGTGAGCTGGGCCTCCCCGCGCGGGCGCCGGCCGGGCCTGGTCTCTGTGCCTGGGGCGCGCTGGCCAGTCGCGCAAGGACATGCCCGTCGGTTCGGTGACGAGAGGCAGCCCGGGGCGGCTGCAGCCGGGGCCTGAGCGGCATCTCCTCCCATCCAGGTCTACGATCTCAATCGGATTGCCAAGGACATCAAGCTCCCTGGGGCCTTTATCCTCGGTGCGGGCGCAGGCCCCTTCCACACGCTTGGCTTCAATTCTGAGGTGAGCTCAGTGGGGCTTTGTCTCACTGCCCGTCCCAAGGCCGCCGCCCCACGGCCCCATGCTTGGCCGTGGGGTGCCATGTACTGGCCCCCGCCTGCTCAGATTTCTCGGGGTTACCTGGTTTAGGGGAGACCAGGCACCACCACGGACTGTGGGCGCACTGGGCTGTGAAAGAGGGGGGCTTGTGTCAGCGTGTGCGTAGCTGCATGTCTTCGTCCCTGGCGTGAGGCAGCTTTGTGGAGGGGATGGAGTGTTTGGCCACCTGGTCGGCTCCGCCTCTCAGGTCCTCACAGACCTCCCGGGAGAAGCTCGATCCTGAGCAGGAGCGAGGGCTCCTCCGTCGGCCACGCTCCCTCAGCCTCCTCAGGTGACCGCCGCCCGCAGTCACACCGGTTCTTCTGCAGAAACGTTAATAAAAGTTGCCTAGAACTCAGGACAGAGACGTGTAAACTCTCAAAGTAGACATGTTCAAGCAAACGTTGCAGCATTGCAGAAACGCTGAGCAATGGCGGAGCGTGGCTGTTACCGGATTCTCTCCTCTTTGCAGTTCATGCCCATTGTCCAGACGGAAGGCGGACACCGGCCTCCCGTGAACGGAAGCTACTTTGCCCACATCAACCCCGCAGACGGAGGGTGCCTCCTGGAGAAGTACAACGAGAAACACCGCGACTTCGGGTGTGCGCTGCTGGCTAACCTTTTTGCCAGCGAGGGCCAACCTGGAAAGGTGATTTGGTTCATAAAAACACCATGTTCTCCAGAAGTTCTCGAGTAGCTACCGTGGGAACTCTCATTGCCACAAATACGGTTTTCTTAAGAAAATCCAAGGCTACCTGAGTCAGAGATCTTAGAACAACTCAGTGAGCAAAGACTGAGAGTCCAGAAAGCATAAGCTGTGTGTGCCAGCCTCGCGGCACATGGCTTCCTGAGATGTGCTGTGTGGCACCCGCACGCACTCTGGGCACAACGTTATCTTATTGATAGGTCGGGGCGCCTCTACTCACGTCTGGGCACGCTGGGCCCTCAGGTGTTCGGGGCATGTCTCAGCCCCCCTGAAACGCTGCTGCGTAGGCGACAGACATGCCTCTGTCCTCATAGGTCATCGAGGTGAGAGCCAAAAGGAGGACCGGAAAGCTGAACTTCGTGTCCTGCATGAGACAGACGCTGGAGAAACACTACGGGGATAAGCCTGTGGGGCTGGGCGGCACCTTCTTGGTCCAGAAGGGCAGAGTGAAGACCCACATCATGGTGAGCCACGCGGGTGTGCGCTCTGGGCCTGGGGTTTCTGGTGCAGATCAGTCTGTGGAGACGTGCTAGACAAGTCCTCTTCTTGTGACCGAGTTGCTTCAAAGTCTTAGTGACAAGCTTTCCCACTGTGAGGTGATCGCCACGAAAGCCCTTAGCCCAGGTCCATCTGGTAGAACTTCCTTTCCAGTGTTGGCTTTTTTTTTTTTAAGATTTATTTACCCATACAAGAGCTGGGGTATAGACCAGAGTTGAGGGGGTTCACCAGAGACAGAGTGGGAAGCAGAACAGGCAGACTGACTGAAATACACTGCTGAGGGGAGCAGCTGGGAGACAGGAGAGGTCTGCTGCACCATGAGGGTAGCTCCCTGGCCAGGGATTGAACTCGTGCAGCAGTGGCTGTGGATTGCTTCATAGGTTGCGACTTAACCCCTGCGCACCAGGGAGGCCCCTACAGTGTTTTTTTGTTTTGTTTTGTTTTTGAGCACTGGGTACAGTCAGAAGCGCGGGAGGATGAGAGAATTCACCAGAGCCAGAGCGGGGAGCAGAACAGGCAGACGGACGAAGTACACTGCTGAGGGGAGCAGCGGGCGGCAGGAGAGGTCTGCGCGCCATGTGGGACCCTCCCCGGTGGCCAGGGATCGAACCGGCGCTGCAGAGGCTGCTGGCAGCTTCGCAGCCCAGCGCTCAACCGCTGCGCCACCAAGGGAGGCCCTGCAGTGTTTGCTTTTAAGGTCAAGATAGAGGTGAGGCTGAGACTCCAGACTGATTCTTGTTTTCATTGCCAGGATCCCGAATTCAGCCCCTAGACAGTGCCGTTACGATGACTGTGATTTTGGGGAAAGGACTCGGGAAAAGTGTGACATTATGGGCTAAGTATATACATGTATAAGACGCTCAGGACAGAATCCTGCACGAAGCCTGGGACGTTCAGAACCTCAGGAATAAGGTTAAGTGAACAAGTAGATGAATGATGTACTAAGGTGATTACAACTTAGTTTCCTGTTTATTTTGCTGGTCAAGTCAGAAAGCCTGTCTTGATGTTCTGTCCTGGTGGCTTTCAGTGGCGAGTCAGCTGGCCCTGCGCGGGAGATCCAGCTGTGAGAGTGCTTACTTCCTCCGATTATTAACAGGGATTTCCAGATAAATCTCTGTGTAAGCACCTAATGGTTGAAGGATTTTTCTTCAAGTCCATGCACTTTGCTCCTAGCTGTAGCCACCCCAGGCAGTGGCATCCCCAGAACTTGCTCCTCTTGAACCTGGCAGTCTGCACTGCGCGGCCAGCATCTGCCACCTCCCCGGCTCGCCACGCGCCAGCCACCGTCTCCTCTTTCCCCGAGCTGGGTCCTCAGGCCCCGCGTGAGCACCTTCCACCTGCCCGGGCCACCCCGGTGCAGACAGCGGGTTGTTCTCTAGGGCTCCGAGACCCTCCTTTTGTCCTGCACGTGTGTGCACATGCAGACATGTGGCCCAACCCGCCATGCGCGCACGTCTTCGCCCCTCGCCCGTCCCCGAGCACCCAGAAGGCGCCCTGCGGGGCGTGAGCCACTGCCTTGGCCTTCGTTCCCCGGGGACGCTGGATCTCACGGGGGTGTTTTCCACAGGAATGGCCTCACTTCACTTTCCTGCCAGCGTCCCTCGGCAGAGCTCGTTTCTTCTCGGTAACAGCGTCCTCTTAGGATGAGGCCCCGTGTCGGGGTTGGGCTGCCTCCTCCTGGTGACGCGTGGCAGGGAGCGCTTTCCTTCATGCCTTTTGGCCACTCCATGTCTCCCTCGGAGACGTGTCGCCCCAGTTCCGGCCATTTCTCAACAGGCCTGTTTCCTCGGCCGTCACCTTGCCTCGGTCCCTTGTCCCCTTTGGCCTCTTCACAGGCCACGGGCTACGCAGCCCTCGCTCCCACACGCTGCCTCCCGTTTGCTGAAGGTCTTTGCAGAGCAGCCTTTCAGGTTGACGTAGCCCCACTGGCTTATTCTCCCTCTGTTACCTGGACGGTTCGTGTCATGTCCGAGAGATTCTGATCAAATCATCTCCCCGTGCTGTCTTCTGAGAACGTGACAGCCGTAGCTCTTACATCCAGCTCTGTGATCTGCTCCGCGCTAGTATCTGCGTGGTGTAAAGTGAGGGTCTGGCCTTGTTCTTCCGCGCGTGAACATGCGCTTTCCCGGCAGCATCTGCGGGTGAGACTCCTCCCCACTGTGTGATCTTGGGCCCTCAGCGGATCGCATTTGATCAAAAAAGAAAAACAGAAAAGAAAATCACTTGATCTTATCTGCTAAGGCTTAGTTCTAGGACCCCTGGTCCATTGTGTTGGCCTCTGCAGGTCCCTGCGTCGGGCACTGCGGCCCCGCGGGGTGGCTGGCAGCGAGAAGGCTGAGGCCGCCGACCTTCTTCCTTTTCAAGAGTGTTCTGGCTCTTCTGGGCCCCTGGAGATTCCTTATCAATTTTGGAGTGGCGTTTTCTGTTCCTGCGAATCTTTGTGTCACAGTTGGTGGTACTGGCCCCCACGGGCGGGGTGTGAGCAAGTGCAGGCCCACGGGATGCCTTTCGTGAGCTGTAGTCCTTCCGTGTGCCCGTCCAGCAGTGCGCTCTGGTTCTCTGTGTACAGGCCTGTGACTCCGGGATGAGGATAATCCCCCTATAGTTGTGTCTGATGTTTTCAATATCTTGGCTTCCCCCTCCATCCGCCTGCAGTGGCATGAGGTTTAGGATGAGCGTGAGGATGGGCACAGGAAGGCTGCGGGCTCTGAGACGTGAAGGGCAGCAGCGGCCTCCCCCTAACCCACTCCGCCTTGATTCAGTGTCTCAACAGCGGACACTGACCTTCTGAAACAAGGGCACATAATTTCTTTTGCTGCCAGAAACAGTGAAGAGCAAGTATAAAAAGGCTTAGTAACGTTTTTGTTTTGTTTTAAAGATTTATTATTTCTTTTATTTATTTATACAAGCACTGGGTACAGTCAGAAGCGCGGGAGGGTGAGAGAATTCCCCAGAGCCAGAGCGGGGAGCAGAGCAGGCAGAAGGGCCGAAGGACACTGCTGAGGGGAGCAGCGGGCGGCAGGAGAGGTCTGCGCGCCATGCGGGACCCTCCTCCGGTGGCCGGGGAGCAGCCGGGGATCGAACCGGCGCTGCAGAGGCTGCGGGCAGCTTCGCAACCCAGCGCTCAACCGCTGCGCCACCGGGGAGGCCCAGGCTTAGTAGCATTTTAGACTCGATGAAACTGATTGAAAAGCGTGGTCCTCTGTGACTTCTGAGGCCACCCAGTGACCGTCTCTCGCTGCAGCCCGCAGAGTTCTCCTCCTGCCCGCTGAAGTCCGACGAGGAGGTGAACACGTGGCTGCGCTTCTACGAGATGGCGGCGCCCCTGGTGTGCCTGCCAGTGTTCGTGTCCCGGGACCCGGTGAGTCGCTGCCGCTGGCGCTGAGTGCAGCATGCTCAGCCCCACGGCCCCAAGGATCGGGCATCGTGTCCCATGAGAACAACAGTCAGCTTGAGACTTACCTTGAAAGACAAAGGAGACGGGTGCTGGCTACCCGCTGGGCAAGCAGATTTTGCCTGCAATAAATGCAGGCGCCAACAACAATCATGGTACTAAACAGAATCAAAACTAAGTGTTCTGATGCTGAAGCTTAAAAAATATATAACATATATTGGGAGCAACATCTACCAAAATACTAGCAATAACTTTCGACCCAGGGATCACAGGACTGGAGTTTCCTCCTGAGTGTGCGTGTGTCTGCGTGCGCATGCCGACTTGGGCAGCACGGCACGTACGGGGTGTTCCTGAGCGAATAAAAAAGTAAAGCAGGTGTTTCTGGGAAGATACAGGAGAAACTGCTCATGCTGCCATCGGGTAGAAGGTGTGCAGGAGGGAGGGTAGAGGGAGGGAGAGGCCCCGCGGGAGGGCCTCTGCGCTTTTGGAGTCTTGGATGGACCCAAATGGACTCTCTCCTGAAAAATCCCAGGGCTTCGACCTGCGCCTGGAGCACACGCACTTCTTCAGCCACCACGGGGAGGGCGGCCACTACCACCACGACACCACGCCCGACGCCGTGGAGTACCTGGGCTACTTCTCGCCCGCCGAGCTCCTGTACCGCGTGGACCAGCCGGAGGAGACGCACTCCTTTGGGCGAGACTAGGGGGTGCTCGTGCGCCAGGGGGGCCGGGGGTGGGGGGCAGGTCCCAGGAGCCGCCTGGCGAGCTCATCCTCCCCGCGAGTGTAAGAGCCAGCAGAAATGCTCTCACTGCCCAGACCCCTTTTGGGCGTTGCCAGGGCCCGGCTGGTCCCTGTAGAGCTACCGTAGAGGTAATTGGGCCCAAGATTCGTAATGGAGACATTGATCGTCTTCTGTCTATTCGGTAACAAAATCAGTATTTTTGCTTTATACGTAAGCGTGATCGGGAGTCACGCAACTGTTCCCACCACCCGATAGTGTCAAGTCACGTGTGTGACGTTAACTTTCTCAAATGAGCCTCACAACTGCTAAGCGGATGTTTCTGGAAGTTAGAAGAAATAATGTTGGAAATTTGATAGTTGTTGAATCTTTCATGAATTTTTAAAATCCACTTTATAAATCCCCACTCGTGGGGTCCGGCGGTCGGGGAGCGGGGGGGTGTCACGTTGGTGGCACTGAGGACACAGAAGTCCCCGGCTTGCCTTTCACAGACACCGGAGCTTGACCGCAGGCCGGGTCCCTCTCTTGGCTGGATGGTCACGCTGGAGTGTCGGTTTGGGAAGTGGCTTGTGACCTGCTGCTTATTTGCATGGAGAGAAGGGAAAAGAAACAGTGTCACACACCAGCTGAGCTGAGGGCACTTAAACTTGTTGGCGGGGCTGCTGGTGAATGGGACCGCTGGCCAGGGCAGGGCGTGAAATGATGTTCTTGGATGGCTGAAAATCCTTTGATATTCTCCTATAATAATCATTAACCAGAAACCAGCCGTCTCCTCTTGCTGATGCCCACGGCGGCCGAGGAGCTCTGGTGCATGAAGCCCATGGTATTTTTTGATTGTCTTCTTTGGACATTCTAATGTGTCCCATAAACATAAATTCCTAAATATCTTAAAATAAAATTTAGTATTCATAATGCATTAATTTCGTTGGTGTTTTACCTCCAAAGATAGTATTCGCTCATGTAATGAACACCTTCCGAACACCTGCCTGCCGGCTCTGCCAGGACACGGCGGTGCTCCCAGGAGCTCAGCCCAGTGCGTGTGGGCTGATGAGGGGGGGTGGGTAGTGCTGCCCCCATGCCCACAGACGCTGGGGGGAAGAGCAAGAGCATGCATACGTGTTGGGTGTGCAGGACGTGCTCCGGCATGGCCACCCATGCTGAGTCAGGACGCACCCTGCCCCCAAACCTGGTGCAGGTGGCAAGACTGCTGAGGTGCATGCACCCCACAGGGAGCAGGCTCCTCATGGCGCGAGACTTCCCAGGGAGCAGGTGCTTCCCAGGCAGGTGGGCACACAGCTGGGGGAACAGGGAAGCAGCAGCCTGGGGTGGGGTGCGGAGCTGCTCTGCTGAGTGTGAATCTCCCCACAAGTTCCCAAGAAAGGAGCAGCCAACCTCTTCACCAGCTTGCTCCAACGCAGGCCGAAGGGGAGAGGGTGAGGTTTAGAAGTTACCAGCAGTTCAGCCTCAGAAGCTGATTGAACTCCTTTGCCTGTTTTGCACAGGAAGGTTAGGGGAAGCCTCTGCCAAAGAGGCATTTGCGCCAAGACCTGAAAGAAACGAGGCAGGAAGTTGGTGGAGAAACAGCCTCAGAGGGCAAATTCACGGGTCCCAAGGCAGGAGGGGACTTGGTGTGTTCCAGAAACAGCAGGGAGGCCGCTGTGAACAAACAGGATCGCCTGGCTGAGCTGACACAGTGGCCTGAGAAGCAGTTTTTACAGTTGTGTGTGTCTCGCTTTAAAAGTAGGTGTGTTAGGCCTCCCCAGGGGCGCAGGGGCTAAGCACAGCGCTGGGAAGCTGTCCACAGCCTCTGCAGCGCGGGTTCCATCCCCGGCCAGGGAGGTGACCCACACGGTGCAGCAGACCCCTCCTGTCTCCCCGCTGCTCCCCTCAGCAGTGTATTTCGTCCGTCTGCCTGTTCTGCTCCCCGCTCTGTCTCTGGTGAATCCTCTCACCCTCCTGCGCCTCTGGCCTGTACCCCAGCTCTTGTGCGCATAAGTAAATCAATCTTTAAAAAAAAAAGCAGGCGTGTGGCAGACTGCCCATATCACTAACTGATGGCGGATCTAGCAGGGGAAACAGATTGAAAAGAGGGGAAAAAATAATTTCTTTCCAGCAGGAAACATGGCTGACCTCTTAGAAAGTCTGTGGCGACATTTTATTGGGCGGCGTTCAGAGAGGGTCCCAAGTACAAAAGGCAACGCACGGCAGTGAGCTGCTTCTCTACACCAGCAGCAGACGGTGAAAACGAAAAACGGAAAGATTTCGGTGACCGGTCATCCGGACGACACGGCGGTATTTCAAACAAAAATCAGACACAACCTTTAGGGAAAGCAGCAGCACTGGGGCAGCCTCATGAAATCCCACGGCAGCAGCACCTCTTCTCACCATCAGCCTGACTGAAAGCCGGGGCGCCTCATGGAACCAGACCCGGGAGGCGCCCCCGGACGCCCCCGAAGGCTGCGCACGGCAGCGGGTGGAGGAGCGGGGGCCGCCGGCTGCTGAGGGCCCTGGTTTTCTCTTCCCTTCTGTCTCCTCCCGGGCCTGGAGCGGCAGCGGGGCCGCGGGGCCTTCTGGCCAGGGCACCGGCCCCGGGAGCCCCGCCCCGGCCTGAGAGTCGCCACTTTCTCGCCCGCGTTTTCTCTCCCGCCCGGGCCCGCGCCGCGCTCCGGCGAGGCCCTAGCGCGGCCGCCGCCCAACCCCGAGAGAAAGACGGGAAGGGCCCCGGGGACCTGGACGGGCTCCTCCCCCAGCCCCTCCTCCTCCCGCGTGCTCACGGGCTGGGGCGGCGCCCGCACCCCCGGCCTTCCCCGCACGGTGTCCGGCGTGTGCCGGCAGCGGGCGCCTCCGCCCCGGGCCGTCTCCCCCCGGGGCCCTGCCCCCCGCGCGCGCCCGTCCTGCTGCAGACGGACCGTCCCGGGAGGGCCGCGTCTCCGCGCGGCCGCCGCCGCCCCCGGGCCGCCCCCTCCCCGGCGTGGGCCGCGCCCGGCGCCCTCCTCCGGGAGCTCCCGCCTCCGCCGCCCCGGGCCGGCCGCCCGCTCCCCGGCTGGGGTCTGGCCCGGCCGCGAGAACAGCCGGGCCGGCGGGCGACGCGCGGGGGCGGCCTGCGGCATCCGGGTCAGCGCCCGCCGACGGCCGGAGCGCGCCGCGGGCCCGCGCAGCGCCGGGGGGGGCGAGGAGGCGGGGCGGCCCCGGGGGTGTCGGGGACGCGGGGCGGCGCCGCGTGACCCCGGCCAGGACCCCCGGCGCCCCCCGCAGGCCCCACGACGGCCGCGGCCGCCCAAGCGCCGGGCGAGGACCCGCGGTCCCAGCGCGCGCCCCGCAGCGAGGCCTCGGGCCGCCGAGTCGCCCGTTCTCCCCGTTCTCCCGGGGGCCGGCCCGAGCTGCGCCCGCCCCGCCCCGCCCCGCCCCGCCCCCGCGCCCGTCGGCGACGCCCCGCCCCGTCCTGTCCCCGGCCCCGCCCCGCGGCCCCGCCCCCGTCTCGGCGCCGCCCCGCCCCTCGCCCACGCGCCCCGGGCTCCCCTCCGCCGCGAGGCGCACGCCGCGCCCCCGGAAGTGCGTCCACGAGCCCCGACTGCGCCGGAAGTCGGGCCCTCCCCGGAAGTCGGCGCGCCGTCCCGTGAGCCCCCGCGCCCGGCCCGCTTCCGGCCCGCGTCGCCCCGGCCGCCGCCCCCGGGCCCCGCCGCCAGCATGTCGGGGGTGCGCGCCGTGCGCATCAGCATCGAGTCGGCCTGCGAGAAGCAGGTGCAGGAGGTGGGGCTGGACGGCACCGAGACCTACCTGCAGCCGCTGTCCATGTCGCAGAACCTGGCGCGCCTGGCGCAGCGCATCGACTTCAGCCAGGGCTCGGGCTCCGAGGAGGAGGAGGCGGCGGGCGCCGAGGGCGACGCGCAGGACTGGGCGGGCGCCGACCCCGACGACGACGAGGGTGAGCGGGGCCGGGGCCGGGGCGGGGGCGGAGGGCCGGGGCCGGCGCGCTCGGGCCGCCGCCGGGACGCCTGGGGCTTCCCGGGGGTTGAGCAGCCCAGGCCCCTTTGTTTCGGGGGGACCGGGATGGCAGACTGGCGGGGCGGGAGGAGGGCCTTGGGGGCGCCGTTGTCAGTAGCCAGCAGGGATGCAGAGGTGGCTCGGCATTGGCATCCATTTGGGAGGCCTCCTGCCTCCCCCAAGCTGCGTTTCCTTCAGGACCGCAGTGCAAGAGGAGAACACGGAACGCAGCAAGGTAGACTGTGACTTCGGGAGGAGGCGAGACCAGCTGGGAATACAAGTCAGGAGGGAAAAGGCACAACAATGACAGAATCTAAAATAGTGGCGAAAGACGCCATCAAGTCGCAGAGCTCCCTGAGGGGCCCCTTCAAACCAAAAAGAGACAACTCGGGAGAAATAGGCCCAAGATAAACAGGCAGCTCACGGAGCGAAGCTCTAGGGAGAGGCAAGTGAAAACATTAAGATGCTGTTTTCATGCCGAAGAGTAGCATGAATTTACAGGCTTGTTACTCGCCTGCATTGGGAGTATCAGTTTGTAGAGCCTGTTGGGAGACAGCTTGGCAGTCGAGGACTCCTCAGATATGTTAAATGCGTGTGTCCTTGGAACCACTAACATCATGGCTATGAGCATGACCTACAGGCGAAGCCGTACCGTGTGCAGATGTGTGGAGGTGCTGGGCTCGCCTGGCATGGAGGGCCACCTGCTTGTCCCTTAAATAGGCCACTTACACTTGCTGCACGGCAGAGTCATGCGGAGTGAAGAGGCTGAAATAGGTCTCCATGTGGACGTGTGTGTCTGGCGTGAGCTCTGCGGGGAGCAAATCAAAATAAGAGATTATCCAGAAGGGTCCTCTACCTCCCATGTTGTCAAGTTAGCTTTACTCTGTGGAAGTCAGGCTCCAGACTTGTTCTGCCACTGCAGGGGAGCTGACTGGCTGCGGAGACCCGGCAGCGGAGGGGTGAGGTGAACCTGGGAGTGTTTGAAGGAGGAGTTATTTCTTCAGAGCGTTTGAACATTTGATGACCTTTCCGCCTTCTGTCCGACGTTGCTGATACTTGTGTGTGTTTGCCCTTTTTCCTTAGGGCTGGTGAAATTCCAGCCTTCCCTCTGGCCGTGGGACTCGGTGAGGAACAGCCTGAGGAGCGCCCTGACAGAGACGTGCGTGCTCTACGATGTCCTCAGCATCGTCAGGGAGAAGAAGTTTATGACTCTTGACCCTGTCTCTCAGGACACGCTTCCTCCCAAACAGGTGTGTGCATGCTCGGGGAGCGTGGTGCCGTGGTAGCCAGCCCCAGCGGCGCTGCCAGGCCGTGCCCCCTCCGTGTCACTAAGTCCAGATGAAGATGTGAAGAGGTTGAAAGGAAGGCGTGACACTGCGCCTCCATCTGTGATGTCATCGATGGGTCTGTGGTCCTCGGAAGGGTTCGGTTTCATTAATGACATAACTTTATCAGGTCCCCGAACCGTAACAGGCCCTTCCAGCTTGGGTCCCGGATCTGTAGTGAAAGCGGGATAGTATCGACATTGGAGGCCCAGACCCTCCTCTGCCCTCACTCGTTGTGTGACTTGGTATCGTCTTTAAGTCTGTCTCCCACTGACTCTCTGTCCCTCTTCCTTGTTGAGGAGGGTTGGACCCACTTACAGTGAAGATTGAGAGCTCGGGATGGTGGTGGGGTGACCGGCGAGGCACTCTGATTTTGAGTGTAGAGGATGGAAGGGCGGCAGAGGAAGAGGAACTGGCGGGCGAAGAGCAGGGCTCGGGGAGACCCTTAGCAGGCTCTTGAGGAAGTCCCGGTCAGGGTGGTGGGCAAGGGCCCTGTGTGCGAACACAGCCAGTTGACTGTGATCACTCGGTGCTGATAGTCTCAGAATCCAGAGGCGCCGCTCTGAGGCTTCTTAGGGGCTTTCATTCTGTTTCCTTCATGTCACAAACAAAAGAAACAAAGGCCCAGATAGCGAAATGCTGTGCCAGGTGGCCAGGGCCAGATGAGCACTCCCACCCCCATGGCCTCCCCTGTCTGCTCTTCCTGGAGCGCCCTCAGGCATCCTGCGCTCCCAGAACACTGGAATTAGGTTTCCTACTGTCAGGTAGCGTGCTGACGTGTGTGGGGCTCGGTGCTTTTGACTCATACACACAGGAACTGCGTTTTGCTAGGCTCGGGTGTGGAGCTGTCTGGTGAGCGCGCTGTCCTGGCGGTGACGGCCGCTTCTGGGTGTGTGGGATAATTTTGATTTCTTGTCAGAATTCTAAAAAGCAGCGTTCAGCGAAGAATATTCGGTATTCGCATTGCTTGCTCTCCGCCCCGATCCCAGAGGCACCCCGGTGGCCAGTGTCGGCTGAGCTCGCACAGTGCTGCTGGGCCGGTCCCGGGTGGCGCTTCGGGCAGGGGGCCGCGGGGCTGCAGGTGGGTGGTTCTGCCCTCGCAGGGGTGCTGCGAGCCGGCCTTGGAGGCTCCCGCGAGAGCAACGGTGGAGGCGGCGGACGGGGCGCTCTTGGGGGTGCGTGCGTGGAGGGGCCTGGCCTGGGCCAGGCAGGGTCACTGTGGTGGCCCGTTGGGGTTAGTGCCCCGCTGTGCTGGTTCGGGTTGGATGTGACTTCGTCTTGACCGAAGCATCAGGTCACGGTCACTGGTTCTTAAAACTACGCGTGTTATGTACGCTCCCCCGTGCTTTCCTGCACTTCCTGAATGCTCTTCTCGGGAGGCATTTTGTTGTTGGGAAAACGTATCACTTTAATGTGATTGAAAAATAACGTGCAGCTCCGTCTGCGTGTCTCCTGGCAGAGCCCTCAGACCCTGCAGCTGATCTCGAAGAAGAAGTCCCTGGCAGGGGCGGCGCAGATCCTGCTGAAGGGGGCGGAGCGGCTGACCAAGTCAGTCGCCGAGAACCAGGAGAACAAGCTGCAGAGGGACTTCAACTCAGAGCTGCTGAGGCTGCGGCAGCACTGGAAGCTGAGAAAAGTTGGAGACAAGATCCTTGGTGACCTGAGCTACAGAAGCGCAGGTAGGGACGCCGGGCAGGCTTGATGCCGCGCCGTTCCTCAGCCCGTTTTTCTGTGTCGCTAGGCCCGAGCAGGCTACAGGTCCTCACATTTTACAAGATTGCTCTTGGGCCTCCCTGGTGGCACAGGCGGTTGAGCGCCGCACTGTGGAGCTGTCCGCAGCCTCTGCAGCGCTGGTTCGATCCTGGCCAGCCGCGGAGCTACCCACATGGCGCCCAGACCTCTCCTGCCTCGCCCGCTGCTCCCCTCAGCAGTGTATTTCTTCAGTCTGCCTGTTCCGCTTCCCGCTCTGTCTCTGGTGAATCCTCTTGCCCTCCCGCACATCTGGCCTGTATCCTGTTCTTGTGTAAAAATAAATTTTTTTAAAAAAATTGTTTTTCCGGGGGCAGGGTTAAAAAAAAAATTACTCTTCTGTGTATGGATAATTTAGACTCAATTGAAAAACCCCTTGGGTACATTTCACAGGAGGCTCAAAGGCAGAGTTTATGCGCCTTGCATCGGAACGGGCACGCAGTCAGCCGTGGGGACGAGGATTAGCCTTCTCGAAAACCTGGGCACACTGCTCTGCTCCCCCACTCTGTCTCTGGTGATTCCTCTCACCCCTGCGCCTCTGGCCTGCCCAGTTCTTGTATGCATGAATAAATAAATCCTTTTCAAAAAAAGAAAAGAAAAACCTGGGCGTAAAACACATGCTTGTGGCGGGAGCTTAGCTGTGCGGCGTTGCAGGACCGCGCAGGGCAGCAAAAGTAGCGTCCCATGCGCCACATCTGCTAACGTGTTCGTTACATTTATTTTCCTGTTTTCACACCTGCCAGGCTCTCTCTTTCCCCATCAAGGCACGTTTGAGGTGATAAAGAACACAGACATAGACCTGGACAAGAAGATCCCCGAGGATTACTGTCCCCTGGACGTCCAGATCCCCAGTGACCTGGAGGGCTCTGCCTACATCAAGGTACGGGCCAGGGCGTGTCTTGGTGGTTTTTTATTAGTCGTCCAGAAGCTGACGTGCTGCCATTTTGTACCGCAACGTAGGTCTCCATTCAGAAGCAGGCCCCAGACATCGGCGACCTGGGCACAGTGAACCTCTTCAGGCGACCTTTGCCCAAGTCAAAGCCAGGTCAGTCGTGCTCTGCCCTCTGACTCCCGCAGCGGCACGCAGGTGGGACGGTCCTTTCTCCCAAAGGTCCCACGCTACACCTGGAGCCGCAGTGGCATGCGCTGCCCCGCTGCCCCTCCGGGTGCAGGGCCATCCTGGGTGCCCGCTTCGCCCTTTGTAAGCACAGAAGCCTTCAGGGTCTCTCAGGTGCCAAGCGGGTCTCTCAGAAAGTGAAGTGTGAACTTTGAAAACTCAGGGAGACTCGTGTTTAGAGCGTTAACTGTTAGACATGGACGCGGCTGACCGTGCGTGTCCTCTTCGTATAAGAGTCGGGATTTCTCTATTTGGGAAGAATTTGCTGCGTCGAGCTCTCACCGCGCCACACGGCCGGGTGACTGACACCTGCCCTGCCTTGCAGGCTCCCCGCACTGGCAGACCAAGTTGGAAGCGGCACAGAACGTTCTCTTGTGTAAGGAGATTTTCGCCCAGCTCTCTCGGGAGGCCGTTCAGATCAAGTCACAGATCCCGCACATCGTGGTGAAAAACCAGATCCTCTCCCAGCCCTTTCCAAGTGAGTGAGGTCGAGCAGGACTTGTGTGTGGGGGCCCCACCAGCAGCTGTTGGGGTATGTTGGGGAGCAGTAAGAGCACCAGGGAGGGAGTGGCCCCCGTGGGCAGGGAGGGCACCCCCGCCAAGCTGCTGCTGCGGCGCCGGGGCCTGAGGACTCCTGAAAGGGTGCAGCGGCTGCCGTGAGGCGGCCAGTGAGAAGATGCTCCGTCTGTTAAACGTCACCCCAATGGTGGATTTCAGTTCCGCTGCCCCGAAGCAGTCAGGCCACCCCGAGGATCACGGCGGCGTCTGCACAGCCTCGTTGGCCGGGTTCTGAGAAGCGCCTCCTCGGGCCGTTGGAGGATGGGCTCGGGGTCCTGGCCTCATGGGCGCAGGGCAGAGTGCCTTCTGGCGCGTCAGCGCCGCGTGCTTTGCGTTGCTTTGTTATAGAAAGGCGTCTTAAAAACATGAACGTATGGTTTCTGGTCACATGTCTCGTTGGCCACGGTCAAGGCCAGCAGCAGCCCCGCTCAGGCAGCTCCTGATAGACGCGCCGCGTGGGGGTGGTTGTGTCTGGGAGTTACGTAAAGACGTCGGTCGCAAGGCCCCCTCGTCACACCAGAGTGTGCGTCTGGGAGCACCGGGGCTCTTACGCAGCCGCCCTCCCCCGCGCAGACCTGCAGCTGTCCATCTCGTTGTGCCACTCCTCCGGTGACAAGAAGGCCCAGCGCTGCACCGCCGAGAAGCAGGGGCCCGAGGACCACCTGTACGTCCTGGAGCACAGCCTGCATCTGCTCATCCGAGAGGTGACCATCACACCCCCACCCCAGCCCCCGCCTGCCAGGCCAGGGCGAGTGTGTGTGCTTCGTGCCCAGGGCGGGGGTTCTTCCGGCCGTGGCAGGAGAGTTACTTCAGGACCTCCTCCTTCTCCTCCCTGTTCCCAGGGTGCGAGAGTCCAGTCTGGACGTGCTGTGGTCCTGCTGTTAGCCTGGCGGGGGCGCCAGTGCGCCCTCCCGGTGGAAGGGGGTGGGTGGTGGGGTGGACCCCATGTGGGATTTAGGGTGGCGTGGAGTAACCAGCCGCTGACCCTGGCAGTTCTCAGACCCGCAGAGTGTCTGGCTTATTTCGCTTTCACATCAATGAACATGGAGGACCCTTCTCAGGCGCGCCTCGTGGAGCCCAGCCGGCGGTGCTTGCCTTGTCCGGGCGGCCTCCATGCGTGCCGGGGGGTGGGGGCTGAGCAGTGCTCTGCCCTGTCCCCAGGGGGGCTGGGGGCTGCCCTGTCCCCGGGGTGGGAGTCTCTGCAACAATGGCTGCTGTCCTCACAGTTCCACAAGCAGACGCTGAGCCCCGTGGTGATGCCGCACCCCGCCAGTGCGCCTTTTGGCCACAAGAGAATGAGACTTTCAGGTCCTCAAGCTTTCGATAAAAATGAAATTAATTCACTACAGTCTAACGAGGGGCTTCTGGAAAAAATCATCAAGCAGGCGAAGCACATCTTCCTGAGGAGCAGGTGAGGCCGAGTTCGGGTCTGCGCCCGCCCCCGCGATGTGTCTGGACTCCGGGGCGAGGCGGTGTCTGCAGGGTGACAGGTCCAGGGTCTCTCGCTAAGGGGCTGCCACAGCGGTGCTGGGTCGTGAGAGACACACCCGGCCTTCGGCCCGCATGCCTGGCGACCCGGCCCCCTGGCTGTGCTGGTTCTCAACGCAGCCCAAGCGTGTTGAAAGTGCCACCTGGGCTGCGGGAGATGCCGGCGCTGAGTCACGTGACCCTGTCCGGGCGGAGGCGTCACCCTTTGTCCCTGAGGAGCAGGCCAGGGGCAAGGAAGCTCCTGGTCCTCGGTGGCTGCTCTGGTCTCTCGCCTTCCCTCCTGCCTTCGCCTTCTCTCTGGAGTCCAGCTGTGCCCCAGGGGTTCTGACAGTGGCTGCTGACCCGGGCGTGAAGGGCGGAGAAAGATGGTTGGCTCCAGCGGGAAGCCGGCGGCTGAGCCAGGCCTGTCGTGCTCCAGGCCCCTCTGGGACGTGGAGGTGACAGTTGCCTCCTTTGCTCCACCCCTGCCTTGCCTCCGTAGAGCTGCTGCGACCATCGACAGCCTGGCGGGCCGCATCGAGGACCCCCAGATCCAGGCACACTGGTCCAGCATCAACGACGTTTGCGAGTCCAGCGTCAAGGTCTTGATCACGTCGCAGGGCTACGAGCAGATCTGCAAGTGAGCGCGGGCTGGGCGGGGCTGGTGCGGTGCGGCGGGTGATGGCCTCCGGATTTGGGGTGACAGGACAGTCCCGTGAGGGGCAATGGTTCGGGCAGACCCTCCTATGCGTCTGCTCACCTGGTTATTTGGGGAACGTTGCCATTTCCGTGGACACGTTCCCCGCAGAGATGCGTGACCTGCGGGGCATGCGGGTGGCGCGGCCGGCCTGGAGCGCATGTGTGCGAGTGTGACCTGTGCGTGTGGCACGCGCAGGTCCATCCAGCTGCAGCTCAACATCGGCGTGGAGCAGATCCGGGTCGTGCACAGAGATGGGCGGGTGATCGCGCTGTCGCACCGGGAGCAGGAGCTGCAGGACTTCTTGCTGTCCCAGGTGGGCCTGGCTCTACGGCCTGAGCCTCCCGTAGCTGTGGCAGGGGGACGGGCCCCGGAGCACCGTGGGGGCGGATAGGGGCCCTCTGCAGCCTCTGGGGTGAAGGGCTGGGGAGAAGTGGGGGCCCACGGCTGCCAGAGAAGCTGCTGAGCCAGAGGGCGTGGGTGGCCACTGGCCATGGCAGCGGGTGGGCTCTTCTATCTTGGGCCTGAGACACCTGCGCTTCCAGGGTCCGTGCAGGCAGGAAGTTCTGGGTTTACTGCCAGCCCCAGTATTCACAGTGTTTGTCCCTTACGAGCTGGAGAACTTCTGGGCCTTTCTCAGTTCCTTCGTGAAGTAAAACCCACGTTTCTCCTGCTTGCTCCATGCAGCCGCCCCAGGCACTCCTGACTTCTGAGGGAAAAAGGTTTTAAAAACCTAGTGTGCGCGCTGTCTCTCCCACAGAAAAAGTTTTGTTGTTTTTTTTTTAAAGATTTATGTATTTATGCACACAAGAGGTGGGGTGCAGACCAGGGGTGTGGGGGTGAAACGACTCCCCAGAGACAGAGCGGGGAGCAGAACAGGCAGATCGACTGAAATCCACTGCTGAGGGGAGCAGCGGGAGACAGGAGAGGTCTGCTGGGCCACGTGGGTCAGCTCCTGGCTGGAGATCAAACTTAGACCACAGTGGCTGTCACTAGCTTGATAGCACTGAGACGTCACCCCCGCACCACCAGGGAGACCCCTTCCACAGAAAAATGTTTAAAAACACCCCGCCCCCGCCGAAGCCGCATATTTTCTTATTTATTTGTTTGTTTGTTTGTTTGTTTTGTTTATACAAGCACTGGGTACAGTCAGAAGGGCGGGAGGGTGAGAGAATCCACCAGAGCCAGAGCGGGGAGCAGAACAGGCAGAGGGACCGAAGTACACTGCTGAGGGGAGCAGCGGGCGGCAGGAGAGGTCTGCGCGCCATGTGGGACCCTCCCCGGTGGCCGGGGATCGAACCGGCGCTGCAGAGGCCACAGGCAGCGAAGCCGCATATTTTCATTGCATCTCGTTTGGGCCAAGCAGGCAGAGCACCTGTTGGGTGACCCTCTATGGAAGGCCCCAGGCGGCGGACGTGCCCACATGGTGCAGGCTGCTGGGTAGGGCTGGGAGCAGGATGGGGCCGGGCTGGAGCTGTCTGGGAGGGGCGCGCTGTGGTCGAGCCTGCGCCTGTTGGGGCTGATCAGGCGGCTCTGCCAGGGTCTGCATTGAGGATGGGCCTGCAGGGTGCGGGGGCGGAACCGCCAGGGAGTGTGGGCAGCGGCCCGGGGCGCCCCTGTGGGCTGAGGTGGATTGGGTTGCCCGTGTCAGCCAGACGGACACAGGCTGATGCGCGTTGGGCTGCCGTGACCCTGGCCCTCATCACGCCTCTGAGGTAGATGGGCCCAGCCCCGGTGTGGCGGGCAGTGGCTGGCGGTCAGCAGAGGCCCTCCCGTCCACAGATGTCACAGCACCAGGTGCATGCGGTGCAGCAGCTGGCCAAGGTCATGGGCTGGCAGGTCCTGAGCTTCAGCAACCACGTGGGCCTGGGGCCCGTCGAGAGCATTGGCAACGCGTCCGCCATCACCGTGGCCTCCCCGAGCGGTCACTATGCCATCTCAGGTACGGGCTGCCTTTGCTGAGCAGTGGCCGCCGGGGCTGGCTGCCTGCTGGCAACTGCCCAGCGGTCATCTCGCAGCCATGCTGCCCCGGAGGTGGTCACGAGGGTGTTTGGTGACCGCACCTTTTCCTGAGGGTTGTGTGCAAACCGCCCTCAGCTCTGTCGCTTTGGTCCTTCGAAGCTGTTCCCAGCGAGCCTTGGGGAAGCTGCCGCACGCGTGGGCAGAGGCCGCCTGGGCCGGGCAGGCGGGCGCTGCACCAGCTGCCCACTGCCCCGGGGTGTCGGCTCCGGGTGGAGCTTTCTGTCGCCTGCTGTGGACACCATGAGGCGAGGCCGAGCCCGGCTCCCGGTCACAGCCGGTCGTGTCAGAATGTCCTTGAGCAAAGCGTGAGTCTCACTAAGGTCAGGGGTTGGCGGCAATCGCCCCTTCACCCGTCACGAGTGTTTAGGGCTGAATGAGGACGTCCTGCGAGCAGAGACACTTGACTCTCCTGAGCCGAGACCCCGTGCGCAGCATCTGGTGTGCGGAGGCGCAAAGCTCCTGGGACGGGCGTCCTGTGCGTGTGGGTGGCGGGCGGCCTTGCCAGCTGGGAGCGAGCGGGCTGACGTTCTGCTTTGTCCGCAGTTCGAAATGGCCCTGAAAGTGGCAGCAAGATCATGGTGCAGTTTCCCCGAAACCAGTGCAAAGACCTCCCGAAGAGCGACGTCCTGCAGGATGGCAAGTGGAGCCACCTGCGGGGGCCCTTCAGGGAGGTGCAGTGGAGCCGGATGGAGGGCCGCAACTTCGTCTGCAAGATGGAGCTGCTCATGTCCGCCCTCAGCCCCTGCCTGCTCTGACCGGCGCCCGCCTCGCTTCCTGGGTTTCTTTCCAGAGAAACTTCTGGAAACTGGCTTGACCTGATTGCTCGCCCACCGCAAGCACGAGGAGGAGGGCCCTTCCAAAGGCAGGCTGGGAAGCAACAGCAGGCGTCTGCCGGCGGTGTGAAGCGCTCGCTCTGCGGGTGACAGCGTGGGAAGCAGGAGTGGGGCGCAGGCCCCGTGCGGCCCGAGGGCGTGACTCTGCCGTCAGCCCTGGGGGTGACTCGGCCGTGCGTTCGGATTTGCTTTTTCAAATGCGCCTTTGTCGGCGTGTAATAAAGCGAATAAAGCGCGCGGCGGCCAGCTCCAGGCCCCGTGCCGCCGAGGCCGGCAGCCCCTTTCCTCACCTCTCGTGCCGCCGTTTGTTCAAAAGGTCCTTGAGGGCGCTGCACAGCGGCCGTGACCCGCTCTGGTCAGGACTTCAGCCGCGTGCGCGAGCGGAGCCAGCGTGGGCCAGCCCAGGGCCGGGGCCCCCAGACCAGGCTGGGTGCCGCCCCGGGGTCGGCCCCGGGCCTCCCCTGCAGCCCTGCGGGGAGCACCCGTCGCTCACAGGCCCTCAGAACTTCGCAGAACAGCTCCGGATGGTGCTCAGCATGCGTGACCTCCCCCGGCCACCCCTGCCGCAGCTCTGCCCCGGGGTTCCCGGCCTTGCCACGCGGGCGGGCCGCGTATCCTGTTGCGGCCAGTCCTGGTCCACCCACAGCTCTGCCTCCTCGGGCGCTTCGTGCCGGTGTGTGGGTGTGCCCCGCGCCCCGGGTGGAGCCCAGCCCTGCGGCGTGCCCGAGGGAAGGCCGAGCTTTATGGGTCTCCCGGGGTCAGTGTGAACAACGGGGGGGCGGGGGGCCCCATCAGAGTAGGACTTTCCGTCTCTGACGCCACTGGCGGCTTTCGCGGGGGCCCTGGGTATTCCTGTCTCAAAAGCCAACTCGGGAGCCACGTGGCGCCGCCACACTTAGGGCCTTGCCTGCGCCCGCTGGCCGAGGCCGCGCCTCTCCCGGCGTGGGGAGAGCTGCTCCGAGGCCTCGGTCGCTTCACCTCGTGGGACTCCCTGCGCGTGCGGCCCCGGGCGGCTGGGCAGGCTGCAGCGGCACCTCAGGGCCACCCACTGCGCCCAGTGCCTGGGGCGCCTGCTGAAGGGCCGGGTGAGTAAGGCGCGAAGCTCCTGCCGCTGTCACGGGTTTGGGGGGCCGCAGACGGCAGCCTCTGCCTGTCCTGAGCCAGCTCGGGACCGGAGCCGGCTGCCACGCACCCGCTGCGGGCCCCTGTGTCGCGGGAGTTCCCGCCACCGGCCCCGGCAGCGCGGGAGAAGCCACGCAGGGAGAGGCGCCGTGCTGGCCCCTGCTGGCCGCTCCCCCGTGTGCGCAGGGCGCGGTGGGTGTCGGGGTGGTGGGTGCCCGCGTGGCCCGCCAGGGGCAGGCTGGCTGCGGGAACCCTGCCGCCCACTGCACCAGGCTGGCACTGACCCCCTGCGAATGGGAGCAGCAGGGCCGCTGCTTGCCCCGGGCCCCGGGCCTGTCGGGAACGTGTGGAGAGGCTGCTCCTGCGAGCGGGGCGGCCTGGAGCGCGTGGGCGGCTGTGCGGCTGAGACTCCGAGGGAGGGGCCGGCGGCGGGCGGGGAGCTGTTTCTCAGGAACAGCCGGCGCTGGTGGGGGTGGGGGGTCACGGCGGAGGAGCGCGCGTCCCGAGCTGCGGGGCCGGCGCGGGCGCCCCACCTGGCCAGACACCCCAGCCATCCCGGCCAGGCCCCCCGCGAGCTCCCGCTGGGGAGGCTGCGCGCACTGGGCTTGTTTCGGCCTCACGTCAGCGTCACGGGTTTATTCGCGGCTTGGCCTGGCCACCCTCCGGGACACAGGCTCCGGCTCCGGAAGCCAAACGTTTGCACGGGAGGGTCCAGAGTTGGGGGCTTGAAAGTGCAAAGTGCAGCGGAGGGAGGGGCCCTGGCAGCGCCCAGCTCCTCCTGGGCCCGAGGTCCACCTGGGAGGGAGCCGGAGCCCGCGGCCCAGTTTTCTCTCCCCTCAACCGGGTCTGGGCCCCCGCCTGGGCAGGGTGGCAGCTCTGGGGCGCGCAGGGCGCTGCAGGCCCGCTGTTCCCCCGCCTTTCCAGCCAGGCGGGGCCTCTGCGCCCTCTGGCTGGGGACCGAGCGGGTGTGGCTGGGGCGTGGCGGGAGAGAGAGACGAGGGTGTTCGCAGGGGTCAGCTCAGTGCCCTGACGGGGGCAGCCCGGCTCTTCGGGGAGAGGGAGGGCCACGGGCAGGCCTGCGGCTTCGGCGGGGGCGGGGCCCTTCCAGGTCAGCGCGGCCACCTCATCCTGAGGACGGGCCGAGGCCAGCCGCGACCTCGAGCCCAAGTTCTCCGGGGCCGGCAGCCCAGGACGGGCACCCCGCTGCGGTCAGGCTGGTGCGGGCTGGTGTGGGGCCTCCGCGCGGCCTCGCTCTCCTGCGGTTGCGGGGGTGCCCCAGGAGCCAGGTGGGGGGCGCCAAGGGCTCCTCGGCCCCACGGGAGCCGGGCCTGGCTGGCCACACAAGGGCCAGGGACCCACGGGATGGCGCCGGGACCTCGGGCCATTTCGCCTGCTCCGTCAGGGCCACGTGGGCCAGCCGTGCCCACGCATGTCTCCTCCCACGGGGGCCTGAGTTGGGGCGGACAGAGGGACGGACCAGTTACCGTGGGCGTCCGAGAGGGAGCAAGCGCCAGCCCCGGCCCTCCCCGCGCTGGTCCCTCGGGCACACGCCGCTCCTCCCGAAGCCCAGCGGCCTCTCGCCCTGCTGCGCCCAGTCCCCTCCCCCGCGGCAAGTGGCCTGCAAGTCCCAGCTTCCTCACGGGGGCCCCCCAGAGCAGACAGGAGCGCCCCCGCAAGACTGACCTCGTCTGGACTCGGCCCTACGGCCAGGCTCGCCCGTGGCGCTGGGACCTGGTGGCGGCTCCGGGGCTCCCGCCTGTCCCCGCCGGGAAAGGGGCGTCCTCGGAGGAGGGGAGTCCACTAGCAGTCCACATCCTGCAGCTCCAGCACCTCCACCGCGCTCTCTGCCGAGACAGCCGGGGTCACCCTCACGTAGCCCCTGCGGGCCCCGCGCCCGGCCCCGCCTCACCTTTGAGCGCGCGCCTTCTCCCGGCCCGGAGCTTGTAGGCGCAGCGGTTGCAAACCCACAGGAGGCTGACGAGCACGGCGGCCACCGCGGCCAGCAGCGCCAGGAAGACGGCCACGAAGTGCAGGTCTTCGTACAGGACCTCTGGGGGGACGGCGTCTCAGCACCGCGCCAGCCCCCGCCCCCGCCCCCCGGCGCGCTCACCTGACACCTGCAGCGCGATGGTGCCGAAGCGGCTGCCCCCCCGGCGCTCGGTCACGGTCACCACGTAGTAGCCGGCGTCCGGCACGCCCACGCCGAGCAGCTGCAGCGAGCCGTTGGGGAAGGTGCACACCCGGCCCCGGTGGCTGCGGGACACGTTGGCCGGGCCCCCCGGCGCCCACGCCGCGACGGTGCGCTGGCCCCGGGGCGACGCGTGCCTCCACTCGATGGTGGGCACGCCCTCGCAGGCGTAGTCCACGGACAGCAGCACGTCCTCCGCCGCCGAGGCGTTGATGGCCGGCTGCGGGATGTACAGGGACACGCCCGGGCCTGCGGGGAGACCGGGTCAGGGCGGCCGGGGCCCATGCGTGGACACCGCGGAGGCCCTGGCAAGGACACGGCGCGTGCCGGGACTGGGGGTTGGGGCCCTGCGGCGCAGCGTGGCGTCCGGACACGGCACGTGGACACGGCCCGTTCACGGAGCCGGCGACTGGACAGACGCCCCCCAAGCAGTGCAGAAAATAAGCACTAAACCCCCAGCCACGCGCCCTCTCCCTCCTCAGCGCCCGCCCCGCCCCGCCTCCCCTGTCTGGACACCCAGGCCTCTGCCTCCGTGCAGGCCCTGCCCCCGGCCCCCGCCACCTGCAGGCCGGGAGGGGGTCCCGTTGAGGGGGCTGCCAGGCTCCCCGCGTCTGAGCCTCCCTGGGGGGCACCACGCTTGCCAGAGGCAGGTGGACCCCTGGGCCCCGCATCTGCTCCCTGCAGGGAAGGGGTGGGTGGCCAGCAGGCGCCAGGGCTGGCCCTGAGGGGGGGGCGCCACAGGGGGTGCTGGGGAAGGCTGTGCGCGAGCACGGACAGAGGGCCGGGCGTGGGGCCGGGAGGCCGGGCCCTGCTTTGTGGGGTCCTGTGTGTGGTCCCCAGCCGGGCGCCAGCCAGAGACCTGCCCAGGCCTGGAGGGCGCGTGGGGGGCGGCTGGGGGCGCGGCGGGAGCCCCATCCCGCCGGGCACCAGGCAGGAGCAGGCCCGGCGCGCGCGGGACCCGGGTCTGGTCGGCGGGAGGGCGTCCCCTGGGGGTCCGGCGCCTGCTGGGGGCCCCTGGGCCTGGGCTGGCCGGAGAGGGGGGGGGGGGGGGCGCGGACCCCGGCCTGCCCCTCCCCGACTCCCGGCTGCGCCCAGCGCCTGCGCCCCGCCCGGCCGCGCCCCGAAGCCCGGCGGCCCCGCCCCCCACCCGCCCGGCCCGCCCGGCCCGAGCCCCGACCCGTCCGCGGACTCGGACCGCGCCCCGAGACCCCGCCCGGCCCGCCGCGCCCGGCCCGCCCCGTCCCGTCACCGTGCGGGGGGCGCGCGGCCTGGGCCAGGCAGAGCGCGACGAGCCCCAGCGCCAGGGCCCGGGGCGGCCGCCGCATGAGCGGGCCCGGGGCGCGCCTCCCGGCCGCGGGCGGGGGGCGGGGGCGCCGGCGGGCGGGCGGGCGGGGCGGGAGAATGGACGGGCCCCCGCGCCCGCCGAGGCTCCGCGACTCCCGCGCCGGCCGGGAGGGCAGCGGCGTCTCCGGCCGGGCCGCGGCCTCGGGGGGGCGGGGGGCCGGGGGGGGCGGGCCCTGGGCGCGGCGGGCGGGGCGGGGCGGGGCGGGGCGGGAGCCGCGATGGCCTCACCCGCGCGGCCCCGCCGCGCCTCCGGCTCGGGGTTCCCCTCCAGCCCCCCTGCGCGCGCCCCAAGGTCCCGCCGGACACCCCCCGCCTGGAGAGCAGCCCCGGGCGCTGCCCGCCGGTCCGCAGCCGCCGCCCGGCCCGGGCAGCCGCGCCGCAGGCAGGGCCGGCCTGGCCTCCAGGGGGTCAGGGCCGACCTGGGGTGGACCGGCCGCAGGCGCCCCGCGGCCCGGCTCCCGCCCGCACCCGCGGAGGCCCCTCTCCAGGGGGCGGCCTGTGTCTCAGGCGCCCGCCCTGCGCACCCCAGGCAGGCCCCGGCCCAGGGAGCCCTGCAGGCGGCCGGCCATGGGCGTCGCCGTGTCCTCGGGCCTGTCCCAGCCGTGGGGTCCCGGACCCCGCGGCAGAGCAGCTGCAGGGCCCCTCGGCCTCCCCGGGGCCGACCACAGCGGGGCGTGTGAGGAGCCCCGGCAGGCGGGGGCTGCCTGGCCACGCGTGGATAGTGGCCACCCAGGTCTCCGGCCGGCAGGGCCCGGGGGCAGCCGCCACAGCCGCCGCCCGTGGTGACATTCACGCCCCAGTGGGGGTCTGAGAGCCGGGGCCCCGCAGTGGGCAGAGGGGCGCTCCGCCCCGGGGGCCGCGGCCCAATGGTGCCCGCTAGAGGGGGCCAGCCCAGGCGGCCCGGCTGCCCGTGGCTCCAACATGGCGCCCTCGGGACGTGGCCAGGCCTGCGACAGCGCGGCTCCGGCTGGTCATGCTGGCGCTTGAATGCCCAGGCCGGGGGCAGCGGGTTTGCCCAACGTGACGCAGAGGTAAACTCCAGGGGCCCCTGCCCCACACCGTTCCCCACGAGGGGCCCTTGGGAGGGGGCAGTGGCGGCGCGGGGAGAGGCCACGGAGGGGCTGCAGCCACGGCCGGCCGCGCTTCGGGGGACACAGGGCGCCGCGGCCACATGTGTGGACACGGACACCCCGCCTGGCCCAGGAGGCTCCAGGGCCTGAGCAGCGCAGGTGGCCGCCCGGCAGAGGGCGAACAGGCGGGCGTGCGCCCCGCTCACTGGCCAAGTGCCCCGAGAACCGGAGCTGCCCAGGCAGAGCCAGGCGAGTGCGCCCACCTGGGGCCCGGGCCTGGTCAGGACCCCTCGGGGGGCAGCTCCCTGGACGGCCCGCGCCAGCCCCGCCCCAGCGTCTGGGGCCCGGAGACCAGGAGGCCGGCGGTGGGCCACGGGCTCTGCTCTGCGCCGGCGTTCCCGAGTGTGAGGACAGAGGGGCCGCGGCGCTGCACCACGCTAGCCCGGAGGGAGGAGCCCAGAGGGACAGGAGCCCCGAGGGAGGCCTCTCTGGGTCGGGCCTGCGGGGTGGGGCAGCCTGGCCTTTCTCCTGCCCCGGCTGGGTATGCCAGCGGCCCCACGGCGGATGCTCCAGCTGCTTCTGTCTGTGAGGTGGGGGGGGGGGCAGCCCCGGGGCAGTGCTGGCTCGGCCAGGCCAGGGGCTCTGCTGGTGGGGGCTGGCCTGGCAGGGGCACCCAGTGCCCTGTGTGAGCACCGGGGCTCCTGGCCGGGCTCGCTGCCCCCCGGGCCCATCTCTCCCAGAGCCCAGACCCCAGCGAGGCAGCGGGGTGGGGAGGGGGCGGCGGGCGAGTACCGCTCTGGCTGCACGGGTGGGCGCGGCGAGGTGCCCCTGGCTCTGGGAGGGTCCGGGGGGGCCGTGAGGCAGGATGCCCAGGGCCCACTGGGGGTCTGGGTGAGGATGGTGCTGTCACGCCAACCCTCTGGGCCACAGCAGGGGGCTGTCCTCTGGACATGGTCACTTGGGGCCTAGGAGTCCACACCCCCGGGGTCCCCCAGACTTGTCTTCCCAGAGCGCTGCCTGGCACCGGCCGCATACCCATCAGTGCCCACCGCCGCAGACCCGGGTTACTTCCCGGCTGCCTCTCGGTGCGGGGGAGGGAGCAGGCCCAGCTCCCGGCGCCCTAGGCAGCCCAATTCCAGCCCGGCCTGTGGGGGGTCAGCACAGCCCCACACGGTGCTCCCCACCGTGCGCTCCAGGGGGAAAGGGGATGCTTCAAAGAAACACGCATGGGTCAAAGGAGAAATCCTTTACTGAAACGCTGACCCGGCCGCTCCGGCGCGCCAGCTGCCCGCCCACAGGCCCCGGACAAGGCTCTCGCCGGGAGGAGCCGCCTGAACCCCTGGCCGAGCCACGATTATCAAGCGTGTGGTGGCAGCTGGCGTCAGGGCCGCAGGAAGCCGACTGGGGGTGCTCCCTGGCGGAGACCTGGGGCCCCCCGAACACCCGGCACCCTGGCCTAGGAGAAGCCCCCCCGCCCCCCTGCTCCAGCTGGCCTGCAGGCTCCCTGCCCAGCGCGCCCGCTCTGGAGCCTGAGCTGAGCCTGGCTGGCCCCCGGCCTCCCCACGCCGTGTCCACGGCAGCCCAGGAGCCTGCACGCAGGACCAGCAACCCCTCCGCCCACGCTCAGCCAGCCCGGCCCTGGCACCGAGCCCCGCAGCCCAGGGCCCGTGTGGAGGCCGAGCCGTCAGCGCCGAGGCACGTGGGCACCCGGCAGCCCCACGGGGGCTGCTCTACCTCGGCCAGCCACGGACACACTGGCCCCAGCCCCACCCTTCCTTGGCCTGCGCCACAGGGCCAGATGCAGCGGGACGGCCGAGGCCGCGTGGGTGCTGGACGGCCGGCGGAGCAGGGAGCCCTCGGGTGTCCTGGGCTCCCCAGTGGTGGCAGCGGCTGTGCACGCGTGAGGGAGGCTGGGCCGGGATGTGGCGCCGAAGGGTGTTCGTGCCCTTGCGCCCCTCCAGGCCCGGTGCTGGCCCAGCCTCGCCTGGCGGCCCGGCGGTACAAGACAGACCTGCCCCCAGGCTGGAGACAGCACAGCAGACTCTCCCGTGTGCCCGCCCCCACAGCGCCAGGCCAGAGCTGGGGGGGTTTCTGGTTGACTGTCCAGGACCCAGGGCTCCCCGGGCTGGCTTGGCAGGGGTTGGCAGCAGAGGGGACAGCGGGAGGGAAAGCCGGTCAGGAGAGCAGACCAGGCCTCACCCGGGAGGGCCTTTGCCGCCACCCGCCACCCCCAGGGGGTGCCCGCCTGTGCCCACAAGGCTGTAGGCACGGGGCGCGGCCGAGGCTCTGGTGCCCGACTCCAGAGAGGCGGCCGGCCCAGCCCAGCGGCCGGAGAGGTGGGGCTTGGCCTCGGCCTAGGCAGTGGCCCTCCTGCCGCTGGCAAAGAGCAGGCTCGGGGGCCTCCCACGCCGCCTGGGGGAGCCAGGCCTGGGAACTCTGCTGCGTCTCAATAAAGAGAGAAGAAATGGAGAAAATCTGAAATGAGGGGATGACGCAGCAGCAGAGACGGCTCAGGAGCCAGAGGGGGCCCGCACGGCGCTCCCGCCCTCCCAGAAGACGCCTCTGGGCAGAGGTGAGAGCCCAGGCCTGGGGGGGCAGTGAAGGCCCCCATGGCTACTACCCCCGCCCCCCGGCAGGCCCAGGGGGCGCAGGCTGGCTCCCGGTCGAGAGGCCACGCAGGAGGCCACGCTCCGGGACCGGGTTTGCCTGGTGTGAGCGGCGCGGGGCCGGCAGACCCGTCGAGCGCCGAATCCTGCCCTCCGCCCCGCCGCGAGGCCTTCCTTTGGTTTCCTTCAAACATCTGTGAAAAGCGTCCTCGGGCCTCCGCGCGCCGTCCGTCCGCGACCTGCGGGTCTCGGGCCGCTAGATGAGCACCTCCACCATCTCGCTGTCGGGGAACTCGGCCCGGTGCGGCTGGCTGCCCGCGCGGCCCCGGAGCTCCGGCGGCTTCCCGTGGCCCGGCCCGCTCTCTGCCAACAGGAGGCGGGTCAGCCGGCCCGGGCGCCCCAGCGGGAGAGCCACACGCCCCCGGCGCCGGACACGACGCAGCAGGAGGGGTGAGAGGACCGGGGCCCACTCCCCGCTCCCACGGGTCCCCGCTTTTCTAGGAAAAGCGCACCCCAAGAGCGACACCCCAACGCGGCACCGCCGCCACACTCGTCTGCTCCGGATGAAGCAGAATCCCCGGGACCCGCTGCCTCTGGCCCGAGCCCCGGCCACCTGCCCCACGGGGACGCCCACGGTGCAGCCGCCCCGGCCCCGACCCTCCCGCAGGCTTCCCCGCGGCCCCTCTGCCTTCACGCAGCACGGGGCCCGGCGGCCAGCCGCCCCCACCCCCCACCCCCAGCCAGGCTGGGCATGCTGGGTGCCGGGGCCCCAGCCTCCGCCGGGGTCAGTCCCCACCCCTGGGGCCGCCACACGCAGGCAGGTCAGCAGCGTCCACGTGCTGGAGAACGTGGGTGACCCGGCTGGGGTGACCATGACAGACCCCCCCAGGTCCCTCCCCAGCCAGAGCACCCGCGGGGGCGGTACCTTTGGTGGGGGGGTGCTTCAGCCCTGGGCTGCTGGCCGGAGGCCCGCTCAGCCGTCCGCGGCCGGGCAGCGAGGCCACGTGGGGCCAGAAGAGCTCGGAGCCCTTGTCAGTCTGCGTGCTGCTGTCCCTGCTGCCCGTCTTGGTGTGGGCGCTGCCGGTGGGCGCGGTGGCGGCGGGCGGGGCGGGCAGTGGGGGGTGCTCCCGCCCCAGCAGCAGCCCTGGGGGCAGAGGAGCAGGTTGGTCTTCCTCGAGCGCAGAAGCGGGGCGCGGGCGGGGGCTCGCGGGCCCAGGGGCTGGCGCGGGGGGGCTCTGCACCGAGGGCTCTGCTCTCGGTCACCTCCACTTTCCACAGCGTCGATGGCGGGGCCCAGGCGGCAGGAGCAGCCGCCGCCGCGGGGACGGGGCGCCCGGAGCCCGTGTCTCACAACGGGCAGGCCCAGCCCCGGGGACACGCCGAGCCGGCCTCACCTGCGCTGCCCTTCCACGGCCGCTCCTCCCGCCGCTCGTCCAGCTGGCCGCCGCTCAGCGAGGCCTGGCGGGAGTGCGTGCCGGCGGCCGCGGCGATGGACGGGACGGAGCGGGCGGGCCGGAGGCTGGCGGCGTCCGCCCGGGCCGCGTCCTTGCGGGACCGCTGCTGGAGGACCTTGATCATGGCGTCCTTCTCGATGATCTTGGCGTGGAGGTTCTTAATTCTGGGCGGCGAGACAGAAGGAACCGCTGGGCTCACGCGCCACCCGGGGCGGGTGCCGGGGCATCCCCGACGGCGGGGCGGGGGGTGCCCAGAAGCCCCGCGCAGAAGGCGTCTGCTGAGTCAGGCCCCCCGTTTTCCGAGACTAGTCTTTACAAGATGGACGAGGGCGGAGGGCCCCGGGAGGGCAGTGGCCGGCAGGGCGTGGGGCCCACGGGCAGTGCTGCCGCGGCCGCCCCTGCTGGCTGGAGCAGACCCCACCGAGCACCGGGCCTCAGGTCCGGACACCTGACGTCTCTGCCCCCCGCGGCCGGCGCCTGGCCTGAAGTGGCCCTGGGGACCCCGGGGCAGCCTGGCGAGGGCCAGTGCTCACGTGAACTCCATGTCCTGGCACCGCCGGGCGGCCTGCGCCGCCTCCTCCTCCGGCCAGGCGTGGGCCTCCAGCGAGCTGTCGCCGTCGCTGCCGCTGCGGGAGTGGGCGGCCGGGGCGGTGTCTCTGCGGCGGGACACGGGGCGGCGCCGTGAGCGTCTCGCGCGAGGGCGGAGGGAAAGCAGCGGGGTGGCCCCACGTCCAGAGCTGTCCCCGGCCACGGCCCCCGCAGAGCCCGGGCCGCGCGGCGTCACGGAGGTCCTGGCGCGGGGCAGACGTGCCAGACCGTGGCCGGGCCGGGAGCGCGTCCTCGGAGACGAAGCCCCGGCGCCCGCGAGTCTGTCGTGGGAGGCGCCCCTCGCCCTGCGGCCCGGGACGGAGGGCGGCCCTCGCGCCACCCGCCGGCTCCCGCCCGCTGCCCGGCCTGGGGGACGCACCTCTCGGCGGTGGCGGCGGCCGCGGCGCTCATGGCAAAGTGGCGGATGGCGCTCTCCTCCAGGCACTTCTGCTCCCACCGGGTGGTGTCGGCCTCCAGGGCCAGGATCCGCTCCTCCTTCTCCCTCACCAGCTCCATGAGGGCCGGCGCGCTGCACTCCGCGGGCACGCTGGCCGGCCGGCCGTTCCCGTGCTTCTGGAGACGGGGAGGGCAGGCTGCACCGCGGGGCCGACAGGGCAGCGGGCGCTGGTCACAGCAGACGCCCAGCCCAGCAGGCAGAAGCGACTGACCTCGGCACGGGCCCCGGTGCAGCCCCGAGGCACGGCGCAGAGGGGCTGCCCCGGGCGAGGGCCCCCAGGGGCGCAGAGACCCCGGGGTCTGAAACAAAGCCCCCCACGCTCGGGGAGCTGCCTGGACTCCCCGACCTTCAGCCAGGCCCACGTCCCCCCCACCCCCTCCCCAACCAGCGTTCATGCCCCGTCCTGTCTGCCGACCCGCAGACCCCGCCCCGGGGAGCCGGTGCCACGGCAGCCGCCGTCCAGGCTCACCGCGAGCCCCGGCCCCGTGGCCGCCGCCTCACCTGCTGGGCCCTCAGCGCCTCCAGCTCCCGCTCCAGCCAGGCGCGCAGCCGCCGCTCCATCTGCTCCCGCTTCTCGCAGGCGGCCTGCAGCTGGGTCAGGGCCTGCTGCAGCTTCTCCACCTTCTCCACGTAGGCCTGCTTCTCCCGGAGCTGCGGGGACGCGGGCGTGGGCTCAGGGCCGAGGGGGCAGAGGCCGCGGCCGACGCGAAGCCCACGGGCAGCCCCGCCCCGGCCAGGAGAGCTGGGCCGGGAGGCTCGGGCAGAGGCAGCCCCTGGCACCAGGTCGGGCACGAGACCCGGCTGCTGGCCCCACCCTCAGCCGGACACCCGCAGGGCCTGAGTCTGCGCCTGGCCTCAAGACGCTTAGCAGCTGCGGGCGCGAGAACACGGAGGGGTGGGACTTGGGGGCACTACGGGCAATGCTTGTTCTACGCCATTGACTGAAAAACCCAGAATCGGGTGCGGACAGCAGACCCGGCCGAGGGTCCTGCGCCGCGGGGGCGGGCGGGGCATAGAGCCCGAGGCATGGGGGGGGGGGAGCAGGGGGCGACGAGCCTCTGTGCTGCCCTCGCTTCCGTGTTTGCAGCGTCTGCCGCCGTCGCCCCTGCAGAACCCGCGCCCCAGGCGTGAGCGGAGCCGCCCACCTTCCCCTGCAGGCTGCCAGCGTCGCCCGGGCTCTCGCGGGGAGGCCGGCGGCCGGGGAGCAGGCGGGGAGGGCGGCGGGACTACCGTCCACCGGGTGCCGGGTCTGCTCGACAAGCCACGACTCCACCGGGGTCCAGCCACATCCGTGACCCCAGGCGCATTCCCCACCTCTGGGCGCCGCCGAGGCGCTCCCTCCCTGGTCTGGGGAGGAGGCACTGAGGGCCCAGGGAGCGCGGCCTCGAGGGCGGCCCGCCGTCCCGGCCGGGCTGCAGGACACGCAGGCGGGACCCGCTGACGACTCCCGGCCCCAGCCTGGAAAATGGAGGCGCTTCTGTCCTCTGGGGCGGCCACGGCACAGCCCCTCGGCGTGCGGCGCGAAGGTGAGCCGCAGCCCCGGCCGCTGGACAGGCCGCCGGTGGGCCCGGGGTCCCGAGCAGGGACAAGAGCCACCACGGCGGCCGGAAACTCGCTCTCGCGGGGCCCCTCGGGCGGCAGGTCTGGTGAGACCCGCAGCCGCCGCTGGCCGGGAGCAGACGGCAGGCGCGGCCCCGGGAACCACCCGACTTTGCTCTTTCCAGGCAGCCGAGGGCCTCACGCCGCAGCTGCCCCGAGGCCGAGGAGACGAGGCCGGGAGCGGAGGACGGAGCGCGCGGTGTCCCTGCGGCGGGCGGCGCCGGAGCCGACGTTGCCCCGTGTCCGTGCGGATCAAACGAGGTGGGAAAAACCCTTGGAAAGCGCAAGAGCCGCCCCGTGAGAATTTCTCTTCGTGCCACACGCGGGGGCGGAAGCGCGGCGGGACTCGCGCCTGGTGGGGTCCCGGCCTCTCCCTCCAGGGGCTGCGGGCGCAGCGGTGCCCGCGGCGAGTCCTGCTCCCGGCTTTTCTCCCCAGAGCGGCGCCGACTCGAGCTTGAGGCCGCGGCCCGCGGGCCCCGCGGCGGCTCCCAGCGGCGGCCACCGCAGCCGGGTCACGGCAGCTGCAGGAGCGCGGGCCGGCCTCGGGGCTGGGGGCGTCTGCCCCACAGAACCCCACAGGAAGGGCCGATTCACCAGAAACCACGGACGCAAACGCGAAGGGGCACCTGGCGCGGCCTCCCAGCCTCACTCACTGCAGCCGGGCACCGGCCAGGCGGCCGGCGGGCGGGCGGCTCACGGTGCCCTCAGTCGGCCCGGCTCCGGGTTACGCGCCCTCCCTGCCCTGACTCGTCGTCTGGGAGGCCCCCGCGCCCGGCCCGGCCCGAGTCCTGGGGCTTGGCTCCGGCTGGGGCGTCGGGTTGGGGGGACACGCGCCCGAGGGCTGCCCCCGCCTCACCTCCTCCTCCAGCTTGATGACCCGCGCCTGGGCGTTGCTCAGAGCCTGGTCCAGGACCTCGATGTGTCTGCGGTGCTCCTCCCTCGCCGTCCGCACGGCCGCGAGCTCCATCTCCAGCTTCTCCTTCTCCTTCAAGAATTCTCTGTCTGGAAGGGAGGCCAAACAGACCCTCTGAGCGTGCCCCGCGGCCCCCGGCCCGTCGGCAGCCGGGAGAAAGGACGGAGCAGGCGGGAGGGGGAGGTCGCAGCGGCCGTGGGGGGCTTCTCGGGAGCACAGGGCCCTGCGCTCGGCCTGCTCCTGCCGCAGGTCCCTTCCTCCGGGCCCGGGGGGCCCCAGCCCCCTGCAGCCGTCCTCAGCGGCCTGAGCATCAGGCCCTCGGCGCGGGGCGGGAGGCTCGTGGAAGAGGCCGCCGCTGGGGAGGCGGGTGGGTCCTGAGCTGAAGGAGCCCAGCTCGGCGGCCCAGCTTTGAGGGGGAACTAGGAGCATCCCCTGATTCAGGGCCTGGCAGCCAGGCCACGACACCCCTCAGCGCCTTTAAGCCTGACCCCCAGAACAGCTCCCGCAGGGGCCCCGCTGAGCCGGCCACCGTCCCCGTGCGTCCCGGGTGTCAGCACGGGCTGGAGCCTCGCACAGCAGGTGACCCCGGCTCCTCTGGGGGCCCAGGGCGTGATGGGGAGACAGAGGAGGGCAGGGCCAGCACCACCCACTGCCATGTGCGCGCCCGGGGACTCACTCTGGCACGCGTGCAGCCCCTCCACGGCTCTGTCTTCCTGGCCCGACAGCTGCCTGCTGGCCGTCTCCAGCCGGTCTGCAGGAGAGGACGGTCAGGGACAGTGCGGGAGCCCCACGGGGGGTGGGTGGGTGGGGTACATAGTAGCAGCAGCTCAGCTGGGGCCACGCGCCCCCCCAACTGCGAGGACCCGCAGACCCTGCCTGCTCCGCCCGCCCTTGCGATCGGCTCCCCGCGCCTCCTGCAAACCCGGCCGCGCCTCCCTGCGTTTTAGCCCGACTGGTGTCCCCATTTGGAACCAAAAAAAACCCCACAGCCCCCCACGCCCCAGGAAAATGACGCGCTGACAAGGCGGGGCTGTCAGTCCACCTGCCCCTCGCCCGCATCCGCCCTCCTACGGCTCTGCGCTGGGCTCTGGCACCCTGTGGGGGGCTGCGGGCACGGGGCGGGGGGAGCCCTGGGGCGCCTCGTGGGTGGGGCTGGGGTGGCCGCACGTGCCTCGCAGGTCCCTGTTGAAATCGTGGAGCCTCCGGATCTCGCCCTCCAGCCTGTTCCTCATGGCCTTGTCCAGGGACTCCCGCTTGCTGGTGGACTCGACCAGGCTCTCGTAGGCGTCGGAGATGCGCTGCAGCTCCTTCTCAAACTGCGGGCGGCGGCGGCGCAAGTGAGAACCGACGGCGCACTGACCAGCAGGGGCGTGTCCACCACCCAGCCCCCGTAGGGCCCCAGCGCCGGGCAGTGGGCAGGCCGCGGCGTGAGGGCCCGCGGTGGGAGCAGCGTCCGCCTTCAGCCTGCACGGAAGGGCCCCCCCGCGCCCCGCCCTTGTGCAGGGCGCGCACCTTGTGCAGCTTGTCGGCGCTGTCGTAGTGGCCCTGCAGCTCCTGGTGCAGTGCCCGGTTCTCCTCCGTCAGGATCTCCACCATCTGCTGGGCTCGCTCCACGATGGCGAAGGCGTCGGGGCCGAGCTGCGGGCTGGGGGAGGTGGCGGGCGGGGCCGGCGGGGCGCCCAGGGCCACGGGCAGGGGCAGAGGCAGCGGCAGGGAGACCGAATGCAGCGGCCCGCTGACACTGACCGAGGACGCCTGCGAGGACCCGGAGCTGTGCGGCTGCGCCGTGGACGGGAAGGGGAGCTGGCACGGGCGGCTGCAGGGAAGGGGCACGGTCGGAGCCAGGGAGCCATGCGGCGGGCACCCCAACCTGGGCCGGGGGTCAACGGCGCCAGGCCCCGCCTCACCCCCAGACATCTAGACTAGGAGACGCCCGGATGTGTTCCCTCAGGGGGACAAGCCCATGGCCGCCGGGCCTCCCCCACTGCCCCCATCCTCTCTAGGGGGGAGTCCCCCGAACCGCTGCCTTTTCTACGACCCTGTCTCGGGTGTGTGGGGAGGGGGCCGGCCAGCCTGAGAGCCGGGGGCAGCCGGCCCGGGGGGGGGCCTGGGCAGAGCATGGGCCCACCTGCCAGGCCAGGCGCTGGGGCAACCCTCCGGCCTTGACCCCATGCCCGCGGCCTGTCCGCTGGGCCCCTGGGCAAGATGCACCAACCCTCGGGGAGACTTGCATCTTGGGGCCCCGAGGTCAAAGGCCATGCTGCACGGACGACCCTTGCTGCCCCACGGCGGGAGCTGCCGGGTTCCTCAGAAGGCAGCCCAGAGGGATTTCTTGGGGTCGCTGAGTTTTGCTCAACCGGTCGTGGAAACCCGAGTTCTGAAGCTCCGGGCCTGCTGCTGGCTCCAGCCCCTCCAGGCCAGGCCCGGAAAGGGGTTCAGACCCTGCACCGTCCTCCTGCGTCCTGACGTGGGACCCCTGAACGCTCTCCAGGCTGAGGGTGGAGCCCCCTGCCCCTCCCTGACCACTCCCGGGCCAGCCAGTGCCGCCCGAGCGCGAGCAGCCTAGGATGCGGCCGGCGAGGCGCCTCGCACACGCACAACCCCCAGCGCCTCCGCCAACCGCTGGGACGCCCCCTCGGCTCTGGCTGCACAACCTGCCCAGCGTGGCTGAGAGCACACGCTCGAGAGAGCCGTCCCAGGGACGTGGCCCAGGGTGTAGCCCGGCGAGCCGCGGGGCGCACTCACCTGGTCACCCCGTACTCGGGCGGCGGCTGATAGTGCAGGACGGCCACCTCTGTCCTGGCGGGCTGTGGGCCGGGGTAGGGCTTGCCCATGTCATGCAGCACCCCGGGGTGCTGGTCGGCGAAGAGCAAGCCGTGCTCCTGGGGCTTGTTGACCGGGGACATCAGAGGTTTGGCCTTGAAGGGGTACTCAGGCGGGGGGCCTCGGGGGTCCAGCGCTTTCCCCGCCGGCGGGCCAGGAGTGGGACCAGCTGGGAAGACCTTGCCGCCGGCCGGGAGGAGCTGCTTGGGGCCGCTGCGCTCCAGGGACAGCTGCATGAGCCGCTCGCTCAGGGAGCGCACGTGGCCCTGCTTCAGCTCCTTCAGCGCCTCGTCCTGGTGCGCGTGGCCACTGGGTGCCCGGGCCGCCGCGGGCCTGCCCTCCGTGCGGGCCTTCTGGCCGCCGCCGCCTGCCAGGTAGTAGCCGTGGCCCACGGCGCCAGGCGGTGGCGGCCCCCGGAAAAACTGGGACTGGGCCTTGGCCTCCTCGTAGGTGGGCAGCTCCTCGCCGCTCTGCGGGGGCTGGGTGGCCCGGGCCTGCTTCTCCATGGCCGTGCCGTCCACCTGGTGCTCCTCACCCTGCGGCTCCTGGCGCGCCGACTGCTGGACCATCTGTGGGCCTTCTGGCGGGAGGCTTTCCGTGGAGGGAAGGCCGGAGGCCGGCCGGGCCGGCCCTGCGCTCCCCGAGGCCTGGTGCTGGATGGCCAGCAGGCTCATGTTCTCGGCCGGGGCGCCATAGCGCAGCTGCTCCTGGATCAGGCGCTGCAACACTGTCCCGGCGGCCGCCTCCTCGGGCCCTCTCATCTCCACCTCCGGGGTGCCCGGGAACTCGCACAGCGGGGCCGCCACTGCAAGAGGGACCGAGGGGGCGTGAGGCGGCCGGCCGAGAGCAGGGGCCACGCCGTCCGCCAGGACCCGCCGCCCACCAGGACCCGCCGGGGCCCGCGCCCTCCCTGGGTGGTGCTGCGTTCCGGGGGCCACTCGCACGCCCGCCCCCGCTCCATCACCCGCACATGCCGAGTCTTCCGCATCTCAGCAAAACGCAAGCAGAAACCGAAATCACAGAAAAAGCGGCGGCCGCCCTGCCCTCCCCTGCCGCCCTTCTCGCGCTCCGGCCCCGCCCGCCTCATCCCTGCCCGCCCTCGCTGGGCTGCTGACGGGCTTCCTGCGGCCCCGCCCGGCCACCTCCTGGCCTCGCAGCCTCCCGAGTTCCTTCCTCCGACACCGTCTCCCCGTCACGGGCGCGGGGCGTCGCTGCAGCCAGCGTGGCCCTCTCCGCCCCCCACATCAGGAAGCCACCGCCCAGCAGCTGTGTGTGTGCCAGTGGGAGAGGGGCCCGGAGGCGCCGGGCCCAGGGCGGGAGGGACACGCCATGGCGTCTGTCCGGGGCCGCAGAGACAACCACCCTGTGCTCCTGGGGGTGTTGGTGTCCTGGCCCCTGGTCAAGGGCCAGCGCCCACGCGGCACCCTGGGGGGCTTGTGCATGCTGGCGGCCTCCTCAGAGCACTCTTTGTCCCTTCTGCAACACGCAAGGGCCCTCTGCTTCCCCCGGGGCGTGGAGATGGTCCCTCGCCGGGCTGCTCCCCGGGCCCAGGCTCGAAGGGCTTTACAGACCCAAGGGCTGGGTCCTAGGCTGCTGCAAATCACCCCGGGGCCCGGGCTTCCTGGGCTCCGGCCGTGCTGCTCTGCTCTGCGAGCCTTCGGCTTCACACCGGCTCAGGGCACGGCCGAAGCGTAATCCCCGGGGTTCCAACCTCCCAAGAACCGCCCGAAGGTCAGCGCGAAACACTCCAGGCCGCAGGAGCACAGTCTGCACCCAAGGAGCCGCCAAGTGGCTGTCGCCTGCGGGGAGGCCCAGGGAAGGCCAGGCGGGTGGCCGGCCCCCCAGTCTCTCTGCAAAGACCCCCGCTGCCCTCGGAGCCCAGCGCCCCAGGCTGCGGGCAGGAGCCCCAGGACACGTCTCACCCCAGGGAACGAGTCTGAGCTGGATGAGCAAATTCAAATAAAAAGCAACCTTCGGGAGAACACTTGAGCACAACCTGAAATAACGTATTTCCAAACGGAAATTCTGTTCTGGATGAGTAGCTGCAACTGCAGGACTGGCCGCCCCGCCACGGCCTCTGCCCAGAACGTCCCTAATTGGCTTTAAATGTTCCCTCATGGTTTCACCGATTTCAAAAGCCCTCAGAGGGGGCAGGAAGTCTCCACAAAGGAGACAGCTCCCTCCCTGATGTTCTGAGCTCCTCATTTATTTGCAAAAAAAGATAAAAAGGAAAGCAGAGAAAGGAAAAAAGGAGGTCAAAGATTCGGGAGAAGGACGCAACAAAGGACTCCAGATCAGAGCCCCACGTGGGCTGGGGGCCCCCAGGGCCTCTGCCGGGGAAGAGCCGGCACCGGCCTGGCCGCGGCCTGCAGCAGGTAAGACCCGCCGCCAGGCAGGCGCAGGGCAGAGACGCGCGGGCTGTGCAGAAGGGCCTCGCCCGGCCTCCCCACGCCGCTGCGGGGCTCACCGACTCTGTCCCTGAGGCCGCCGCCCGCCTCCACCGTCAGGGCCGCTGCGTCCTGCCGTCCGGGGTAGAGCTGGAAGCCTGGGAGGCAGCAGCCGGGGTCTTCTAGAACCGGGATGGGCGCCCCGGGGCCGTGGACAGCTGGAGGGGGGCCTGCGGGAAAGCAAAGCGCCCATCAGTGCCGCAAACCCCCACACCCTGTGAGTCAGGGGCCCACGCGCTGCTCCCCGCCACCCGCGGAGGGGGCTCCTGACTCGCCAGACCCGCTCGTGCGCCCAGGGGCAGTGGCCCAGCCGCCCGCCACACGGCCCGGAGGGCCACTGGTCCACGGTCAAGACCGGGCGCGAGGGCGCAGCCGCTCTGCACGGCCAGTTCTCGACCAGCAGCCAGGCCGGGGCGCCGGCCCAGCCGGGGGTGCTGACGGGCAGGAGCAGGTGCTGCCACTGCGAGGCCCGGCAGTCGGTCCCCGCCCAGCTGGACGGAGCCCCGGGGAGTGGGGCGGGGCGGGGCTGCCGGCCCCTGCTGCCCAAACACTGGCCCGGCCCGGGGGCTCAGCCGCAGGGCAGCCGCACGGGTTCTTGGCGCGGCCCCGCGCTCGGCTCTGTCGGGCAAAAGCAACGCCGCTGCCTCCGGAGAGTCACGTCACCTCATTTTACTTTTTCAGCTGACAACTGGCCCGAGAGCTGACTCATCAGAGGGGAAGGTCTTCCAGCGCTGGCCTCGCACTGGCCACCGAGTGTCTGGCTGGGTGTGTCACCGACCCTTCCCCACAAGGCCGGCGCCCGCGGCCGCAGGGGTGTCTGGGGCAGAGGGGAGCCCCCCTCCCCCTCTCTCTCCAGCGCCCGGCTGGTGTGGCTGAGGGGACGAGGGTGCACAAGGTGGAGGCCGCTAACGTGGCCGTGCTCTCAGCTCAGCCTTCCGTGGCGTGGGCCGGCGGGGTTCCCCGAGAGGGCTGAGAGGACGGTCCAGCCCGTGGCCTGCCGCAGCCTCCTCTGGCCGCCCTGGGGACCCGGCTCCCTCTGGGCCTCGCCCACGACGCTGAGTCTGGCCAGAGCTGGGCACACAGCCGCCGGGGCCAAGGCAAACCTGTGCGGCCGCAGCCATGGGGGTGGACATGCTGGTGGGAAACTGGGAGGAGCAAGACGCCGCCCCGGCCGAGCGTCTGTCTCTCGGATGGAGATCCTGGCGCCTCGCCCACTCGCGGCCTCTGCCGCACGGGAAGGGCCAGGGGCCAAGTCCATCCAGCCCCCATAGGTGAGGCTGCGGGGTGGGGGGGAGGGGGGCACTCACTGGGTGGGCACAAGAGCCTCCCTCCTGCAGCCCCACCCACTTGGCCCGAGGCCCGGCGGGTGGGGCCCGGGTTACCCAGCGAGGAGGCGGCAGCCATGAGACAAAGCAAGTCTGTCTCTGCACGACCCCAAGTGCACCTTTTCCATCTAACGGGCTCCACCTCGCATCCGCCCGACGCCTCACACGCTACGCGCTTGAGTTCTGAGGCCCCACGTTCATGTTCCAGGCCATTCCACCGTCCGCATGGGCCCGAGTCCTACCGCGCGTGCCCACGACCCAGCCCGCACGGCCCGCAGTGACCAGAGCCCAGAGCCAGGCGGGCCCCGCCCCACTCGGGCAGCCACGGCCGGGAGCACCGAGGGCCCCGTGGCCAGCGCTCGTCTCTGATGGCACCGGACTGGGGGGCGGTGGGCGTCCGCATCGACCCAGGTCCTGGGCGCCCTGAGGGGGCGGCTCTGGCCCTGAACGCACGGGCAGCCCCAGGCTCACGAGAGCCGCAACAGGAGACAGAAAACACCAGAACTGCGGGAGAAGGCTGAGGAGAAAAGCTTTGGACGCAGGCAAGACGTTCTCTGATGTGACAGCAAACAAGCGCCCTTCCCGAAAGGAAAAAGCATCTTTTACTGCACCGAGATGTAAACGTCCACCCCGCAGGAGCAGCGGCCGAGGATGGCAGGAACTGGCCCGACGGCGGGGGCCGCGGCCGGGGCCGGGGCGGGAGGGGGACGGGTTCTGCCCCGAGCAGACCGCGCCGCGGCAAAGCCCCCCACGCTGCGCCGAGAGCTCGTCACGCTCAGCAGCGAAAACGGAGACGGCGGGGCCGCAGCCCAGGGGCGCCCACGCGGCCTGAGGAGACGCGCCACGCCCGGCCACGGGGGCGCAGCGAGAGCCGGGGACGCGGGAGCGGCGCTGGGGCCGCCGGAACGAGAAGCGGGCGTGGGCAAGGCGGCCGAGAAGCTGGGGTCCGAGCTCGGCGCTGGGCTCCACCGCTGCGGCCACGCCGGACACGCACAGCCCGGCCGCTCCTCCGATGAGGCGCGTGGGCCTCTATCCCCAGCAATGACACCCACGTCGCCCAAAGACTGGGCGCGGGGCCCGCGGCGTCGGGAAACAGCCCGTGTCCTTCAGCAGGTGACCGGCCCCAAGCCACGGTCCGTCCACCCCCAGCACGGTCACCGCTCGGCAGGAGCAGCCGCGGACGCGTTGCCGGCAGGTGCGTCTCGGGCAGACGCCGGCCTGGGAGGCCACACGCTGCCCGGCTTGTGCCAGGACCACCGGGACTCTCGACGGAGAACAGACCCAGGGCCAGGCTCGGAGGGGGGGGGGGGACTCCCGGGGAGGCACAGGGAGACCCGGGGGCTGCGCGGAGCCGGGAGCCGCCCTCACCACGCGCCTGGCCCTGGGCTGGGCTCCAGCAAGTGCCCCGGGGCCGGGCCAGGACCTTCCCCCTGTGTGTGCGACCTCCTCTGGGGTACAAACCCCCCAAGAAAAGGCGGTTGTTTTTAAAGTGAACAAGACATAAGGCGCAGAGGAGAACGAGGCTGCCCTGCTTTGTAAAAAGCCGGATCCCCCCACTTAGAAGGGGCACAGCCACCTGCTCACGCCTGAGGGCTGACGCGCCTGCTCCTGCCGGGGGGACCCCGCGCCCAGGATGAGCACAGCGCAGGGCTCCGTCGGGCGGGGCGGCAGCAGGGAAGGGGCGGCCGGAGCACAGTGGCCAGCCTGCAGCCCCCCGACCCCCTGGGGGCACGGCTGCAGGGCACCTTCTGCCAAGACAAAGCAAAGTCACCCAACAAAGCAAAGGCGCAGACAGACCCCCTCCGGCTTCGGCAGCACGGATCACCCGGGGCGTCCTCTCCGCGACCTGCACACGACCAAGCAGCCTCTCGCGGGGGTTCGGGACGGAGGAGCCTCCGACCAAAGTTAATGAAAAACGACGAGGAGAACATTCACCGGGGACGCCAGGGATTCCAGGCCCGGCCCCGCGCAGACAGCCCGGCCGAGGCGCCGCGCGCGGTTTTATGGGTCTGTTGGCGTTTTACGACTCTCAGCAGCGATTCCCTTGGTCCACGCGCCACGGTACAGAAAGCAGCCCCCTCGCGGGGCAGCTCGTTTCCAGAAAGGGGGTGGGGGGCAGCTGGGGCCCCAGGGGCTCTGCTTCCTAACGGGCCCCCCAGCAGCCCCTCCCTCCAGGGACTCAGAGGCAGACGGGGCCTGTCCAGCAGGGGGGCGGCTGGCGGGGATAGCTCTGCCCGCCCAGAGCCAGGCGGCCGGCCAAGGGCGGGCAGCGGTGGGTGGCAGGGCCTCCGCCCGGAGCCCCTCACGCTTCCGCACCCACAGCCCGTGCGCTGCCCTGGGACCCGCGTGTTACGCCCTGACCCCCGCGTGCCGCTGAGCACCCGCTCCCCCGCCCTCCGCGCAGGACCGAGAGACCAAGAACTTCTGAGGCTTTGAGAGGGGGGTGCTGGAGCGCGCCCCTCCCTGCTAAGCACGAAGGGCTTAGCCCTCTCACAAAGCAGAGGTGGCCCCCAAGGAAAGCCTGACCCCACGCCCCGGGGGTGTCGGATGCTCTGCATTCACCCCAGGCCTCTGGTCAGTGCCTGCCGCCCCCCGGGGTCCTGCGGGGCAGATGGGCCCATGGGTCGCCCCCCACCACCCAGAGCGTGCTGGGGATGCGGCGGCCAGCACCCCCTCGCTGGGGCAAACCTCACTGGGTTCCGGGGGGCCTGCGAGCTGGAGAACCCCATCCTCCCTGGGGCCGAGGAGGGGCTCCCGGGGTGCCGGGGCGGCGGGGAGGGGCCGGAGCCAGGACAGGCCAGCGTTTCACGTCCTGACTTTTCACTTCCCGAAAAGGAAGGAAATTTTGGGGGCAGCTGCTATTAATACCCGTCCCGGTGCCCGCGCAGGGCGAGGCCAAGTGGGGTGCGGGGTGGGCCCAGAGGGGAGCCCCCCTTCCCCGGCTGCTCTCCGAGCGATCCTGCCCCGCCGCGGAGCTGTGGGGACAACGCAGCCCCCGCCCGGGCCTGTGGGGCTCGGGAGCCGCGGCCGGAGGGCCCGGACCCCAAATCTTCGGTCCAACCCAGGGGCCGCCAGCCCAGGGCCGGCTCCGGCGCCCCAGGACCCGCGGCCCCTTCCCGGGCACGTGCGGCCGGGGACGCCCCGCGGCGGGAGCAGGACCGGGAGGGCGGACGGCGGGGCCGCCCCGGCAAGGTGGGGGCGCGGGCGGGGCTCGCGGGACCCGAGGCCGCCAGGGCGGGGTGCGCGGGGTGCGGCGGGGGGCGGCGGGGGGCGCGGGCTGTCGGGGCGGCCCCGCCCGTCTCCCCCCGGACGCCACGTTCCAGGGGCGCCGGCTCCGCTCGGAAAGTTTCCTCCCCGCACCCGCCTCCCGGCGCCGGCCGCCCCCCGCGGCCGCGAGAACAAAGGGCGCGGGCCGGCCGGGGAGGGGCGTGGGGCGCGGGGGGGCGCGGGGCGCGGGGCGCGGGGCGCGGGGGACGGGGCGCGGGGGCGCGGGGGCCGCGGGGGCCGCGGGGGGCGCGGGGGCGCGGGGGTCGCGGGGGCGCGGGGGGGCCGGGGGGCGCGGGGTGGGGGGCGCGGGGGTGGGGGGCGCGGGCCGGGGGGCGCGGGGGCCGCGGGGCGCGGGGGCGCGGTTACCTCCGGGCGCCGGCTCGGGTCCGGGGCGGCTGGGCCCCCCGCATGCGCCTGCAGCTCGGCCCGGGCGGCGGGCGGGGCGCGGGCCGGGCCGGGCCGGGCCGGGGCGGGCGGGAGCGGGGCCGGCGGCAGCTCAGCCCCGACGCGGCGCCCCCGCCCCCCGCCCCCCGCGCCCCAACCCGCCCCCGCCCGCGCGGTCCGGCCCGGCTCGTAACCCAACACCCGCCCCGCCCCGGGGGTGGCCCCGCCCGCCCGCGCGCCCGCCCTGGGCCCTAGAGCCCGCTGGCGGCCCGGCCCGGCCCGGCCCGGTTCTGCCGCGGAGGCCGGGTCCCCAGCCCGGGTCGGCCCCACGCCCCGCCGGCCCCGCCCCGATTGGACCCGCCCCCCGCCCCGGACTTCTGGGGTCCCGGCCAGGGGCAGCGCCGGGAGCGCCGCCGGGTCTGTCCCGCTCCCGCCGGCGCCCCAGCAAGCCTGAGGGGTCCCCGCGCCCCGACCTCCCAGGTCTCCCGCCCGCCCGCCCGCCCGCGGCCGCAGCCGCCCCCCCACCCCGGCCTGCAGCTGGAGGAGGCGCGGGCGGGCGGGCGGGGCTCAGGGTGCCCTGGGGCCGCAGCAGAGAGCAGCCTGGGGGGCTGCTGGTGGGGCCTCGGGACTGCGGGGGGCCAGGGCAGAGGAGGGGGGACACTGCCTCTCCTACTGGCCCCCGCACGGATCCCGCAGGCGCGGGGAGCAGCCACGGGCTCCCCGTCAGACAGGCCGAGGGGGCCCAGCCCGGCCCCGACTGCCGGGTCCGGGTCCGACTCCTGCCGCCTCGGTTCTCCGTCCGCAAGAGGGGGGCAGGGACGGGGCGGCCCGAGGAGGGTGACACTGGGGGCGCCACCCGCCCCTCCCCACGCTGAGACCGGGGCTCGGAGGCCAGAGGGCCTGGCGGGGAGGCAGAGGGCAGTGAGCCTGGTCTGGGGGTGCCTCTCTCCCTCCCCGCGGCTGTCCTGGGGGACAGGAGGCTCAGCCGGCCGCCGGAGCCCAGGTTCCCGCCAAGCCGGGCCGAGCGGGAGCCTCGGGGCCCAGACCGCGGAGGGAGGCAAGGCCGGAGCACTCCGGGGTGCACAGCTCCAGGGGGGACTCTGGCTGCAGGGGGCTGAGCTCCCCTCCGTGTGGGGGGCCTGCTAACCGCCGCCCGCCCCCAGAAGTGGGCGCTGGCCCTGAAGCGCACCCTCAGCCGGGGCGGTGAGGACCCGGGCGGCTGGTCGTGGCCGGCGGCTCCCTCCGCCACGAGGGCTTGGGTGAAGTTGCTTCCCCTGACTAGAGCCCGTGTCTCCCCTCGAGACGGCCAGCGGGCACCCAGCGCCCACCCCCAGGCCCGGACACCCAGCGCGGGGCTTCAGCTGGGCACACACTCGACACCGCCCGCCGCCTGCCACGGCCCCTCGCGCCGCGCTCGAGTGTGCAGGACGCGGCTGCCCCGCGCGGCCTGCACCTGGGGTCTGCACTGGAGACCCGGGGACGTGGGGGGCACCGCGGTGAGCCCCTCCCGGTGGGACTCCAGCCCCGCGTCTGTCCAGGGACAGGCAGAGCTGAGGCTGCGTGAGAGCCAGCAGGACGCCCACACGCCCAGCCCAGGGTGCCCGGCGCAGCCCAGGGTGCCCGGCGTCCAGACGCGCGCGGCTCCTGCTCCAAGCTGGGGGGCGGCGGGCACCTGAGCGGCCACGGCAGAGGGACACGAAATGGCGCCCGGAGCTGAGCCCAGGGCCGGGCAGCGCCCACAGCCCGAGTGCAGGGGACGTGGCGCCGGCGCCAGCGGGGATGGCGGGAAGCAGGGGGCGAGCCGGAGCGCTCTGCGGCCACCGCGGCCGTGTCTGGGGCCGGCGGCCAGGAAACAGCCACGCCGTGGGAGACAGGGAGGGAGGCACCCCGGGGGGTTCCAGCCCCTCCAGCCCGGAGCCTTTTCGGGTTCCTTTCTGCAGGGCGCGGCGCCCACAGGCCCTCTCTGGGGAAAGCACCGGGGAGGCCGCTGCGGGCGGGGAGCTGGGAGCCGGGAACGGGCCGCCCGCCCCGCTCAGGCCGTTCCCCTCGGGACGGGCACACAGAGGGCGCAGAGCCCGTCCCGCACCCCTGCCCCCCCCCGCCCCGACGGGGTGAGTGTCCGTGGCCCTCCCGGGGCGGCCGCGCGGGGCAGGGCCCGTCCCAGCGCACAGCCCAGCCGGCTGCTGCCCAGGGCGTCCTTTTCCTCCTCTTCTGTCGCCGACCTGCCCGCTGCTGGCGGGGGCCGGAGCCCAGCGGCCCCGCGGGAGAGGAAGGCGGGCGGAGGGGCCAGGAGAGGCGCAGTGGGGGGCGGGGGCCGGGGGGCAGCGCAGAGGAAGGGAAGGCGCGACGGCACCAGCGGGGCTGTCCAGGCAGAGGGACGTGCCCTGGGCCGGCGGGCCGTGGTCCGGAGGGGGCTCCGGGAAGAGCGTGGCCCCAGCCGGCGCCCCTAGAGTGGGCGGGCGGGCAGCCCCGGCCCCGGTGCACCCCACGGGTGAGGCCGTGGGCTCCGGTCCACGCTGTGCCCAGGGGGCTGCGCTGGCCCGCCCGCTGCCCCGGCCTCCCGCCTGCTCATCCAGTCCCTGACCCCGCGCCCTCCTTCCGGCCGCCAGAGGCTGCAGCCCGGAGGAAGGGGCGGCCGGCCTTCCTGGCCCTCTGCCGGAAGCGGGACCGGCCACAGCGGACAGGACGGGCCCGTTCCCTCCCTGCTGCGCCCCCCTCCCCACCGGGCACCCTGAAATGAAACCACCTCAGGCCACGGGGGCCGGGCAGGGCCGCCTTCCCAGGGAGCCGGGGCGTCCGGCCGGGCTGGGCCGCTGCGGGGCTCAGCGTCTCCCGGGGGGCCCAGCGGTTTCCTGCTGGCGCTCGAGCCGCGGGGCGGGGGGTGCAGAGGCCGCGGGTCCCGTGCAAGGAGCTCCTGCGGAGGGGGCGCCCACGGATGGGTCCCTGGGGGGCCTCGACGGGGGCTGTGGTGATGGCTAAGGAGCCCTAGGGGGCCGCACCCCTGCGCAGGGCGAGGTTTCCTGCACAGGGAGGTGGACTTTCCGCGGTCGACCATCCGGGGAAAAGTTAAACTGGGCGGGACTCGCAGCAGCCGGCGAGGGCAGGAGGGCAGGACGGAAGGGCTTCTGGGGGGGGGGGCTGGGGGGGTGGCCCTGGCCTTTTGGAGACAGCCCAGAGCTAGGGGGGAGCCCCCAGATCCGGCTGTCACAGGGGCCCAGCCGCTCTGCGTGCTGAAAGGGGGGGTGACGTCAGCCCTGTGCTGGCGGGACTGGGGGTGGCGGCAGGGAAACCAGCCAGGCCAGGCCTGCAGGTTCTGGGGTGAGGGAGAGCCGGGGCCAGCTCAGAGCTGCTGGCCAGGAGAGGGGGCACCTCTGGTCTCTGCAGCTGAGGCCCGTCTGGGCTGAGCCTGGGCAGGCGTGCGAGGGCCCCACCCGAGCCAGGGTCCCGAGACAGCGGGATGGGCTGAGGGTGGCAGCGGCCACTGCACGGACGTCCAGCCGTCCGCCTCGGGAGCCGGACCTTGTGCAAGGGGCTCGCGGCCCCTGCTGGGGGACTGCGGCCAGCACCACAGCGGGCTCCCTGCCCCAGGCCTGAACCCCAAAGAAAGGCCAGCGTAGCCGCCCCTCCTGGCAGTCAGGAAAGAGGCCCCTCGGAGGAGGGCCCACGGGAGGCCCCCCAAGTGTGATGGCGGGGCGCAGGGGAAAAAGGGCCGATGAAGACCGCCGTCCCCCCAGGAGAGGAAGCAGCAGGAGGGCGCTTGTCCGAGGCGCTGGGCAGGAGCCGCGGCCTTCAGCCAGGTCGGCAGTTCAGCTGCTCGGACCCCGGGCACAGAGCAGCGGGGCAGAGGGGCCTGGCGAGCCCAGGAAACAGCAGCCCAGGACTTTGCGGGCGAGGAAACCGGCCCCGCGCCTCGGAGCCAGTGAGGGCCGGGGAGGGGGGTTGGGGAGCGTGGACCCGCGCCGGCCCCCGTCTGGGCTCTCAGTCAGGAAGGCGCGGCGCTGCGGCTCATTAACCCACTGCCAGCCCCTTTCCCCGAGCCCCCCTCCGCCGGCCCCCCAGCGTCGGACTCAGGGACCCCGCCCTGCCCACCCGGCCTCTCAGAGCCAGGTGCGGCCGTGGCTGCGAGCACCCCGATGGAGGCGGCTCCGGCGTCTGCCCCGGCTCCCCTCCCTGTGCACTGGAACGCAGGCGTGATGGCGGATCTGAGGCAGCCCCGGCAACACCAGGAGGCGCCCGGTGCACACTGGCCCGTCGCGCTCCGAGAGACAGAGAAGGGCCCTTGCGGCTCCCGTAAGTCACCGTCCTGCGTCCGTGCCAGCAGCCAGGCGGACACGCGGCCGCCAGCCCCTGAGAGGAGCTGGAGCTGCCTTTACAAGGCCGCTGGTGGGCACACTCGGGAGCCCCTGGCTGCACCCCAGATGCCCACCCTCTCCCCGCGCCTGGCACCCCTGCACCCCAATGGTCCACGGCGCAGAGCCGCAGGATGCACGCAGGGGCTGCAAGACGGCACGGACCCAGGCCGGAGACAGGCCTGAGGCCAGGGCCCGGGGAACTTGTTGGGCAGCTGTGGCTTCAGGCGGGAGGACGGCCGTGTCGCCCGGGGCAGGCAGCAAGCCCACAAGGAGAGGCCACGGCGGCCTCGGGGAGCCTGACACCCCGGTGTCTTCTCCTTCCACAAGAACCCGTGAGGGGCGGAGTCGCAGGGCAGCCTCAAATCCCCAGGTAGACGGACAGGCCGAGGAGGGTGACCGGCCTGTCCCCAGGCAGCCAGGGCTGAAGGAGGAACAGAAGCCCAGGCCGGCCCAGGCCTGAAATGGGCGGCGCTGGACTCAGCCCGCCCCCCCCCAGGCCCTGCCCTCACCCGGGCGCACGCACAAGCCCCGCGCCAAGTTCTCAGCACAGCGCGCACCTGGATACTGCACTTGATCTTAGCCAAAAGGCCGAGAAGCGATTACAGCGCGCACCTGGGCGGGTCCTGCGCGGCGCGCCCGCCGGACACCTGGAGACCCC